AAGTCGTCGTCAGCAGCAGCAGCAGCAGCAGCAGCAGCAGCAGCAGAAAAGAGTGAGGCGGGTAGAGAAAGAAAGGGGGTTGGTGTGGTGGGCGGGAACCGCGGGCTTTGCCTTGCACACGTTTGCTGACCTGAAAACAGGTTCTAGATTGTGTTGGGGGGGGTTTTTTTTTTCTTTCTTTGCTTTCTTTCTGTCTCCTGCAGTTGTCAGTTTTTCTCTCTCTTTCTCTTCGCCGTTTGCCACTGCCGGGCGATTGGAGTTGCTGGGGAAAGGGAAAAATTAACCTATCATATATTAAGTAATTACTTTGAGTACTTTTGGAGTATTGCAACAAAGACAAGTCCAGCAACTCATTAAAACTCCCCCCATTGCAACCTCATCCTATGCTGTCTCCACTATATTCTGACCGAAAAAGGAAGTCTATCGACCAAATCGTGTGAGACGATTGGCCCAACCCTGGCAAAGCAACTGTGGGGTCATTAGGAATCCGATTGCAATCAATCACAATCGGTCCTTTGCAAAGGCCCAAAGACGCAAAAAAGTATGTGTATGTGTGTGTACTTTACAGAAAACCATTCTGACGGGTCGTATTTGCACATGGGTGGTTGGGATTCAATCAGGCACCAATTGAGATCTTTTTTTATTTTTTTCTTCTCTCTTCCCCGGCCCTGCTCACGAAACAGGAGCGGGACGTTGAGAGGGCCCCAGATTGTTCTCGTCCCGGCGCGAGCTGAACAATTATGACAAGTCGCTTGTTGTGTGTGTCTGTTCTTGTCTCCAACCACCCCCACCCCGGGCTTGTTCTTTTCATTTCTCTGTTTCTCTCGCCGATCGAGGTTAGGAGAAGAACAGGTGTGGCGAGAAGGTGACGTGGAATATGGCAATATGCTCTTCCTGTTAATGCATCCCGGTTTCTGATCAACAAAGGAAATGGGAAAGGGGAAGGAGGAAATTACAAAGTGAAGAGAGAGAAAAAGCGACATATCAGAAGAACAATTGAAAAATGGAGTGGTCGTGTGGGAAACCTCGCTGTTCCATGGCCACGGGTTAATCCTCACAATAGCCCTGTCTAGCCTCTTCTCTCTGCTGAGAGCCCGCAACGAGCTGAACTTGAACCAAGAAGAGCGGGAGGACAGGATGTAACCTGCGAAAGCGCCTGATTGACTGAATTACTACTGCAAACTCACCGGTCTTTTGTCAGACTGGATTGTTTCTCCAGGCATCCTCTTTTTCTCTCCATGTCCACCACCACCGGGCGTCCCGTAGAGGAGGCAACCTGCACTGTACTGTACTGACTGCCCTTTTTGGTTAACCCTGTCCCTCCCGCTCTTCGAGGGGAAAAAAAAAACACGTACAGAATTATCCGTGCAGCCCCCCTTCCTCGAGGTACAGTACATACCAATTTGATCTTGCAGGGTCACATCCTCAAGCCAATCGCCCGTCTTTGTATGAGTTTCTAGGCTTTTGTTAGCCGTGCCCGCCATGCAAGCAGCATCCCCCACACACTCCTCCTCTGTGTTTCTCTCTCTCAGCTAGCCTCTAGGAAGAAATCCCACTTGTGGTTTTTCGAAGCAGAGGTCAAGAGCAAAAGTTTACATGGTGGTCCTCTGTATCTGCAGTCGTACCATTTTGGCCCTCCATTTCTTTTCTCTCTCCCATTCCACGAGGACGCTTTTCTGAGACGGTAGTGCTTGATGGGGGGTATCAGGGTTAGGGTTCTATTAGACATATAGGCTAGTATAGCCTGTGTCGAAAGTGCCTAGCATGAGACAGGCGCTCCCTAGCACAAGTCAGCTAGGGCAGATAGTCCAAAACACCATCTCACACTATTTATCCCAAGAGCATTGATTGGGTGGCAGCTATGTGTGCGCCTTGAGACCTTTTGCAGTGCTAAAGACAGAACTGCTATACAAGTTTTGCAACAAAGCTGGGGCCCGCTTCCCATACTGGTGACAGCGAAAAACAACGCAAAAGAGAACCCGAAACTACGGCAGGCGAGAGCAGTGAACGGGTTTGTGCGTTGGTTACTATCATGTAGATCTTGGTCCCTTGGGTGGGTTTTGATGAAACCTCATCGAAATGGATACCGTTGGATTGCGCAAAAATCAGGTGGTTGTGCAAAAATTGTTTTGAAGTATACTTGTAATCTAAAGGGAGAGAAAACTGCCTGTGAGAATCTTGTCAAGGAACAAGAAGAAATGTGCACGTGTGTCGTTTGCTACTATCCAATGAATCCCTGCCTACGACACTACCAATTCTCTTGGTTTCCATTTCTAGTATCAAATTGAGACACGATCGTTCTTACTTCCATTTTGACGCCTCGTCTCAACCAATCAAGCGGACCATGGAAAGGGGGAATTTAGCCTACCGTACTTCACGGTCCTCCAGAACTTTTTCCACTAGGACTGAAGAGTGGGCTGTTGTCGTCACCACTTTGAAAAAGAAGTTGTCCAATGCTCCTAGGCTCGAGACTCTTCCTGCCAAGTATCGGTCCGAAAATTGAGAAGAATTCCGTAACAGGTGAGGGAGCCCCAGCGGAACAGAGAATATCGCCAGCTGCATGTGAGCACCGGCAACCCACCCCCCTTTCCCCCCCCCCCCCAAAAAAAAAGAAGGGAAGAAAACCCGAGTTCGTTAGATCCTACGAGCAGATTTAGCGCGTTGTTTGCTCCCAAAACCTCCGCCATCTTGTGCGCCAAAATGCGGTCATCACCCAGAGAGGAGTGGAACCAGTCGAAGGGGCTCAGCACTCAGCGCGCAAGCACGAATGGATTTTTTTTTCTCACCGAAAAAAAATCCATAGTCTACGCTACACGTCAACAACACTGAGCAGATTTCTCCGCATCGCGTATGGTCCCATGAGCCGGTCATATATGCTGACGTAGTCAGCGCTGAATGTCACTCCCGTGAGATGGATGTACCAAGCTCTCTCTCTCTCTCTCTCTCTCTCTCTCTCTCGCTGTCTGCCTGTTAGCGACGTCTAGCTGCGGGCACCGGCGCCGACGACGATGACACAGAATTTGTCAGAGCGCTGGTGCTGGTGAGGGAGGCTTCCAGGTACTCGATACATGAGCGGACGAGGACGATGGGTCTGGAGGTAGACTGTGCTGAGACCCCCCACCCCTGTGAGCGTGCGATTTAGCGATGATGTATCTTGTAGAGAAGGAGGGGCTGAGGTGGGTTTTTGCTACTTCCCAGAGAGATCGTGCAAACTCAGAGAGTGGGGCTCATCTCTCGCGGCCATCGTGCACCAGGGGGGGTGTGTGCCTGGGGGAGGACGCGGCGAGGGAGGGCAGCGCCGCCTTCTGTGTGGTGTGGCCCATCCTCTTCCCTCCTTCCTCTGTCTCATCTGGAGGACCTTGAATTGGAGGGCAAATGTAAACCTTGTGATCTAGTCCTTAGAACCGTGATTGCCTTCTCCCTTTTTCTTCTATACAAAACTAACGTGGACATATTGGTCGGAACCTAGACGCAGACCGCATGGCCCGTGGACGACCACGACACTCACTTGGAGATATGGAAGGGAAAGAGCTATAGTTCGGAACAGAAATGTTTTTCATTTGACTATGTGTGCTCCTTCTCACCGTGTTTTACAACCCTTGATTTTATTCCTTGTGGCGAGAAGATGCGTCCTTCTGGTCACGCGACTCATCCTCCCGCCAAAATGCGGCCCTGTCACTCGACCAGAACGGACGAAACTCTTCAGACTTCAGCATGAATTTCCGTTTTCCCTGTTTCCAAGATGCCCTATTTAGTATCCAACACCATTCTGTAGCGTTTCCAACAGATTCGTTGTTCTAGCTGTCTCAAAACAATACCAATTTCTGTTTCGCCGTCATGAGAACCAGAACAAGGCCCGCGCCCAGAAGGAAAGCCGTGAGGCAGCAACAATGAAGTTGGGAACCCCTTTTCCCTTGAAATATTGACTTACTGACACCTCCTGATTTGAATCGCTACCCGGGCTCCAAGCACGACCGATGAATCGTGATTGCATATTTCACAGACGCCCCGAGGCATGGACAAGAGCCGAGGTCGTTAACTTCAAACTTTACCACAACTGGAACAGAAAAAGGCCCACCACCAAAGACAACTTGCAAGGAAATCCTTGAAGATCCAAGACGGCCCGCACCTATAGTTTGTTTTTGTTCAAAGGAAAGGGGAAGACTACTTTTCGCCGCTTGGTTCAACATGTACTACCTATGTGGGGGGAAACCCGTCCAGACCAATATTTTACCCCGCGCGAACGCGTCGTAGGAGCAAGGAGAAGATATAGAAATCTGAACTACGGTTCTCTGGATTGAGGTACTTTCCAAGGCTTCCCAAGGTCTTTAGCCCAGTGCTCACACGCTTTCTCTCTCTCTCTCTCTATAAATCTCACACACACACACGTAAGAGGGGACCAGGCTGTCTGCCACGACCTAGGGCACAAGACCGTAATCTTAGACTCTCTTTAGTAACCTTGGCTATCTGCCCCTTCGCAGATCCTGACTAGACTTCCTCAGCTGCCTTAGAACAAAATATTATGTCTGCCTAGGGAGCACTAAGTATCTCAAATCTCGCTCTAGCCATTATCAAGGCCTGACCCGATGCGTCGTACTCATTTTAAGCCTTCCTATCATAGCCTTCTGTCATAGCATTACCCTAACGACAAAAGCCATAGTGATCATTATGTGCTGAGCTTCCCTGTTCTTGTAGGCTCTCCTGCCCACCTCACCCTCAAAAACCGTCTAAACCATTACCGACAGTAGCATTTCCCCAATTTCCCCAATTTCTCGTCTTTTTTCCGTGTTTTTTTCTTTTCTTTTCTTTTTCCCTTCTTCAAAAAGACGATCGCGAGGCTTGTGATCTTGAAGAAAGAAGCGCACCGGCGCTTCCTCGCTTCTAAGGAACAACGTCTTGATCGGGAGTATCATGCAAGTTGGGTATCATGTGAAAGGAAATCAGCAGATCGTCCATCCTCGGACCTAGCTTCCATGCCCATCGCATGGACCATGAGTACCTTATCTAGGCCTCGACTTGAAGTTCTGCCTCTGCTGGTCGGTGCAGAGTCGTGATGAAGAAGGGAACCGCGTCCTGGTTTTGTTGAGCAGGAAACATGCCTTCGAATCCAGGAGGCGGCCGAATAGGCTGCTGAGCGCCAGGGGCCATGTGTTCAAAGCCTGGTGGTGGCCGAATGGCACGCCCAACATCGGGTCCAGCATCCTGAATGTGTTGAGCAGGGATGATATTCTCGAACCCTGGAGGTGGTAGAACTGGCTGCTGAGTGGGAATTACGTGCTCGAATCCAGGCGGTGGGCGGATGGGATGTTGACCAACGGGGACCAGGTGCTCGAAGCCTGGTGGCGGTCCGATAGGACGCTGTTGCACACCAGGGACCAAATGCTCGAATCCTGGTGGTGGTCGAATGGCTTGTTGTTGTTGTTGCTGTCCAGCAACCATGTGCTCGAAGCCTGGCGGCGGTCGAATGGCCTGCTGCTGCTGCTGCCGTCCAGGAACCACGTGCTCGAAGCCTGGCGGCGGCCGAACAGGGCCTTGCTCATCAGGGACAGCAACCTGGTTGCGCTGTGCAGAAGCAACGCCTTCGAACCCAGGAGGCGGACGAATATGACGCTTGGCGGCAGTACCGACGTGCTCGAATCCTGGCGGCGGACGAACAAGACCTCTCGATCTCTGGACACCAAATCGACGAGAAGGAGCGCGGTGCCCACCGCGCTGAAGACCAGGTCGCTGGAGTGCAAGTAGTCGTCGCGGGGCCACCCGCTGAGGAGATTCAGTAGCTACTTCTGGTGGCGGTGGCGGCGGAGGTTGATGGTACTGTATCGCCATCCCGACCACTTCCTCATCCATAAGAAAAGAACGGGCTCTGATGTGAGCATTTGTGACCAGTCTAGTGCGGCGATACGCGTACTTTGTGGCCTTATCCGGCAAAGGATTCTCGCCGCTCTGTGCCTTGCGGGTGGGGGTGCTCTTTGTTGAGCTGTTGCTGCTGCCAGACCCTTCAGCATTTTTGCGGCGCTCCTCCACGAGATTGCGTCCCATAGACACCAGGACAGAAGAGCGAGATCTCTGAGAGCTCTTTGAGCCGCCAGAGTCCCGGATCTCACTTGAACGTTGTAGCTCGATTCCGTTGTGTGTAAAGTTGCTCGTTTCTTGGTTTACGGCCTGGCGATCTGGGCTGGACGCTATCGCTCGAACTGTTGTTGGTTGGGCGCATTGCGGGCCGGACCGAAAGGGGTTGTTGATTGTATTATTCGACGGCGCTGCACACAGCTTGCCGCCAATCTGAGACTTGTCGTCAGCGCCGCCGATCTTGTACTGGCGATGGTTGCGCGGTGGGACGAAGGAGGCTTCGTAGCTGCTGCCATCGTCGATAGCATCCTCTGGAAGGCCACCGTTGAGCTTGACGAGCTCTTGAATGGCGCAAAACGCGTCATTGCCGTTGTTCTGAACTGGGGCAGGACGAGGCGGGGTCGTATGCGGCGTGACATGGCTCTGAGCTGCCCTCTCAGCAAGGAGACCCTGTGTGATCAACGAGGCAGATGGGCTGGATTTGGCGTTGCGACTGGACGCCGTGGTAGTCGAGGAACCAGATTTACGGGGCGAGGTGTTCTTTGAGGCTAAACCACTTCGTGTACGAGGATATTCCGGGGCAGTGACAAGCTGACGGGCCTGAATCTCCTGTTGCTCAATATCACGCTTGGTCTGAAGGCGCTGGATGCGTGTGGCCACTGAATCGCGATCGCGCAGCTGCTCACTCAGGTAGATATCCGTATTGTAATCAAGAAGCACTCTAGGCCTGGCACCTGAATTGTTACATATATGGTTAGCATATCACGTTTTCATGCATGCGAGGTGGTCTGCAGCCATCAGCTCACCAATTGTCTGTTCTGCGCCGTCATTGGCGGCAGTGACGTGTTGACGACCTTGGTCATGGTTCGAAATCTCGTCTGGCATTTACCTGGTTAGCGCAGGCCTTGGGCGTGAAAAGAAGTGTCTACAATACGGAAGACTTACCTTCGTCATTGCTCAGAAGGTTGTTGATCATAGCCTCGAATGCTTTCTCCTCGTCATTGTGAACGCAGACGCTTCCAGCTCGATCCTCGAGAACCGAGTCAGCACCCTCCTGCTGAGTGTGGGCGATGATGTGCTCCAGGCGAGAGACCTTCGCCTTCAGAGCATTCTCGCGCTTCTTCGACTCCTGGGCCTGCTTCTCACAGGTCTGTTGCACCTCGTCGAAGCTAGCCTGCAGCCTCGCCATACGGCTGATCTGAATTCTGATCTCTTCGATCATGCCAGCTACGAATCCGTTGAGGTGACGAGGGATAGGCTCCGAAATTCCATTGGTCATGATGGTGCAGCCAACGGTCTCCATCATCTGTTGGAGAGTAGGGTTGTGCCAGGTACTGTCGGCCTCCCTGTAGGCATACTCATTCTCAACATTAGAGACAGTGCGCAAGACTCCAGCTGGCTTGTCGCGAACAGCCTCGCGGTCAGAGGTGTCTCCAGACTTGGTCCACTCGCTTGTCTGCACGATGAGCTCCGGGAAGTTGGGGATGGTAGGAGCCTGAATCTTCGCAGCAGCGCTGAGACCAATGTAGCTCGAGATACGAGACAGTCGCGGCATTTTGACGGTTGACTGGTGCGTCGCGAACGGGGTGAGGGAGCGCTGCAAAGAGCGCTGCAAGGAGCGCTGCGCAGCCGTGCGTTCCTGCTTCGCGGGCGCGTCGACCTGCTGGTTAGAGGGACGTTGCTGCATAAGCTGGGCTGCTTGGAAGCGGGCGCCAAAGGCGACCCAGATGCCGTCACCCATGATGAGTTCTGAGTTGACGAAATCACGGTACTGTCCTAAGGTAAGTCGCGCGCGCGACTGCTGATGTCCCCAGTGAGAAAGCTCGAAACCTCAGTGCTCCGTGCGAACCTGAGCAGCGCAAGTGATTACTGAGTGCGAGAATGTTCTTGGGAGATTCTCGTTGGGAGACGTGGGAAGGGTCGAAATAGAAGGGTGAATAGGTCTCTGGAGGGGTGGAAAAGTGTGTGTGGTGGACAAGGAAGACAACGCGGTAAGTAGACGCGAACCAGCGCAGAATCGAACAGAAGGAGAAGAAGTTTCGTCGTCAAGTTGAGCCTTATTATGTAGTTTGCGATAGCCTCGTCAGAAGAGGCGGAAGTGATCGAGTCAAAGATGTTGTTTGTGTGCGTGTATAGTGAAGTAGAGACTGGTGGTAGTGAAAACCTTGGGGTGAAGTCTCAGATCCTACAGACGCGTTGTAAGAACAAACAGGAGAGGAGGATGAAGGGGGTGAAAGACGAAGGGGAAAAAAAGACAAGGTCGAGGTTCGTATCTGGAAGGAAAATCAAACTGACAAGACGGTTGTCCAAGGCCGAGACGTGAAGGAGGTCGGGCTCGAAAGTCGATTAAAAGTCGCTGCGCGGTCCAGCCACCACTGTTCCTAGCCAGCTGCGAACACAGATACTAATTATTGTCTAAACAGAAATAGACAACGATAGGCCTGTTTTCCCTGTCTTCTCAATCTCCCAGAGCCCAGACAATGGAATTGACAATACTCGAAATAAGGTGAAACCAGTAGAATGAAAAGGAAAACGGAGGAAGAAAACGATCAAGGAAAACGCCTGGCGCCTGTGAAAAACGTGATTGTCCACGGTGGAGGATGAAGCACGTGTGAAATGGACAGTGAAGGTGATTTCAGCGCAAGCTGAGGGAGAGGGTGAAGCGAGCACCACCTCTGGTTCTGGCGCGAACACGAAGGCGAAACTGGTAACCCCACTCGCCTCACCAGCCACCCATGATGATGCTGCCACCAGAGATGGTGAATGTGATGACGGGTAGGGTAGGAGGATTTGTTTGGGGTTTGCTGGTCGAGGCGAGGGAACACTGATGGATTCTGTGACTACCTTGTTGACTCCCTTCCAGTCGTGCCTTCCTGCCCAGCAATAGCACCTTCCCCCTTCCCACATCCAGACCATTTTGGGGCAGACGCTTGCCTTTCATTAACGTTGTTGAGCCATAGCAGTGACACTCGGTCCCTTCTCCTAGGTGATCAAGAATGACGGTCTTTGAGAAAGAAAGAAAAAATCACAGTCAACAGAGCATCCACAAACTCGTGAAGGGCAACGTCGTTCGCTGGATTGGACTTGTATTGGAAGTATACCTCGAATGACCATCGCCCCTCCGCGGGGAAAATCGACCCCAGTATGTCCTCCATAATTTCTTCCTCCTCATCACCCGTCATCATGAGATTCGATGACCAAAGAATCTCCTCGATATGGAACCTCATGCCTTGTCTCTAAGCAAGCTGCATAGTCTGAAGCTGTGAGGCACTAACCACAGCAATGGACCGACGATAATCGTCACCCGCTCTCGAGGCACCGAGCTGCATCTTCGGCACTGCCACGATGGTGAACCTGGCTATAATGGTCCTTCATTTGGTACCACGCTAACTAGAACGATGATGAGCACCCCAGTCCAAAAAATAATCAGCTGGTATGGAGAAAGTAGCCTCACCTAATTTAGACTCGCCACCCTAGGACGAGCCGGACTATCTACCTCGCCTCGTATGGTATTCTCGTCCTCCCATAACCACGCAAGTCGACTCCCGTTGCTGGATTGTAGTCATGGAACAAAGCCAAAGCTTGCAATCGAGAGGAGTCAAATCAAGACGAGGAGAAGTGACTAGATCCCGCGCGAGAGCTGCACACGCTGTAATTCCTTCCCCACATGCAGCCTGCCACACAGAAACGCAACGCTATGCTAACTATGCGAACCAAACCAAGCAACTGAATCTCGAAGAAGATTTGCTTGCTTGCTCCCGTGTTGTGCTGGCTGAGGCTCGATGGCTCTCCACGCACACACACGCGCACGCACGCGATCGAGATAACGAGCTCAGTCGAATAAATCTCCCGCCCTCTGCCGTCTGCGGCCTGGCTGCTCGGCGAACAATTCCCTGCCGACATTCTGAGAGACGTTGCTACTGTCGTCGTTGAATTTATTCGGGAACAGCTCCTTGACCGACTTCGCCGTACCCTTGATCGTCAAAATCCCTGATCCCTGGCTGCTCTGACGCGCCGTACCACGTATCGACAGTGTGCCTTTGGTGTTTTGATCTGCATTTGTAGGTGTTACCATATTGTCGCGCTTTGCTCTGACGGTCGACTTCAGAACGGTTGGGAATGGAAAGAAAGAAACAAAAGAAGACGAAGAAGGGATGCGCTCGTCGAGTAACTCGACAGCGCCGTCATAAGAAAGACATCTCATACCCTCAAGCACATCAGCTGGCACCTGGTCCATCGCTGCCCTGCTCGCGCCTGTTGTCCTGACCGGGAACAGCTCCTTCTTGTCAACAGGAAACAGGTCTCTCGTGCCCCTGCCGGCGGGGAATAGCTCTTTGGGTCCGTTGTTGTTTTTCCCGTCGCTGCCTTTGCTGTAGATGCGCTCCTTGATCGATCGGGCTTTCTCTCGGTTGTTTCGCACCGCCTCTCTGTCGCGAGCAAGGTCGGCCTCCATCGCATCTCGATCGTCTCTCGTAGGCGAAGCCGACCGACCACGCTCGTAGGCCCCGCGCTCCGAGCGCAGGGGGTCTCTCGTTCGATCGCTCGGGAAGAGCTCTTTGTCTCTGTTCCTGGAGCGGTGGCGATCATTGCCTGCGCGCGGAGACGGCGACCGCGAGCCGTACCTCCGACCTCGATCTGCCTGTCGTGGTCGTGGTGGCGGTGAGGTCCTCGCTCGCCTCGCCAGCGCACCCGCGTCATCGTCGTAAAGGTTGACATCAAATGGCTCCGGCTCGTCGTGCTCATCGTATAGACCTCTGCCGCTGCCGCCTCGCCTGTACCGTCCTCTGTCATCGCGCCGGTCATCGCGCCGGTCACGCCGATCACGGTACTGCCTGTCCCTCTTACGTCTGCCCTCATCCGTCTCTGGGTCCCACTCCGGGTGAAACAGGTAGAACCGGCTCTTCTGCGCAGCCCCGCGCTCCTTCCTGTCGCTCTCCAGCGCAAAGCGCACCTGCAGCGCGATGTCGGGCTTCTCTGGGACGGGCTTGGCGGGGAGGACCTCGCCCGGCGGGAGCTGAGTTGCGTCTGCAATCTCGACGGCGCACAGCGCCAGGAGGGCGTCTTGCGCGGCGCTGTCGGTGGAGAAGACGAGGTTTGCGGACGTGTCGTTGACCCATTCGATGCGGTCGGCGCCCTTGCCGCCGACTTGAGCGGCGATGTAGGCCTTGAGCTGGTCCTGGTCGATCAGGTCGAGGCCGCGGATGTGCACTTTGTTGAGGACAAGCTGCTGCGCTTCGCCGTCGGTTGCGCCGCCGTTCACGGGCTCTTCGATCTCGCCGTCCTCCTGGAATTGAGGGTGTTAGAGGGAGGCACATTCAATTGTGGCTGGCTTGATGGAAGGTACCTGTAGGTCATCGCCAATGAGGATGTCTGCAACTTCGGGCTCTTCCATAGGGACGTCCACCGCGTCGCCCATCTCGATGTCGAAGTCATCCATTATGTGGCGGGAGGAGCCTTGCGGCTGGGATTGGCACTAAAAAGTAGGAAGTAGAGATAGTAACAATTGGTCAAAGATATTGTCGGCTTTGGAAGTGTAATATGATCTTGAGAAAAGAAGAACTCTGGTTCTGTTAAGTACTATGCGAAGTTGGGTATGCAAGAACAAAAGATGAGAGGTGGTGGGAAGTAAGCGATCAAGGAGCCAGCCGCTAGGACGAGGCTCCAACGGTATGGAGTTCCTCAGCTTATCGATAAGGCCCTACCATATACCTTGGATCCCTGCTAGAGTGGGGTCGCTTCTTGAAATCGTTCAGGTCGTGACTGAGACTCCTCGAACAACCCAAAGTTGACTAAACAAACAAGGAAAGGAAAAGAATTGGGACAATACGAGGAATACAATGTCAGCTTCACTTCAAGGCCTCTCCTTATCTATTCCTCCTACATCTGTCAATCCTTGGGATCACCGCTCTACCCTGCAACACCAAGCACGTCCTTGGGGAGCAAACATACTTCGTAACTTCAAGACAGACAAGAAGAGGAGAGAAGTTGTCGAAATTCACCTACGGGCGGCTAATGGACGCAGAGCAAAGATTCATGACAGCTACAGTGACTCAAAGCTTTTGAAACGGCTACCCAGTCAAAGTGACGTAGTCACCACTCTTTTTCCCTAGCCGCTGACCACTATCAAATCAATTCTCGAATATCACGCGGGCCACAAGCCAATGGCCCATCAGAGCTGACATACCTTTTCAGCGGCACACTTTGTGCGCCCGTCCAAGGGGAGGGAAAGACAAACGAGGAAGAAGAAGGGGGGGGGAGGGGGATAAGCACAGTTTCTCACTAGCTTCGCCTAGAAAAAGAGGTGAGGAAAAGAGAGACACACAGAGAAAATTGTGGTCTTGGAAAATGTAGCAGCTGCCCACAGAGCCAGGAGGCTTACTGTCACAAATTTCCACCTTTCACATTTGCTGGTCGGTAGTTGATCTCATGAAGAGCAGATGCAAGTCACCATGGCAATAATCGGTTTTGGTTTTCTCATCTTCTTGATCATCTATTACTACCAGGCCTCTTTGCCGACCACATCTTTTATCCAAGAAGAAGATAAGAAAAGAGAAGGGGAAAGAAGTGCGAGGAGGTACACTATGCTGTAATATGAACACTTTGATCTTGAGACGGGAGACGTCTAAAGTCTCGGAAGAACCCAGCCAACCCCTCCCGATATGCCTGCGACTAACATAACGAATTCAGCTCTGTCTTTCTATCGACTTAAGGCGAGTCTCAGAGCTCGTGCCATCCATCTCATATTCGAGGAAATTTCCCACTCAGCGCCCCCTAGCCCACATTCTAGAAGAAAATCATCTATGACTCCTGCCGCAGTGGTCACCTCCTTGGCGCCAGCCGACCTTTCAGTGGAGCCTGGTATCTCATTTGAGTAATAGGAAATTACACTCCGTATTAACACACCGCAGGCCCCAGAAACACACGCACACACACACACACACACACACACACACACACACAATATATATATGTATGTATGTACAAACAAACGAAGCCCCGATAAGAAATGTCATGCGGTTCCTACCCTCTGCCTCCTGTCCTCGTGGATGTTAGGCACTGGGCAGGGGGTCCGCGGAACTTTTGAGGGCCGCTCAGGCCCGTCACAAGGAGCTGTCGAGGCTCCGAAACTCGATGACCTCGAGATCTCCGAGGCCGCTCGCTTCAAGTTTGGGAGCACTCCGACCAAGTCCCCCGCCGACGGCCGGTGGCTGTCGTCGACATTCTCGTCATCGTCGAAAGGGGCGTTCACGTCGAGCATCGGATCGTGCTCCCAGCTGGCCTCGAGACCTGGTAGGAAGATGGGCGAGTGCCTGAGGGCATGCCACGACAGGGTAGAATGTTGCATGGCGATGTAGAGGGAGTCGATCTTGCCGTGGGTGTCGAGCACGGCGCAGTGTGAGCGCAGGAAATCAACGTCGTACCCCGAGCCCACGAGCATTGGATCTAGAGGTCGCAGCATCGGCAGGCCCTGGAGAGATTCGGCGTCGCAGAGCTTAGCCTGCAGCGGAACCCACGGCCGGTTCTTCAGCAGCCTGCTGAAGGCTTGCGATACGGCAGAGACGAATGCGTCCGAAGATGTGCCGTTTACAGCGACCATCTGATGCAGACCCCTGGACAGACACCGTTTGTATGCGTTTGTGTGGCGTTCAAAAGGGAATGGTAGTGAGTTGCTGGGGAGGAGTGACACGTGGACGGTCCAAAGCTCCTCCGAGGCAGCCGATGTTACCGGCCTAGATTGTTGCACCGACGACGGCCGCGCAGGTGCACTGGGGGCGGACACGACAGGTGGCAACGCGCGGCGCTGAGAGGCCCCGGAGGACGCCCGCCGCTGTCGAGCTGTAACCTCAGGGGAGGCAGTGATACCTTGCATCATGGGGCCCGACATGGACTGGCGTCTGGGCCTCTGCCGCACCGATGTGTCCTCGAGCCCATCTTCGATACTCTCGACCAGCTCGAGGAAGCGTTCCTCGAGGTTGAGTTCGGCGTCATTGAGCTCGCACTGCCGGCCACGCAGCAAGTGCAGCTCATCATCCACGTTCTTCAGATGTCCTCCAACACCTCGGAAGCGGTGGTCGTGCTCGCCGGTTCGTCTCTCCAACTCCTCGATCGAGTGCCATGCTCGATTGATGTTTCCATATGTCTTCTTGATCTCCTGGCTCATCTCTTCCGTCCTCGTCTCCACAACTCCTTCGAGCTCGCTGACCCTCTGTATCACCTCATTCTCCTTGTCGCTGCCCTTCAGTAGGAGCTCTTCCAGCTGCCGTACCCGCTGCCGGAGTAGGACAAGTTCCTGCTTGTCTATCGGCGGCTCTGACGTCCTGTGGTGGAAGCAGGCGAGATGCCCACACTCGCAGGTAGCCCCGGGTCGTGACTTGTTGAGGGTGAAGTTGACACATGCACACCGATTGCCCTTGATCTCAGGCACGAGCATGATGTAGCGGCAGTTGCCCTGGGGCAAGGTGGACTCGTCAGCCTCAGGTGTCGGCCCCGTCGAGGGGGCCGGGGACGCATGCGCAGACATGCTAGGGACGAGGAGTGGTGGTGGGTGTGAGCATGGATCAATGCTGGGCTGACAAGGACCATCCAGTACGAGCCAGCCTTCCTGCCGAGATGGCCGATTAAGCTTTGTTAAATGAACAGCGAGCCTGACTGTGTTGTGGTGGCAGCTTTGGAGCAACACGAACGGCTTCAGCCTCCTGCGTGTTGCCAAGTCAAAACTGTCTATGTGGTGAAAGGCGTCCACAAGAGATATAACATGGAGGAGGAGGGGGAGGAGGACGAAGAGACGTGACAAGCAAATTTAGCCGGGTACCGGTGGTCTGGAGGTAGGGCTGCGTGCGTCCTGGGGTTGGTTTTAAGATTGGTCCAAGCAATTGCGGGTCGTCACATCTAGGGGACGAGGGAAGGGGCCTCGCGTGGTCAAGTAGACAGCAGCGAGACCTGAAGACCCCACGACATGTGAGAGGCCTCGTCACCAGACAGGGGTCGAGGGCGGGACAGCGACGTGCAGACGTGGGAGGCGGAGGGTAGCGGGTGGGTCTTTTGGAAACAGAGAGGCCAGTGGAGACAAGATGAAGAGGGAAGAGTGTTCGTTTCGAGGCGGGAGAGGAGGAAGATATCAAGCCAGGTGGAGTACCAGCTTTAAAGAGGGTCTCGCGGGGGATAAGGCAGAAGAGGCCAGCAATATTGCTCCTTCAGATAACAAGAAGACGACGGTTGCGGCCAGCCGGCAGGCGGAACCCTTTGAAAGAAAGATGGATCGAACGTAGCCTGGCTGATCCTGGTCTGGCTGGCCCAGGCGATCGCGGGTAAGAAAATGTCAATGTGCAGACGGGATGATGTGTTGGTGATAAGGTTCGATGATAGATAGAACGAGCGCAGGGGATTGGAGAAGAACAAGACGTGGTGGTAGCCTTAAAAGATCAGGCAAGGAAAGGCAAAGATTGCGACAAGACGACAGGATGAGACAATACACACAGCACAGGCCAGGCCAGGCCGTGCATGCGCCTCGGAAGCAGATCTGAGGCTATTGATAGAGGGACAAGAAACAAGGTTATAGAAGTGGGTGGTGGACGATGACCTGTGGAGTCTATCTCAAGTAAGTACTACGGGTGCTGGTACTCATGTATGGTACATACTTAAGGAAAGGAGTGTGTGACACGGAGACCACGAGATGAACAGAGAGGTAGGGCAGAGGCCAAGCCAGGATGGACTTTCTCTGTAGGGCGTAGTGAATTTCTTGTGGCAATGCTGGGCAAGCACGAGGCAAGGACCAGAAGCAGGAGTGATGGAGAATTAAAACAAATAAAAAATGGATAATGATAATAATAACAGTAAGGGAAGTAACCACCCCCGTCACCCTTCCTTTCTTTTCCCCCTGGCTTGACCCAGTGCCCACGTTGGTTGGGTCACTGTTGCTCGCCTCCATTGTCAAGCGACGGTTCAAAATACCAGATCCCGTGGACAGGACTTGAGGACCTGGTCAAGCGACTGGCCCAGAGGGTGCCGAGATAAGAGGGTCAATTGACTGGATCGGAGTAGACTCTCTAAGCACGACAGTGTGTGGTAGGGCCATACTGTTGGCTGGTATGAATTTGGGGGGGGGGGGGCGGAGGAACTTTGGGGAAACTCTTGGGGGGGGGTTGCTAAGGTCTGGGGTGTGGTGGTGCGATGGTACACTCATTACCCCCAATCTCTTAGTGAGGTACCAACGTTGACCACGCCCACGTCCACACAAGGATGTTCCCGGCTAAGACGGAACGGTACCTGAATACCCTGAATACTTATTGTTAACTCGAGGACGGAGGGATCCCAGATGCCTCCTGTCTGTCTCTCCTTCCTTCGTACCCATACTTTTCGTCCAACACCCTTCACATTGCTTCTTCGAGAGGGTGGCCAAAGCATTGGGGTCCCAAACAATAAGAAAGACATGAACAACCTTGCTATGCACCTGTCGAGCGATGATCTGATAACAACCATCCTACGCTAACCAGTCAGAACCATGGAGGACCACCTCTTGCAGTTCAGCTCGAAAAGCCTTTTCCCATCAACCAGAAAAAAATGCTCACCGCATAAAGATAAGGATCAGCAACATGTGGCATCACAAGCACAGGCTCAAAATTCCCATCGATGACGCCAAATGCACATGCCGAATCGCTATCGGAGGCGGTCTCTCTTGGGCATGCACCTCATTATGACCCTTGGTTCGTGGAGCCAGTAACGAGCGCCACACACACCCTCTCTTAGGGGTCCTGACCATGGGATTTGGGGGTCGGTGGGGACTTGGCTACGAGGGACTCGAACTCGAACTCGAGAGCGAGCCTTGGTACTGCTGCTGGCTTTCTCAGCAGCCCAAAAAGGACCTTTTTCTTTCTTTCTTTCTTTCTTGTTTTTTTTTTTTTTTTTGCTGCTTGCTATACAACACACAAATTCTCTGCGCCGCGACACGACACCCACGGATGCCACAATATGGGAGACCTGAACACGTATACGATTGCTTCTTCTTCTAGAGATTTGTCATGCCGGTCGTTGTTCTTACCTCTCTTTCTTTTTCCAGCGCCAGAAGAAAGCTCTCTCCACAAGGCTCCAATATCCGCTCCATTAATTTTTCCCTCTCCCACCTTCTTTTCTTTTTTTCTTTACCGGCTGCACGTCGCACGGGGTGCTCAGGCAGGGCAGGGGATGGGTGCTGCATGACAAAGAGTGGGAGAAGAATCCCCCATGGCGCATGGCAGTGGGGGCAGACAAGATAAGAGTTGCTCACCCAGGCATGGGGTTATTGTTGCGGCCCACTGATACCACCACCACCACCACCACCACCACCACCACTTACTCTGTCGCCCGTCTCAGGTTTCTGAGGGTTCAAGGCCTAGTTCCGGACGGGGGTGGCTTTCACCTTGTCGGTCAAGCTCCCTCCTCATCACGCCAGTTTTAGCTTGTTGATGTCAGGAACCAACGGTCAACACAGTCACAAAACGATCCTAATGCTAGGCTCCCGACAGGAAGACTGAAGAGTCGGGAGATGAGACCAAGTAAAGACCGTTTGATGGCTGCGATCCACGCCCTGGAGCAAAGCCACAGGCTGCAACCAGCAGAACGGTCGGGTACCTGCTCAAAATGCCGCGGGAACCCCCACGGACCTCGCGGGCGCCATGACGGGCCCTTGAGTCTGGAACTCTCTGCCGCCGCGGGAGTGCACTGATGTTTGTGTGCCATAGTACAACGGCATAATGACCTGCAAGCGTATGCTGCTCTTTCATTTTGCTTCTTCTTGCCGGGGCGATTCCCAACTCAGAAGCAAGGAAGGCTTTTCACGGGGGGCCAGAGCCTCATGCAAGTGGTCAACCAAACCCCCTCACCGTCACATCTTGCCATTTTATCGGTCTGCTGCAAGATGGGCTCATGGGTTGCCTGTTGAGGACAAGACGCGCACTCTGCTCCACACCCGTTCACTGCGGCCCCGTGCAGAGAGCCGAGGACGATGTTTCGATGACGCCCACTTGGAACGGCTCGACAGTATATGTCCTACGGCAATGCAACTCTTCTTCCGATCTCTTTGAACAAGCGAGCCAGGGACCCGCGTCAGCATTCCAGAATTGGATGTTCCTTTGACCTGCATCATGCGGCTCACTCCCGTCCTTCCTCGAGGGTCAAGCTCACTGGACCGGTCAAGGGCAGAAACGACCTCTTTTGGTCAGCCCGCGCGCTCTTCGGATGAGCCGCCCTGCCGATGAGACGGTAGACTTTTGGATCCAGTTTGGAAACCGCAGCCTCTCAGCCAGCCAAGAAAGATGAGCGGCTTGGGCGCAACCCCCATTATTTGTATGGATGTGGGTGTGTCTGTCTGTGACAAGGCGATAACACGGCATCAGAGACATGCATAGTATTGAGTGCCGCCAAGCTTTCGGATGTTCTGTCTCTACGGGCCGTTGATCTCAGCGAGCCGGGTTGATCGCGTCTTCTGTTTGCCTCCGTGGTCCGACACGCGCCGCCGCCATCTGATTTACTTCTGCCGTTATCTAGCTGCTGCTGCAATGGACGGGATGAGCGAGCAGTGGGCAGAAGAAAAGAGAGAAAGAGAGAAGGAGAGAGAGAGAGAGAGTTGGTTTCGCAGTGCCACACAGACACACAACCCCCACACAATGTCGTGTCTGCCCAGTGACCATCCCAACCCGGAAGATCCAAAGCAGCAGCCGTGAATAGGCATCGGCCCTACCGTACCTAGCCCTGCAGTGCGTCCCATCGACGGGCGGGCTGGTCCCCTTGCAGCGATGGCTTCCCGTCTCGTTGGGATACTTCTTGTCTCTCCCCCGTACTTGTGCTCTTGCTCCTCACGCTCGCTCTCTAAAACAGCGAGGTGGGCCGGGAACTTTTACCTAATGTCGACCCACTACCCCGTGGGTTGATGGGTAGAGTGGGTCACTGGGTGTGTGGCAAGAGTGGGTATATCGATGGCGGTCAGGGGTCCACCGGCCTAGCCATGGATTGGGTGGCCGGAACGAGCCTTCTGGTCGGTATGCCTGAGAGCCCACCTTTGACCACACCAACTCCCCCCCCCCCCACGCATCGGGACGTCACCAGAAGAGGGAAGAGATCCCCGAGTCTTGCGGCAAAGATCTTTGTTTGAGCCGCTCATCCTTGGGAAGGAGGAATGCAACTGAGCATTGTTGAGCAACATTTTTGCCACACATACACACACCATACTGTCTCTGGGCGCTCATTCGACTACAACATTCTCGTGTGGTGGTGGTCCGTCTCGTCTGTTTATCCTGTCCACGGATACAGGCACGACTGGGCATCGGCAACCGAGGCTCGGTACTTGGCAGCTGACTACGCAGACCCATATCGTACCCTGTTGTGCCTACGTGCCTTTCCATTCTGCATATTCAGTATATGCACCCAGGTTGTGAATCTTCAAATCCAAGATGGACAAGTGTTCATCATCATGACTTGGGCTGCTGGAGAGCATACTAAGTGATACACCAATGTCATTTTTTTCCCCTCTTCTTTTTCCTTTGCTGCCCAGGACACGCTACCTATGCAGGTCGATTGGCTGAGGTGCTCCAAAACTTCTGCAGTCTGGATGGGGCCTATCAGCTGTTGGCGGCTAAGCGCCCAGCCGCCCTCTAATGCTATAGCACATACACGCGCCCCGCACTCTGACCAGCCGTGATGTTTTTTTATCGAATGTTTAGCAAGGTTGGAGTCACCGCACTGTCACTGTCTTAGCTCTTGGTTCAAGTACGTGAGCATCTCAGTCGAGTATTAATTGATACTTCTTTGGAACCAAACGCCTTTTTTCTACGCCTGACAGGGAGTGAGTGTCCTGCAGCCGATGCAAACTGGAGGGAAGATGGGCTTTGATGAGAGCGTATCGGCGCTCCTCTTGACGTATGACAACTGTCTGGCCCTGCTGAAGGCCTTCAAGCGGCAGAAGAAGCAAGATGGGTCCCGCAAGACCACCAAGACTAGCGAGCGGCAGGCCCTACTGAGGCGCTCGCTGAGGACAGACCGGAGGAAGGTCGAGAGCGCGTACTCGTCACGGGTGTCCGTGGCTGGGAGCCGTTTCGAGAAAGGCGACTGTGAGAAAAGGACCCACTCCCCCTCCCAACCAGCGAACCGTGCTGGTGTCAAATGGATGGATACATGGACTAAAGCGTGGGCACTGCACAGCAAAAGCGAGGTCAGCGCTCGACAAGGTACTGAAGAGGCTCAACGCCGCCATCAAGAGCCTCATACGGCTGGCGAGCAAGGGTCCCAACCCGGCCCTGGACTACCAGTCGCTGACGTCGCTGTCCAACTCGTCGAGGTTGCAGGCGATTAAGACGTTTGATCAGCTCTCCCACCGTTTGGATAGCAAGGCGTCTCATGGCTCGGTCGTCTCGGCGAACACCAACGCCCGGTCGTCCAAGTCATCGACAAACACGACGACAAGTTCTACGACCAAATCATCAGGGACATCATCCAGGTCGTCACGAAGCAAGACGTCCTCGAACGCGAGGAGTTCCCCACCAGCCAAGACTATCAAACGGAAAAGTATCAAGGCCGCCACCAAGAAGGCCGAGGAGACCAGCAAGCCTACCACCACCACCACCACCACCACCAGCAGCAGCAGCTCTTCCTCTTCCTCTCCCACCGCCGCGGCCCCCAGGAGAAGACTGACCGAAGCACCATTGCCACCACTGCCACCGCTACCACCACTTGCACCACGCCTGGAGTCGTCCATCCAGACGCCGCTCCTGGACGCGATGGAACGCAGGGACAGCGGCGGCGGAGTTCCACTCACACGACGGCTGTCCAACATGACCAATCGCTTCTCGCTCATCTCGGCGTCCTCGGACAGCACGAGACTGGGTGAGATCCCAGACCGCAGGTGGCGGCGGGCGCTCCTCGACGACCTGAACGAAGGGTCCAATGAGTACTACAGCGCGCCGGTCGTGTATCCGCTGAAACCGTATCAGCCAACGGTAAAGGAGAAGAAGTTCTTGGGTCTGTTCAGGAGGGGCAATTAACAAGAGAGAGAGGGTGGGCTGGCAGGGTTATGGCTGTGGGTGTGGGTGAGGATGAAACGGGAAAGACTGTTCCCGGGGTTGCAGCGCATCTGTGTCTTTCTTGGTGGTGGTGGTAGGTGTTCATACTCAAGTCAGACACTTGAGGAGAAAGAAAGAAGAAGAAAAAAGAAGGGAAAAAAGCAGGCCAGCGGCATAAGAAGATGGCTAGCTTGGTTGCCAGAATGCATTTGACAACGCAAGGAAGAAAAAGGAAATCCCATGCGGGCCCCGTCTTTACCAGCTATGGTGCACGGAGAAAGAACCGTTGTCGCCCGCCCTCCTTCCTTATATGACGATTCACAACGTAGGTTGCGTGCCAGTACTTTACGTCTACTGCACACGGCCTGCAGCTGGATGATGGATCTGCTTATGAGATGGGCCGCCTTTGCAGCTGCAGCAGCAGCCGAATGTCACCACAAATTGAAACTTTTGTTGTGATACCGGGGATCTTTTCCTCAGTAACGACAGCCTGTACGCACAAGAGAGAGAGAGAGAGAGAGGGAAAAACCAACGGGACTCGCCACCTTCCGGGACGGACAGCACCGGGAATATTGGCCGCATCTGGCCAGAGGCGGCGTACAATGCAGGGCAGGCAGGGGACGGGAGAGAAGAGACACATTGATAGGCGAATCGGCCTTGCAGCTGCCTGATGTGGTTGTGTTATCGTCTACTATGTCTCGGTCTCTTGTGTGGGATGTCTCATCAACAAAAGCAAGGAGAGGGAGGGGTTCTCTTGTTTTAGTTCGCCCAGGTCGTGAGCGTGGTAATCTCCTTGAACAAGTTCTGCGGACAGACACCCTGGACAGACGTTTTGCGTGAAGAAGACACGAAAATTTGATGCCTCAGTTTTTTCTTATTCATGTTTGTGTATGCATAGTGCCTCTTGTTCTCGAGTGCCTGCAAGCTCATTAAATGGTGAGAGTGTTGTTGACTTGGGAGCCTTGGAAAGAATGTTTATTGTAAAGTGACCTTATGCTTGATACCGGACATCAGAAAATCGTCTTCTTATTTCTCTCTTAGAAGTCACAATTAGTAGATGAGCTGGCCTTGCTTGTCTGTAGTGTCAATTGAATTCATGGGACGAGAATCCACGGTGGTGCAGGATGGCCAGAGCAGGCGAGGAAATCTGTCTAGACCGTATTCAACCTCTTCATCGTAGGGCAACTGCAATAATGAACCTCTGCTGATTCTTTCTTCTTACTTGTACTTTTCAGAAAATAATTTCCAATTTTTCTTTCTTTTTGCAATCTTCCCAGTATCAACAAATGGTATATCCTGGTGGAGATTAAATTCGTCCAAACGATGCGAGTTTACTTAAGCTAGGCAACTAAGATTCCCAAGTGCTTGCTTGTGTGGTCAAGTACGTTTAGCGATGCGGCGGTATGCCTTGGCGGCAAGTTGTTTGCAGTTTAGCAAAGCTTGGTAGCCCCACCAAAACCCAACGAACGGACAACCTGGAGCTCCTTTGCTCAGAGAAGCCTCACTGTGGCAGATGCCCCTCCAAAAAAGGTTCAACCCCCTCCACATCTCCTTCCCTTCCCTTGCCTACAGCACCACCCCACGTCTGAACGTCTCGAGGATTTCCCACAGCTCTGAGAGGGGGCAAGACGGAGAGAGACGACGCAAGCAAAGAATTTTCCATGGTACCATCTCCAAGACCATGAACACACGACAGTAAAAACCATATCCCGCATCCAACATCAACATCACCAAGATTTGGCCACGCGCCTTCCTTCGAACAAACCAGGCCGACCTGTCACGACCGATTGGAACCCCCCAAGGCGGAACCCAGATTCGCCATGACCGCCAGCAGCCTGACCAGCCTCCTCGCCCGGGCCAGCATAGATGACCACGCCGAGGCCCTCGCTGCTGCCGATGCCACCCTCGCCTCCGACCCAAAGTCCCTCCCCGCGCAGCACACAAAGGTGACAGCCCTGCTCCGCCTCGAGCGCTACGACGATGCCCTGCGCGTGATCGTGGCAGGAGGCGACGCGCTCGAGAGCCGGTGCGCCCTGGCCAAGAGTTACGCCCTCTACAAGACAGGTGCCCTTGACGAGGCTTCGGAGCTGCTAGCCAAGCACAACCAACAAGATGGTGATGGAGATAAGAGATCCGGCGGTAGAGCGCTGAGGCACGTCGCCGCCCAGGTGGCTTACCGCGCCGAGAGGTTCGACGACGCCCTGCGCCTGTACGAGGGCCTGCTCCGGGACGAGAAGGAGGAGGAGCGGAGCAACGTGGGCGAGGACACCGATCTCAAGATCAACCTGCTGGCGGCGCACGCGCAGCTCGAGTGGCAGGGAAGGGGGGACCTGGTCCCCGAGAAGAGCAAGAAGCCCGGCCGGGAGGACCTCGAGGCCTTCGAGACGGCGTACAATGCTGGCTGTGGGTGTGTGGCCAGGGGGGACCTCGCCAAGGCTTCGATACTGCTCAAGAGGGCTGCCGATCTGTGTGATGCCGCCGAGGACCTGAGCGAGGACGACAAGAGGACCGAGATGCTGCCGATTCTCCTGCAGCAGGCCTACGTTCTCGCGCTGATGGGCAAGAAGGAGGAAGCCGCCGCCCTGCACAGGGGCGTGGAGGACTACGAGTACGTATATCACTCCCCAGCCAGATTTCTCTCTCTTTTATATATGGGGTGTGATTGTGTGTGCTAACAGCAACATGGAACAGCATTTCCGACGATGCCATCAGTGCCGCTGGCAAGTGGAATGCCTTGATCTCCAAATCCCTTACCAACCCTTTCATGGTCCAGAGGCTCTCCGAGCTGATACCTGAAGCCAAGACGGGCAACGGCAAGCTGTTCAGCCACCAGACCGTAGGCGTCATGCGCAATCAGGCCGCGATCGACCTGCAGTGTTATAAGCCAAGCGCTGTCAAGAAGCGCACTGCTCACCTCATCAAGGCCGACCCGACGCCCTCAACAGACCTAGAGAGGGTGTCGTGGGGTTACCTAAACGCGGCGGCCAAGGCCAAATCACAAGCAGACAAGGAGGCTCTGACAAAGGTTGTCGAGCTCCTGGAGGAGCGACCCTACGATGTCGGCCTGCTCCTGACCGTCATACAACTCTACGTCCATGCCAAGAAATACGACAGCGCCATGGACGTCCTCCACAAGTTCTTCAAGTACGTCGAGGAGGCTGGCGAGGCCGGCCACCAAGATGTCCGATACGCGCCTGGCCTGGTCTCCCTGGCCGTGGCTCTGTACCGCACGCAGAACCGCAAGAAGGATATCCGCGATGAGCTCGGCCGGGCAGCAGCGTACTGGCAGAGCATACCAGAGAAGTCCTCGTCGACAACCTTGCTGCGGGAGGCGGGCGTGGAGCTCCTCCAGTCATCGAGGCCAGCCGATCTGACCACCGCAGGCGCTGCCTTTGAGAGCCTCGTGTCACAAGATCCAGACGACCGGATCGCACAGGCCGGCTTCATAGCGTCTTATGCAACCACCGACTACGCCAAGGTCGAGCCGCACCTGTCATCCCTCAGCTCCGTCGACGAGCTCACGGCAGGCATCGACATCTCCGCCCTCCTAGACGCAGGCGTGCCCGCCTTCCCGGTGCCCCAACAACCTGCACCAACTAGGAAGAAGCGCAAGACAGAAGAAGGCGCCGAGGCGGCATCAGCACCACCCGCCGCTGCCGAGACCACGACCATGCCAAGTTCCCAGCACAAGAAGAAGAAGTCACGCCTGGCCAAGAACTACGATCCGAACGTCAAGCCGGACCCGGAGCGCTGGGTGCCGCTGCGCGACCGCAGCAACTACCGGCCCAAGAACAAGAAGGGCAAGAAGAAGGCGGCCGAGTCGACACAGGGTGGGTTCGTGGCCGGCGAGGGCGAGATGTTGAACCTGGCGGGCGGGGCAGGCCAGATCAAGGTCGAAAAGGCGCCACAGGGCGGGGGCGCCAAAAAGAAGAAGGGGAGGAAGTAAGAAGGATGCGAGTTCTTGCGTGCGTACACACGTACATCCTAGAGCTCAGCACGGGCAGTCTGTTTACAGAGGTACAGGATTGTTTTTGTTGGAATAAGAAGGTTATGGTTTGAGGGTTTTTTTCTTCAGGAAAAAAAATGGAGAGGTCAGGGGCGGGATGGGGCAGATAAAGGCATAGAGGATCAAGAGATGGCTGGCTTGGAGTACGAGTCGTTTTGTCTATGTCGTATCTGGAGGCTCTGCCGCTGGGTGAGGACTCAGGCCTGGAGACTTGTGGAGGAGTGGTCAGATCACTCATCACACCCTGCAATAGCAGCAGCAGCAGCAGCAGCAGCAGCAGCAGCAGCTCCAGCAAGAAAGTTCAAGAAGACAAACCAAAATTTCGAAAGAACTTATGTGCCGGTCTGCGTATGTGACTTGTGGGTGCTGGTGAAGTTCGGGGCTGTGTGGCGGCTGCTGTTCAATCACCTACATACAGCAATAACAGCCAGAATTCTGCTCGATTCCCCCGCGCGCCGGCCCTCTGCGGCTTCGACAGAGGTTATGTATCCCATCATCTCGGTCGTGTATGTACCAGGAAGTGATTCGCAAAGACCATGGTTTCTTTTCGAGTGGACTAGGCATAATTTAGGCATAACTTGAAAGCAAACCATGAGAATCTCGCAGGCATGACTCTGGATATTAGTTGGGACCCGTTTTGGTATGGACTATATAGGCTGCAAAAATTGTGCAGTTAATGTACATCTAGCCCGGTACAGGGCGCAAATGGTTTAGTGGTAAAATCCATCGTTGCCATCGATGGGCCCCCGGTTCGATTCCGGGTTTGCGCACACTTTTGGACTTTTTTCCTACTTTGTCTTTTCGTCTTTCTCTTCCTTCACTCTCTGTTTATTTTCATTTTGATTATATTTTCAATTGGTCACTCATGTTCATTTCTCCCTTTCTCTCTCTTTTCCCCTCTTCACTACCTTTGCTTCTGAGGAAATAAATCGTTGTCTTCAGGTGAGAGTTTCAGGACAATCCATTCTATAATGATGATGAACGACAAACATGATTTTCGTGGCAGACAGACGTTAGAACGCGCGTATCCCCCCCCCCCCCTCTCTCATTTTCCTCCTTGCAGCTGCGGAAGACTGGGTCTGGGCCCCAAACACGTACTGTCCCCTTCTCAAACATATCCATGCTTGCGAGTGGTTCATCAAGCAGGACTCACACAAAAGCACCTGTGAACGGAGCGGGCCATGAGGTGGGTTTCCCCCCCGGCGGTGGGATGATATGGAATGAAAACGTCGTTCGAGCTTGAGACGCGGGTTACGGAGAACTCGGACGACTTGGGTCTTCTACGATGAGAAGTCATCTCATCAAGCCATCGTCAAGGAAAGGTCTATGGGGCCGGTGCATTCATCAGCTTTGACAAAAGAAAGGCAAAGTTCAGAACCCTTCTGCAATTGGTTACTGGGACAGTGTGACGGACACTGCGTTCAAGCCAATTCCATCATGTTGGGAATAGACAGGGATGATGGATGATGTACACCGAGGCACTCACTGATAGTAAATACGGGGGAAAACCCTCAGTTTGTGTGTATATGAATAGCGGGTTTGCTGAGAAAGCAGAGTTTGTCCACAGCAGCGCCCACCTTGCCGCAGTTGCGAAACGAAGCAACCACGAGTCCAAAGAATAACCTGAAACCATCAACTACTCACTGGCATACATACTACAGACCAAAGAAGACTAAGAACCCAAGGGCAGGGGTGTGCGAATCATTCGTCACTATAGGGAAGAAGTTGGGATGGCCATAAGCATACCGCCATTCTCCAGCTGGTCCTGCCTCGGGCTCTGCCCGTGTAACGACTTTGACAACGAGAGAGAACTGAATTCGATAGAGGGGGCGGTGGCTACACCAAGAGAAGCCATGCCTGAACGGCTTGTGCCTGTCAGAGAATGACTTGGCAAGCCCCGATTCCGGGTCACATCTTGTTACATCTAACACAGTCCACACAGCTAAAGTTGGAGGGGGTTGGATGTGTGTCCAAGAAGAAGTATGGATCGGCTGAAATGATGGTATTAAAACAGTAAAGCTAACTGCTCAATACCAACATGTTTGACTAGTCCTTCAATCAGCATCAGAGAAAGCAAACCAGTTTGGCAGATATCATCAAAACCTACACCTCTGCTGACTATTTCCAGCCAAATGCTCCCAGTCCCTGGCCCAAAATCATCTGCAACAAGCCCAACAATGTTGAGCAGGATGTTGAGGATCAGTGCATTAAGAGGCTCTAGAGGGTTGCATGAAGAGGATCACTCTGGTCAGTCAGTCATTTTGGTCTGGCCCACGAGACCTAATCCCAGGACACTTCACCCCCCCCCCCCAAACACAGATCACAAAGCAACAAGCAAAGAATCTTGTCAATAGAATAAATTCAAATTCATCTCCTGATAATTCATCAACCAGCAGGACTACCACACGAGCCCCCTCTCAGCTCTCCAACCCAGCTTCTCTGAACTGCAGCAGATTGCCAGGTACATGAGGATGAAGAGTGGTGGTGTGAAGCCCGATATGGTGGGGGTATAGTTGTTCATATAATAAAATGTCCCGCTTTCGCCCGCTCGCCTTAAAGGAAACCCAAAGTCATCCATATCTCATAAAATGCGTACCGTATACCATCGGTAGTGACGGTCTGAGCACCGGAAGAAGAAAGAGAAAAGATGAAACAAGTGAAAAAGAAAAATCCACCAAAAGCCGTACCCAAGAGCGAAAAGGTCCAACCCGGTTTTGACTGGTCAATCATCGCGGGTCAAGACCATCTCGCATCCAAGGGTGAGCCATCAAAGGAATTAAAAAGGAGAAAAGAAAAGATGGAAGAAGATACTTCTTGGCCCAAACAAAATAAGCTCCGGTGGATAAGAAATGTATGGGGGGGGGGGGATTGTGATGTTATGACGGTCGCGAGCTGCTGCAAGGCAGTGACAACAAAAAGAACACTGTTTGAAAGAACAAGAATGACCAAATACAAAACCAACAGATGCTCTATGACACTTGCTCAGATAAACGCCCTTGTAAACTCGGCTCGGTTCCCTTGATGTTTGTTGTTGACAACTCTTGTGTTGCGTGGATGTCACCCATCTCACCCGCCTGTCCGCCCCCCTGTTTTCCAATCCGCAGAACTTGCGTTCTGAAACCTGTGATCCTCCTCTTGAATTTTGTATTGAAAAAAGTACAATCCCTTTTTTCCTACTCCTGACTCCGAAATTTGCTGGTCCTGTGATCCCCCCACCCGCCCCTCCGTGTTGGCAGGGCCATAGTGTGTGTGTGTGTGTGTGCGTGCGTGTGGTCTTTGATCAAATCTGAGAAAGGCTGAACGTGTCGACCAATCACAAATATATATCCCCCTCAATACCGTTCACCCATCTTCTCCACGCCTCCTCATATGCGTCCTCAAGATCTCTAACCCAACGCCGGGTGTTGAAGAGCGCGCAGCTCCACTTCGCCTCGAACAGAAGCTTCCTCAGGTCCCACAGCCGACCTTCAGCCTGGCCGTAGCCCTGTGGGGACATACGGTACGAGATCCCGTTGGCGAGCTTGATAGCCTTTTCCTCGTAGGTTTGATCATCCTCTGCAATGAGATCCGTGGCGGCCTGATTGCCAGCAGCATTCCTGGGCAGTGCGCCCTTCAGGATGGAGGCGGCCATCCTGGAGCACATCTTGTATTTGTACCTGGTGAGGGTGAGAAGCGGTGTGCTGGACCACAAGACATCAGCCGCTGTGGTGTGTGCGTTGCACTCGGGCGTGTCGAGGAACAAGTCGCAGACGCGGGCACGAGAGATGTGGTGCTGCTTGGGTGCCACGTCGGTGAAATAGATGCGCTTGGCAACATGCGGTGCCCACTCTTCAGCTGTCTCTCTGAGAGCGCGCTCGCCCAACTCTGGAAACTTGAGGAGCCATAGAATCGCCTTGGGTGTCTTGTCGAGGATTCGTAGCCATGTGCGGAAGGTTGTAGGGTCAATCTATACCCGCCAGCGTCAGCCCAACTCATAGCCCAGAACCGAGGACGAATTCTTGTTCAAAGTGGGGGTTTGAAGAAGAAAAAAGAAGGAGAAGAAAAGAAAGAGAGAGAGAGAGAGAGAGAGAGGAAAACGTCGACTTACCTTGTATAGTTGATTGAAATTGCCGAGGATGATGGCATCATCCGGGATATCGGGAAAGATGGACTTCCGCATCACCCACCGACGACTCTGCTCCTCTTCCCAGGTCACACCCCGCTCTATCATGTCGGCAGACTGCCTGTGATCGCAACAGAAGAAGGTGTCCCTGCAGAAGATGATGTTCTCAGAATACACCCAGTCCTCGGCCTCGCCCTCGGCGTCGTCGCGGAAGACGTCGCTCAAGGTCAGGTTGGATCTGTACGGCCGCAGCGTCTCGGGGGGGATGGCAGTGGTATCTGCGAGGAGATAATCGCACCATTCCGCCCCGAGGGTGCCCGCAAAGCCCATGAACGACATCTGAATCGGAGCCGGTCGAGCTGCAAAGATCTCGTTGCGCGCACCTCTTGTGTAGCCGTTGAGGTTGACGAGGATGTGGATGCCGTCTTTGACAATCTGCTCGACCAGTTTATCGGAGGACCAGCTGCTGACGTCCCGGAAGACAGGCGCCTCGTTTTCGATCTGCTGACGATGCACCGACTTGTCGCTCGCCGTAGTGGCATAGCAGAAGGCCTTTGCCCGGGCCTGGTTGTGGAAGCCGAAGACGGACTGCATGAGGTGAGCCAGTGGATGGTTATTGAAGTCGGAGGACACATAACCAATATTGAGGCAAGGCTTCGGCGGAGCAGGTGGCGGATAGACCGACTTTGGCAGCCAGGGTGAGCGGAGCGTGGAACACGAGATCCTGAGCGCGTTGCGCTGCGAGATTCGCCGCACGTCCTTGGCCGTCAGTGGATTGGTGAAGGTATGGAACGGTAGCACCGTCGGCGCGGACGGGATGGTGAGGCTGTTGGGAGGCCTGACGCGGGGGTAGCCTCGCGGCGATTCAACCCCGCGCACGTGCCTGTCCAGATACCACTTCCGCGTGGTGGTGCGCGTTAACCGCTCGATCAGCCGAAGCAGCTTGGATCCTTCCCACGGCTTGCCCGCCCATGCCTGCAGCTCTGACTCCAGGTCCAGCGACGGTTCCATGGTGGGCACGTCGGTCGCAGTGAGCAGGGAGACCAGCTGGGCCAGGGCGGCCGGTGTGGTGGTGCCGACCCCCCACCTCGAGGCCTCCTTGAGCTGACGAGCTACGATATCAACCACCTTCTTCATGAGACCGAAGCCGCTGCGGCTCTCCTGTGCATCCACGAGCATGCCCTTGGCGTCAACGTGCCACCTGTCGAACTTGCCACCGTTTAGGTACACGCCGCCGCGTCCTTTCCAGTCGCACACAGAGTTCAATGCCGTCGAGAGTCCACATACAGCCTCGGCAAACTCGGGGTTTGCATCTACAGCCCGCCTGTAGAACCTGATTGCTTCCTCAATACGCCCTCGGTCCTTGACAGCGTTGGCGAGATTGGTCAGGGCGATGTCGAAGGTGCCATCGCATTCCACCGCCCTCTCGTACATCTGGATGGCGAGATCCAGCTGGCCGATGTCCTTGAGCAGGCTGCCCAGGTTGGTGTGAAGATGGACGTGATGCTTATCGAGGTATAGACCGTACTGGTAATATGCGAGGGCCAGCTCCAGGCCACTCCCCTGCGTAATGCCGGGAAGCCGCTGGGAGTAGGCAAACGCAGACACCGTAGCAGGCCCAGGTGCGGCCTGCTGAACGCTTGCGAGGAGGATGCCGACGTTGTTGGCGGTGGACGGACTCTCCTGCAGAGACAGGGACAAGTAGTACAGCGCCAGAATGTCGCTGACGCTGCTGGGCTGCGCCGTTGGACCGACATTCGAGGCACCAGATGACATGGCGTCCTGGAAGATCTTGGCGAGTGACAGGAGAGCATTACTCGTCGTGGACATGGCTGTTTTCTTCTGGGCGCCGTCGGCCACGTATCGAAGCCCTGGCAGCTGCCCACCGGTCATGGAGAAGACGAGCTCGGCAGTCCGCTTCGCCGCCTCCGGCGCCAGCAACAGCGGAGCGGAGAGTGGTGTCTGTTGCTGCTGCTGCTGTTGCTGCTGTCGTTGTATAGGTTGCGATCCGTTCGGCCTAGGGGCTAAAACCAGCTGGATCCTCCTGATCAGGTTCTGAATGCAGCCGAGATCCCGACCTGCGCTGATTAACACGGCCTCTTCAAAATCCATGGACGCACGATTAATCTGTCTCAGCGTGTAGAGCATGTTGCCCTTGGCGTGAATGAGGCCCAACATCTTGCCGTTTTCACTGGCCGGTATGTTGTAGCCACTGGATCCGAAGTCCTCCTGCGATCTGGTAGACACGTGAAGCTTGCGGACAGCCTGGGCTGCCAGCGCTTCGTCTGAGTTGGGCAGCGGTGTCATCTCGCCAGCCTGAGCAGAGTCTGTACCGATACCCTTCTTGTGTCGCTTCTGACGATGCAGTTCATCGTATGGTTGGATACGCAGCTTATGCTGGACACGTTCTATGATCTCGACGGCCTCCCGATTCCGCTGCGTGGATCCCAGCAGCCCGACGAGATGTTCGACTGCCTCAAGATAGTCTGGTCGTGTGTCGATGACCCTGTTCCAATACCGTTCTGCCTCATCCAGGCGGTTGAGACAGTACAAGGTCGCGCCTATGTTGGAAAGTGCTTCCACATGACTACGGTGAAAAATGAGTGTGAGTATATGACTGGCTCATGAGCAGAGCTGAGAAGTGGGAAAGGGGGGCGTCCGGGGGGGGGGGGTCAACATACTTTTCGTCCAGCACGACAATTCTCTTAAACCATTCAAGACCGTCCTCATGACGCTCCAGGCTGTAGCACAGACAGCCACCCATCAACATGCCGTCTATCCATTGCCAGTTCGTCTGTTCACACAAGTTGCGGAGCATCTCCAGAGAGGCTTTGGCATTTTCGCGTGGATTCGACTGGAGCATCACGTTGCCGTACACGGTTGCCGTCACGGTGGGCTGATGAGGGTGAAGGTACCCTGCCACCGCGCCGGGAAAGCTCTGGGGGGACCTCTGCAGGTGAGGAGCAGGCCTCGAGACCAGGTGCTTCGGGGGTCTTGGGAAGATGATGCTCTTGAGCGACCTCGAGGCGGTCCTGCCGTGCTGAACCTTCTTGAGGCGAGTCGCGTGTGTCACGAGGTCGGAATATGCCTTGTGGGCAGACAAGAGGACGCTCTCCTTGAAGTTCTGCTGTGAGCCATCCCCTGCATTGCCACCAGCACCGGCAGCAGCAGAGGCGGCGGCGGCGGCGACGGCTGCGGCGGCAGTAGGGCTGGAGGCAAGCGATAGGTTGTTCTGCAGGCGATGGGGGGACTGCAGCGTAGAGGGAAGAGAATGTCGCGCGAAGCCGTCGTCCAGCATGTACGGCATCTGGAACGGCGAGTTTTGGCCGTAGCCCTGTCCAACCAGGGCCCCCTGAGGCAAGGGGGCCTGGACGGCGACGAAGCCACTCTCATAGGGGATGTTATGTGGCGGATAGCCGGACGAGAAGACCATGGGCTGAGGGAAGCCGACAAGAGGACCATCGGCATAGAGCGGCGTGGAGGGGTTGAACCCCAAGGGCGAGGGCACTGCTGGGCTGGCCGCACTCGGGTTCGGATACGTGCCGAAGGGCCCGCGTAATGAAGGACTCAGACTCATGGCGTGCATCTGGGCAGACGGCGATGGCATCATGGAGCCATAGCCCGGACTGTATCCCAGGCTCCCCTGTGTGCGATAGCCACCGCTGGCGGCGTCGACCGCCTGGCGAAACGCATCGTTCTCCGTACGGCCCGCACCAGGCGACTGCGAGATGGAGAACCACGACGGGCTGTTGTTGTTCATGGCGCTCAGGGACCGACCGGAGCTTGGACTGGGGAAGACGTCTCCCGACGGGGTCAGGTTCAGGTACTTTTGCGGCGGTGGTCCAGCAGCCAGCTGGGTCGGCGTCCCGTCGTAGCCATGATCGATGGTTCCGTTGGGTGTCTTCCTCCGTAGTGAATGTTCTGTATAGGCGGGGACGGTGGAGTTGTTGTTGCTCAGGTTGGTAAAGATCTGGGGCAGAGGGGCTTTGTTCAGAGGGGTCGATCGTGGGAAGAGATCGATGGTCGGGTAGGTATGGAACGATCTTGGGCCAGGTCGCGAGGGGGGCACATTTGGGTCTTGCATGTCAAACCGGCGATGGTCGGTCGGCGAGGCGGTGGCATGATGAATCTGTTGGCCCGCCCTCCCGTAGGAGACTGGCATAAACACCGGCACCACATGCGGCGGGTGGTGCTGGTGCTGGTGCTGTGTTGGGCTTGGCATCAACTCCATCGTGACAGCCTTGTGGTCCTATTAAGAGCCAGATCAGGTATATGTCGGTAGGGCGAGGCTGAAGAGGTGCAGAGCGAGCGCCCTCCCCTTAGGGAAGGCCTGATGTTCGTGACCACCACCACGTGTGTGTGTGTGTGTGTGTGTGTGTGTGTATGTGTATGTGTCCGTTTGTCTTTTTGTATCTGTCCGTCTCGCCTTCGTGCTCGTTTCTCCCGTGCCTTTTTATTTGTACTTTTCTTTCCACTATGTTTCTTTCCTCTTTCGACAGAAACGGTCACGCACGGTTGAAGTAGTTGATGATCGGAGTGGCGCCGTCTGCCATAGTCTGTTAGCGGTCGCGAGTCGATCTCTTAGCCGGGCCAAACGGTTTAGGGAACCAAAATGTTGGAGAGGTCCGAGGCGCGAACGAACGGACGGACGGCTCTGGCCGATCCTCCTGTGGAACTAGAAGAAGTTGTTGCTTTCTCTCTCCCTCTCTCTCTCTCTCTCTCTCACTCTCACTCTTTTTGGTTGTTTGTTTTCCCCCACCACCAGACCTTCACGAAGAAGGTGGGGTGGTATGTGTAGACGTGTGCGCTCTGGGGTGTAAAGAGAGGTGGTGATGGAATCTTCGGATGTGGGTCGAGAGATGCAGCAGCCGTCAGTTATGGAACGGCAGTCTCCAAAAGTTGTAAGAGTCAGTTCCCAGGTCAGGTAGTTACGGTAGTGTAGTGTAGGTGTGTGTAATTAAGTCTAGGTCGTGTTCGATATGGGGTGGAGGGGGCAAAACTAGGCCGGGCGGCTGAGCACACTATGGCTTTTTAGTCAGGGCATGGAATGGAGACCCAGTGGCCCAGCGTCAAGACAGGGAGGCCCGGCCTGAAAGTTTGTGTGGTGCCTGTGGACATGCGTGTGTGTGTGTGTGTGTGTGTGTTGTTGGGTCCCCCAACCTGCCAAGGTCGCCGCCCCCCTCTGGGCTTTGAAGATCTCTGGAGGGGTGGGCGGATGTATGCGTGTGGCACAGTGTTTGGTGGTCTTTTTTTGAAGGATTTCAAGTTTGGGAATGGGTCTTGGGGGTTTGGGTTTGGGTTTTGATCCAACTGGAATGTCCTGGTCGTAATGTTGACAGGCTACCAAATCCCCCCCCTTTGGAGAGACGGGATGAAGAGGGAAGAAGGTGGACAAGAGAGAGAGGGGGGAGGGATGGTTTAGGTAAGTAATGAGTGTGTGTGTGTGGATGGATGAATGTTGTCAATGTTGATGTCGATGGCAGATCAGTCGTTACTTGTTACTTGTTAAAAGTTCCCCCCAATTTCATGCATGCAGGCCAAAAGCTAGTTACTGCTGGCCGCTGCTGCTGTCCCCAGAAAAGGTGAGAAGGAAGGAAGCGCTGTGGATGTTATTGTAATAGGTGGGGCCTGCTGAAGTGGGCTGTAACACACAGTGAGTGGGGCTGCTGGTTGATCCCTGGAGGTCAGGTCTCTCTCTTGTGCCCAGTCAGTGCTCCTCCCATGCTAGGTGACTCTTAGGCTCCCGCTGTACATGCACACTAAGTATGTAGGTACACAGTACGTACCAAAGTACCTCTCGCCCCTCCTCTTCTACTGGTATTCTCCCTTGGCCTTGAACAGGCCCCATCCCATTCTATCCACTCACCCCATTTCTCCCTTCCTCGATCGAGGGTACAGTACTATACAGTATTGATTTTTATTATTATTACATGCTGTGGATTGGGCAGTAGTCAGCACCATATGTGGTATAATTCTCTTTCTAGTATCTTCCACCACTACCTCATTATCATCATGAACAAGAGCAGGCCCACTCATCTTTTTTCTTCCTCTTCTCATCATTTTCTCTTCCTCTCACACTCACGCCCACAGACCTGCCATGAAACCATCTCATTCTGTTCCACAGCAAGATTTACCACAATGGAAGAAGGGGTGGAAGCCATAGGAAAGAAGAGGAGGTGTGGGTGAGTGTGTGACAAGGAGGAGGAGAGGGAGGGAGGGGGGCACATGTCAAGATCGTTAATATATATATATATATAATAAAAAAAGAAGTCTTGACAGTGTGGGCCGTGGGGCCGTAGCGACAGGTGGAAACTTTTACTAGACTCTGGACTACTCTCCACACATGGCACACTATGGTACGCTGCGTTCTGAACCTCGTTCGAGTATTTAGGGTTGACGTGCTGGTCCAGATAGGCCTTTAGGTCCTTGAGAAAGCAGCTCAGAATCTCAGAAAGACAGCTGACTATGATACCCTGCAGGAGGAAGAATGAGAATATGCAGGCTTTCTTCTTTTCCCTCCCGTATAGATCATCTGCATTCTGCATCTGCATCTGCATCTGTCATCCAACAGGCGGCACATCCTACATCAGGATCCAGCAGTGGCGCTTGCGTAGCACCAACGCACATGTACAGTAAGGCTCAGGTACCTCGTGCTGGGCTGTGTGTGTGCTTGCGTCTGCGTATCTTGTAAATGTGTGTGGCTACCCTTTTCCGGCTTGACAACTGACAAGACCCAGCATGGAGTCAAGTATTGACATCCTATACGCTGGTCTTGTCTTACATACCGGGTCTAAATCTTACCACCTGCATAAAGCCATTTCCCAAGGCATCCACTCGGACGCCGGAGGAGAGAGAGACAGACAGACACACACACACACACACACACAAACACACCACACCACCCTCCAGGCATGTTGGAAATACAGAGTTGTCGTATCAGTGTGAAGAGACCACAAGATCGTAGTTGTACCTAGAGAGACAGGGCAGAAGAGAAGAGCAAGAGAAAGAGAGAGGCAGGATTCTGGCCCCTGCTCTCTCTCCTTCCCTTTTCCCTCTTGCTTTTCACACCGTCTCTCTCTCTCCCCCCCCTTCTGTTGTCTGCTTGCTGCTACCAGGTACAATATCCAGCCCATAGCTTCTTTATTCTTTTATCTTTTTCTCCCCCCCCCCCCCCATTCCTCTCGCTCTCGAAAAGCCGCTTGCAAACCTTGGCGGCGTAACCCCAACCTGCGGATCACCCGTCTGTGTACGCAGCGGGGCTGACCCAAACAATCACAACCGTTCATGGCAAAAGATCGACCTCCACTTTCAATTTCCATCAAACCTGGGGTTGTTTGATTATTATTATGTTGTCGGTATTATGTATCTTCTTTTTTGTCTTTTGGTGCGAATACCATGATAGTTAGCCCTCGTACAGTGCTTTCTCCATGGCCGATCTGTACTTTTATTTCATCAACATGGCCTTGTAATCGGTGCGGCCGGCCGTGGACACACTTCAGGAGACGAAAATCCTGGGACCACTGTTGAATACATATCATAGTCCACTGTTTTTCTTTTCGTTCCCAGTTCTTCTTCCTCCTCTCTTTGAACGAGGATCAGACGACACTGTCCATCTCGTCTACTTATCGTGACGATCAAGGGGTATGCGCAATGGCGTAAAAGTGTACAACAGGAGGGAAGAAAACAGAAAGCCAAGTCGTCCATTCATTACACCCACCATCACACGCCGCCAACCCGTCCTTTCTCGCCTCAGACACTGCTGCCCTTTCCCGGTACGACCGTAACGTATCTTTTCCCTCTCCCTGTCTTCTTCTCTCTTTTCTCTTTTCTCTTTCTCTCTCTCTCTCCTCTTGTGTGGGTGACACAGTAGAAACCTCACCGCATATCTTGGTCGCCCGCCCCAAGTCTCACCTGACCAACAAGCCCCGACACATCCACGGTGCAACCCTCCCAAACCAGCGAACCGGCTTGGCCTCCGAGAAGATGGAGGGGTCAACCGGGCAGGACTGCATGATCAGCTGTAGGTGGCCGGTCTGGCTGGGTAGCTACCACCACTACCTGCTTTCTTTCCCCCCTTGGTGCATGTAAGGGTGTCATAAAAAGAAGCTTGCCTGAATCACACATATATCGGAGCACTGGGCTGTGACAGGTTGGAGGGGAGTGGAGCTCTTCTCGCTAGAACATGCTTGTTTTGCTTTTTCCATCTTCATCTTGGTCATCTTCATCATCGTCAGTCTTGTAAAAGCCCAAGTATAATTAGTACTTTGATAGGTATGTACTATGTAGCCGCTTGATGAAATGACCAATGAGGCCATCGGGATACCTCTTCTCTCCCCCAGTTCCACTTTCAAAGAGGCCACCCAAAAAGTGACATCTCTGCCTACATAGATAGATAGATAGATAGTACGATGAATATGTATGTAGTTTCATTGCATCGCCAAGTGTTCCACCACCCCCCCCCCCCAATCCCCATCCCCCAGCCTATTCAACGTATTCCCGCCCCGCCTGGACGCAACACACCCACTCCTGAGGCCACACACGCACCTCAACAACCGCAGCACCGTGGGAATGGATTTTGACCAAACCCCATCCATCCATCTATCCCATTCATCCCACCCTCCATCCCACCCACGCTTTCACTTCACACACGCACACACCACCCTTCCCCCCCCCCCCTTTCCTTTGTAGGCCCCAATATTGCGACCAGATTGTGGGTGGGGGTTTGGATGCACACAGTGAAAAGTTTGGCCCGCCGGGAGTCCGTCTATTGGACCCATGGGATCCGAAAGGAGAGGAATAAACCCGTTGGATGCATCTTTTTATGTTTTTTTTGTTCTTTTCCCTTTTATTTCCTCTCCCTTTTTTAAGCTTACCTTCTTTTCTCCCCGTACCCACGGGCGAAACAGACATGAATGACGGTCAGGACCCCCGCCCATCACTTTACCTTCATCCCCTCCCCCCTCCCCTCCACATCCAAATCAAAAAAGTGACGTCGTAACATCTGGCAATACGCTACGCTACGCGCCGGGGGCTGGTCTGGCCTGGCCTGTCGGGCTGTTTGGCTGGGCTGGCCTGTCGGGCTGTCGGGGCGGGGCTTCAATGCAAATGAAAATCGATGGTGTGTCTCTCTGCCCTTTCCGTCTCCTGTCCAACCCCAGAAAAGAAAGGAAAAAGAGAATGAGAGAGAGACAGAGAGACACTATTGCCTTGTTGCTTGCCTACATGTCTGTTCTGCCTTGGGGCCGGGCCTTGCTTTTTTGCCCAACCCTTGGAGACATCAGGCCCCAGTCCAATCATTTCCCTCCTTCGTATTGTGAGAGTGCGTCTCGTCTCTTTCCGTGACATTACACATGCGCCATGGATATATTTTCTTTTTCCTCTTTTCTTCTGTTTCCTGTTCTTCTTTTTGCTCCTTTTGGTTTCCCGCTCTTACACATACATGCCGCCTGAAACCTTGGACCCCCTCCCCCCTTACGAAGCCTTTCCTCCAAACCCCCCCCCCGTCCGCCCCGTCCGCTCCCGTCCGTTCCCGTCCAGTCGAAGATCATGTCGGGTTTGGTCACAATCACGGCACATCTCTAGTCGCGCAGGGATTCCATGCAACAAAATGCAAGCCCCCCAGGGCGGCAGAGTTGTCATGGTATCACACACAATGAATGTCCAATTATTCTTACTATGGTTAGATGGGTAATATTGGTCATCCTAGGCAGGTTCTGTGGAGCTTCTTTCGCAGCGACCCGCTAGTATTTGAGTGACAAGATACCATCGAGGAGGTACAAGTGCACTCAAGACGCACGGGCCACAAAGTACGCGACTAGGGTGACCTTTTTTCAGTACGAAATCATAGTACTTTTTCTTCTTTTGTGCATTGCTGGCCAAAATGCTGAGAGGAAAGCTAAAAGTTCGGTTACTATTTCTGGAACCAAGCAGATCATCTGTCGTGGTAGTGGTATTGTCGCACCGTCACACCCGGTGTGTCCGGTTTGATTCTGCGTTGCTGTCATGTAAAAAAACGATATGGGGAGGGGGGGGGGGGGCGACATGTGTTGCTCCTCTCTCCTCTCCCTCTCTCTCTGTCATTCTCCTTCTTACTCTCATTGGCGGCAAAAAGAGATTAAACAGAAAAGAAAAGAAAGAATGGGGGGGAAAAGCAAGTATTCGCTGCCGTGTGCCGACGAAGCCCGGCGGGAACCTTGTAATGTAACCACATAGGCCACGACATCTCTCTCAAGACCCGGCGGGTGATCGACAGCCTACTGACAACAGAGAGCCTCGGCGATCTTTGTATGCACTGGCTGCTGATGCTTGTTTCAACACCATTATCATGTGTACAAACAAGCGCCCCAAAGAAGAAAAAGGAAAAAGGGCAAGGCCTTCCCGCCCCCCCCCCCTCCTTGCTTGTCAGTCTTGCAGGGTACTTGGTATGCCACCCAGGTCGGGTAGGGCGTCAAATGCTCTCAGCGGGCAGGGGAGGGGGGAGAAGGACTCGTCATGGTTTGTATCAGAGTAGATGCAAGCAAGCTGTGGCGGTTTCTTACTTACTGCGCCTCGCCGAGGAACCCGGACGGTTGTTGGTTTCTAATCTATTCGTTCAACGGAGAATTTTTAAAAGAAACAATAAGAAACCAGACAGACGGGACTGACATACTCTTTCTGGAGAAACACTTCTAGACTTCTCTCTCCTCTTTCTGCGATCGTCGATCGACCAGTGATTACCAATATAAGCATCTGCAAGTCCGGAGTTGGGATCCCCCCCCCATGAGTGCCGAGCTTGTCTACATTGCGTCTCACCATCACATATACCAGGTACCTCCACGAGGGAAGAGAAGGAACAGAAAGAAGGAGGGGAAAAAAAAGGAGAAGAGCAAACAGAGGAAATGCAGAATGCTACATCAGAAGTTCAACTTGATACCGCCTGTACCGCTCAGGCTCGGAGGAAGACTTATCCATCCATTCCCCGAAACCCTGTTCCCCTGCCCTGTCCATTTCATCCCTCCTTGCAGAGCTACTGTAGTACATGGGCCACTTGGCGCCGGTCAGTCCTCCCGAACCTTAATTCTGCACCTTTTCCTGTATCTTGAGAAAGGAGAGGAGGAGAGGGGGAGGTAGGGAATGTCTGTGTCTCGATTACCAAGTTGACCTGCTACATAATACCACCACAAGAAAAAAGGAATGTTTCAATAAGCTGATCGTCCCCCCTGTCCACGAGGCAAGGCGGAGATCAAAGTCCGGTGTGGTGTGGTGTCGTAAGGTGTGGCTGACGCCTCGCTTTCAAACGGGAGGTACGTACGACGCACCGGTCAGCCAGCTCGCAAGCCTGTAAGAGACAGAATGAGACCGAAATCGGGTCATCTTTTTTTCAGGTGACAAGAACACGCTTTTCTTTTCTCTGTATTGTTTTGTTATTGACCTCTCTCAACATTTTTCTAAATTCAGCGAATGACAAATCGAGAGAACTGGTACCTCTGAGAAGGGGGGGGGGGGGGAAGGGATGAGTTGCCCAACCGAGATCACCCTGGCGGGCCTCGAAACCCTACTTGCAAGGCTGCGATCCAGGCAGCAGAAGATCTGCCCAGGGAAGAGAAGAAGCTTCTGGGATGCAAACCATGCTCTCCTCCACGGCACGAACAGGACCCGAGGAGAGCTGACCGCTTACCTAGATATGCCCGACCGCCCAACACACTAACTAACCATTCGTGCGTCGAGAGGATTTGGTCTCGCCCCCTTTTCCCCTACCTTTCCCCTCAGTTGAAGGCGAATATTCCAGAAGGGCCCCTAGGTACGACATGAGTAGGACGCGTACCGCTGATATTGGAAGGACTTTCCGTCCGAACCCAGTTGGTTAGTGAGTAAAAGTGTAGACGTATAGGTTGTGTGAACAAGACGGTAAGAACATGGCACGTATGCATAGCCTTGGCAAACCAAGAACAGTATCTGCAGTTGCCTTCCTTCCCGACATACAGACAGACACATAGACAAAGCATCTGCGCTCTCTCACACACTCACAACGACCTATGACGTCCTCATTCATACCAGCCGTAGCTTTCAAGGACCTCGAAAACATTCTCGGACATGGATCGCACACAAGATTTCCCTCAAGTGGCCATGCGCTTTGTGCAGGCCTGCATTTAGAGAAGAACGAAATTCAATTCTGACCCGAAGAACACGACTACATCATGGCCATCATCAGCTAACATCAAGACATCCATTGAGAGCATCACCAACGCAGGGATCGGCACACACACACGCACACGCACGCACGCACGCACACACGTATGTACGCACACAGCAACCAGCCAGCCAACCCCGCCAATCGGTCAAACAAATCATGATACGTTTGGGCTGGAAACGGATGTCGACCTCGAAAATGGACCTCAACCTCCACAACGCCCCGAAGGACCAAAGAAAGCCGCGGTGAGTAATGGGTCTGTCACGAAAGTTCAATCTTCCTGTACACTAAAATTGAAATATACCATGGGAGAGCGTGGTGGTATTTCAGAGTGTTGGCCAGGGTTTGCATCATTTGATTTCGCATAGGTATCGTTTCGTTTCGTTCTCGTCTGCTTGGAATTATGCAATTGGGGTTTTTGGGGAGGGAGAGGCAATTAGGGGGAACAAGGCAGAGGCACTGAAGACCTTCTCACAGACCGGGAAGAGGTGGAAAAGAAAGAGCTCGGCAGGCTTGCTTGTTCAACGTTTTTTGGTTGTTGCGGTGTATCATTGCCAGCCATAGTGCTTTTTGTATGGCCACGCCTAGCTTAAAGAGCAAGCCCTGAACTCCATTTGACATGCCTGAGAATCCCAAACCACCTTGCCTCATGAGGTCGAAATTTTGTTTACTCTTCAGGAACTGTAAGGGAAACCATTGTCAGCATCATCTTTCTTCTCCCCTTTTCATTTGAACGTGGTAGTGCCCCACGCCTTGCCCCGCTACTCCACGGTGGGCTGCAAGACTGGGAGTAGAGACAGGGTCTCTATCTTGTCAGGCCGACTTACTGTCAATCTCGCCCGCCGCGATCGCGTCCTGGATCGCCTTGGGGCTCTTTCCGTCAACCTGGCAGCCGACGCTGAAGGCCGTGCCCAAAACCTCCTTGACGGTACCCTCGAGAGTCTTGGAGAAGGACTTGTACTTCATCGTCCGAGCGATCTCGATGATCTCGTCCAGAGCAACAGACTTGTTGTGCTTGATGTTCTTCTCCTTCTTGCGGTCGCGGGGAGGCTCCTTGAGGGCGCGGATCACGAGCGAGGATGCGCTAGGAACGACGGACACGGCGGCTTGACGGTTCTGGATGGTGAGCTGGACGGTGACGCGGAGACCCTTCTGTATCGTGTGCAAAAGTTTTATGTGTAAGTCCCAGTGTTTCTTCCAGTAGTGTCGCAAAGGTCGACATCGGATCTTCGGGACAGGACAAGAGGTGGAAAGGGGGAAGGGCAAGTAGTTCGTACCCAGTCACCAGTCGCCTTGGCGATATCTTCACCAACTTTCTTGGGGGAGAGACCCAGAGGACCAATCTTGGGCGCAAGCGCAGAGGAGGCACCGACCTCACCTCCGGTGGCGCGGAGGTAGCTATAGTTCCAGCAAAGTCAGCATCATCATCTCGTCGTCCGTGTTCTCAGCCCTTCTCTCGTCTCCTATCGATCGATCGCGCGGCGTGTCGTCGTCGAGGCGGGGCAGGGAGGGAAAAAGGAAGCGGTTTTGCGTACATGACCTTCACCTCATTGGGGTCGAACTTGGGAGCTGATTGTCGAGACAAATCGTCAGCATGAAGATCTTGATTGATTCTCCTCTGGAAGATCTCGTCGGCGATGGTAGTACTCACGCATGGTGACTGATTTGGCGAAGGGATTGACTTGTGGTGGGTGGTGGGAGTTGGAAGTCGTTCACAAGTCCGGGGCTCGAAGTGGAAATTTCCCTTGGACACTGACAGACCACGACCTTGGGGTTGCCGGCCTACCCAATTTTCGTGTGCGGCAGCAGCGATCACGTGTGGGCCCGCTTTTGCTACTGACAGGAAATGCTGAGTGGCTGCACGGTGCTCGGCATATCTCACTAGGCCCGATGCGCTCTGGTGCAAAAATGCTCAGGCCTGCTGTCACTATGTTGTAAATCACCTCCAAACCTTGCTGACTTGAATTGTTCATCTGTACTTAGACGACAGAGACGTTCAAGAACCATGGAATCAGTCGATTGAAAATTAGACTTGGGTACTGCCACTTGACGGAGCGCGGTATCTGTTGGACTTTTTCTTCGGCACAAAAAGCTAGATAAAGATGGGGGAGAGAACTTGAGCAGGAAATAATTCGACAGTGTATAGAAAATCGCTGGAACGTCCGTTTAATATTCTATCGCTCCAAGACTATAGGACAACAAAGTTGATAGAATTCATGAGCATTTAAGAAAAGAAGGAATCATCCGCTCTTCCTCGGACCTTTTAACCTCTACCGTGACCATACACCATAACCATAGCAGGGGAACATGTCACTTCGAGCCACAAAGCAGGAGGGACGCTCATTTTGACCAAGACTTTTTCGATTCATATTACAATCAAGGCTCCTCCTCCAAAACACCAACCCACGCCCAGTCTCTCTTGCAGTCACACACCAAGTAACCCCGGCACATATGCTAATTTGTCCCACTGACGGCAAGCCTGGAGGAGGAATATTGTTAGAACAGTTGTCTGGGATGGAACGAGAGTCGGGAGGCTGGTCTCAGAATGACTTACTTCATCAGGTGATCCATAAATGTCTGCAGAGACACGTCGTCTGTGAAGATGGTCTGCGCGCTCTGGGCGGGTGCTCCGTATGCTCCTGTTGTGTGCGTGGTAGAAGGGTTCAATTTCGACAAAAGGAAACGAGCCTGAGAACCACCTGCGTCGCACACAATGAACCGAGGGAGAGGGAAGCGGTCGGTAATGAGATCCTGTCCCCAGTGTCAGCATGGTTTACCCACAAGCAACCTCGTGGAACTGAATTGATATCAAACTTACCCTTGCATCTTCCTTGGGCTTCTCCAATAGTGCCGCGAAGTTCTCATACCCTTCTTGTTCCTGATACCCTGCCTTCCTCCATTCTGCAATGGTCTCACCGTGGAAGATGAGGATGTGGAAGAACGTGTCGAGCAGCAGGATGTGCTGCGGTTGTATAGAAGTGGAGTCAAGCAACACGGGCGAGCCTTCGTCCTGGTCGAACGTGTACGAGTCGAGGGTGGGCTGTATCATGATGAGCGAGTTGCTTACATCCTCATGGTTCAACACATGGCGGTAGAAAGCCGTCTCATCGGGAGAGTTGTTGAAGACCTGCAAGAACTGACTCCTCCGAAGATGGAACATGAACTGTGGATAGAGAGTGAAGTTCTTTTCCAAGCGGAAGGACGATGGGTCGTCTTTTCTGTAGTCGGCAAATCTCGAGCAGAGCCTGATAAGCATGCGATCGACCCAGCGCAGGACGTCTGGGCCGTCGTCCACCTCAGCCTTGAAGACGGCAATCCTGGACATCAGGACAGCAGCAGCCTCCTGGTCGAAGGACTGTGCAATCGCCGGGTCGCCAGCTGGCCCGCTCATGTTCCGCGCGACGGTGGTCACACGGAGATGGAACTGACCAGAAGAGTGCTGGTAGTACGTCAAGAACTGCATCATGCCCCGGTTGGGCTGCTGGACTTGCGCGGGACCGCCCTGGCCAGCGATCTCGAAGTATACACCGTAGCTGGCAGTGGGGTCGATGCCGCACATCTTCCAGGAGCAGGTATTGCCGATGCCGCACTCTGTCTCGCCCACAGACGTCGACTTCTTGTTGAGGGAGACGGCGTGGCCGATGAGGCCGGTGACTTTGAGCTCCTTGGTGGTCAGAACCTCCAGAACAGCGTTGAAGCCCATGGTGAGGTTGTCATCCTCATCCTTGTCAAACATCCGCACAAACGACTGCTTGAACATGGACGATGTGAAGCTGTCCGTCTGGATGATGTGTCCGCCGGTCGAGTTGGACAGTCCCTTCATCTCCAATAGACCGACCTGGTCCAGGCAACCGGCAAAGATGTCGATGATATGACCGTTGTGCGCGGTCCTCTTGGCCAGGTTGTCGTAGAACTTGAGCGCTTTCTTATAGTACTTAATGTTGTCCCGGTCGATATCGTGGTGAGACCGCATCGGCTCTCTCAGCTCAGCGCCGACGACCATGCCAGGCCCCTCCGTGGCTGGGCCACCAGCGAACAGCATGATGCGCCCGCCAGCATTCTGGAACGAGGTCTCCAGCAACCCAACAGCGACGCTGAGCGCCACACCTGTGCAGCGGAGGTTCCTGCGGTCATTGGCAACGGGCCAAGGGTCCTTCTGCAGCTGCTCCAGGGCCTTGGTGAGGTTGAACTCGCACTGGGAGACGGGCAGCAAGAACCGAGCGGCAGGACCCATAGGCATAGGTCTGCCGGGCTGAGGCTGCACGCCGGGTCGAAGGGCGGGCTGGGACAGACCCAGCATCTCCTGGACCTGCTTCGCGGAGTACTCCTTGCTCCCGCGGAAGACATAGGACTTGGCACACTCGGTGTAGCCAATCTCATGAACCTGCGCCATGGTACCGTAGGTGATCAGGCCGACCAGGGCGTTCTCAGGCAGCAGGCTCAAGCTCATGATAAGAGACTCCTTGAGCGCCGCCAGGCTGTCCTCCTCCTGGCACGTGTCGACGACATATAGGAAGATTGGGGGGCTGGGCGCAGGCCTGGCAAGCCGGTACTCGATCGTCGTGTTCGAGGGGTGAAGCTCGGGAGGGATCGCGTTGGCGGAAATATCCTTGTAGTGCGGCGGGAGGGCGTTGCGGGACAAGCAGAATGGGCAGATCCAGAGACGCGCCCGAACGTCGACCTGGCTGGTGGGCTGTCAGTTTCCTGCCCACTAGCACAGACAGCCTCAGCCGCGGGGAAAGGACAGCAATCGACTCACCAGAAGGGGTTCAGCACTGAGCGGCATGGCTGTTTGCAAGTGACTGGTTCGAACTGTAGCAGAGGGGACTCTGGCTTCTCCTTGAGTGGTGTGTACAGAGCTCCGATAGGCACCACGAGTCGTGAGGCTTCCTACAACAGAGAGAGAATCGGTCAGGCACGAGCGCGAGGCACAATCACGAAGGGGACACCACACGACGAACCATCCTAGAGCTAGGAAAAACATTCCAGCTCAGACGAACTCCATCGCGCTCTTCCACATCGCTCCATTGCTCCTTGAGAGCCTCGTAGTCCATGGGCGCCGCCATGGTGGTGTCGCAGGTCGTCTAGGTTCAGCGCGCGACCAAGGAACGCCCCAAACTCTTGGGCACTGATCACGTCGCTGGAGGGATCAGCCGAACTTGACGTTCCAAGACTCTTGTAGCTCTGAAAAGAACCCTTCAGTCCCAAGCGGTTGGCAGAGAATGATGGGAGAAGGAGGAGTGGTAGGTTGGGCAGATCAGGAGGCGGTTGGTATGAAAGGAGGGAATTGGACAAAAACGTGGCCAGGTTTCCAGCTATCAAAAGGTCGATCGGCCACTGCCCCTCGGGGAGGAAAGGACAACTTCACCGTCCGAGCTCTCTCGTCACTTGCGCTAGCGCCACTGTGGCTCTAGCTTTCCCGGTAGTAAGCTTACAACCCCAACCCTGCTGATAACCCGCGCCCCTCTTCCATTTTCTACTACACATTACGCAAGGTCTCTCTCTCTCTTCCCTGGCGACAGTGTAGTTCTCCATAAAAAATGCTTGTGCACTAATTATGGCCTGCGAGAAGTGTCACAATTTGTCGAGTGTAAATTCATGAAGTAATACTTCAGTCCAGTAATTGAGTAGCATCATTACATTTTTCACGTGCCAACGCAGGTGGCGGCGTCTGCCTATCTACACGATGGCTGAAAGACTGGATTTGTATCCGCGTCATCGAGTCGCAAGTACCAAGACCGTACTGGGTAAAACAAACCGTAGACACCGACCTGTCCTCAAAGAGCAAAGGATTCCCAAGATACCATATTTCCTCATCCCCAATACACATGGCCCTTGTCGTAATGTATGGCCTTGACAAATTGATCGTCTATGCATACTTCCGGAGCTGGAGCATACAGTCAGTCATGCCTGGTTCCGGAGAGGGAGGAGCGGGGAAAAGTAATGTCATAGAGGAAAAAGGAAAGGGAGGGAGGGGACATGATGAGAGGAGTGGCTTACATCCAACGTCAACGTCTTTGAGCTATTGACCTCCTGGTCTCTGTAAACGCCGATCAAGCTCTCGCTGTCCTGGAACAATCCCGTCTTGAGCGAGATGACGATGAACTGCATGCCAGGACCTGCATGCTCGCGGATGTACTTCTTGATCTTCTCGACGTTCGCGTTGTCCAGCGCGGCATCCACCTCGTCCAGCACGAAGAATGGACTGGGCTGGTAGCTGTGAATGGCGAACAGCAGCGCGAGCGCCGCGATCGTCTTTTCGCCACCAGAAAGGTGCTCCATATCTCGGAACCGTTTCAGCGGGGGCATCGCGTGGTACTTGATACCGGACAGGTAAGGGGTGTCTGTGTCGTCCTCGATATCAAGATAGGCGTGCCCACCGATAGGGAACGCCTCCGAGCGGGTGAGGTCTTTGTACACCGCGACGATCTGCTCCTTGATATGCTCGAAGGCCTTGTTGAAGAGCTCGAACCGCGTGGCCTTGACGGCGTTAAAGGCGTCGCGGGCTTCCCGCAGGGCGTGCCGGGAGTCCTCAAAGTCTTGTTCCGTCGCCTTGAGGCGGTTTTCGACGCTCTCTAGGCGCTCGATGGCGCGCATGTTGGGATTGAGGTCGTCGAGTTCTTCCGTTAGGAGACTGATCCGTTTTTGGAGCTTATCCTCGACGTCTTCCTCAGACTGCGATTTGTTTGTTAGCCTCTGGTCATCCAGTGGGGTGAGCCCTTGCACCTACATCCTTCAGCTCGTCGTCCAGGCGATCGAAGTCGATCTCGATACCGTAGTCCTCCATGGCCGCTTCCATGGCATCATCTTCGCCACCCTCGTCCACATCCATCGCGTCTGGATCCTGGTGTAATAGATTGTCTTGGTTAGGCAAGTCCTCGAGTGAGCCCTCTGTAAGAGGTACTTGTATCTGCTCGAGCTTGCACCGTCGGAGCAGGGCGAACTTGCTCGCGCTCTTCTTCTGGATCTCGGCCTCCAGGCCGCTGATCGCTTTCAATCTGGCCTCGATGTCCTTGCTCCGCCTATGCACCTCTTGCTTGGCCTCCGACACCTTCTCGGCCTTGGTGTTCAGCTGCTCTTTCACCTCCTCAAGGCTCTCCTTGAGAGCCTCGAGCTGATCCTTGTCCGTGCCCAGGGCTACCTCGACACTGGTCTTGTCTTTCTCGTAGCTTTCGATGTCATCCTCTAGATGCTCCAGCTGCGACTTGATCAGTTCGAGACGTCGTTTCGTCTCTGCGTGCCGTGAGTCCTCGAGCGTTAATATGCTCTTGAGCCTCTGCTTCTGCACCTCGAATTCGTTGCGCTTCCTGGACGCCTCCTGCTCCAAGCTGCCCTGCAGTGCCTCGTATGCGCGAATATCAGCGTATCCGAGTCGTTTGCAGAACTCGGCGAAGATCTTATCCTGGACAGCCGCAATCGCCCTCTCGAAATTAGCGACGGACTTGCGGGTAGCCTCCAGCTCCTCGTTCTTCTCGTCGTACTTGGGCTCCCACTCGTTGAGCTGCCTCTGCTCGTGCTGGAGCTCCTTCTTCTTGCTAGCCTCGTTCTTCTCGAATGCCTGCAGCTCGCCCTGAGCCAGCCTCTGCCGCTGCTGAAGGGTCGAGATGCTCTGCTTCAGGGTTTCGAGTCTTGTCCTGTCTGTCCTTGGCAGCTGGGAGAGGGTGGCCAGAAGCTTCTCGAGCTGCTTCTTCAGGTTCTGGACGTCGTGGTCTTGGAACTGCCGCTTGCCGCCCTTGCGCTCAGGCAGACGGCCACCAGTCATCAGACCAGCCTTGTGGATGACATAACCCTCGATTGTCACAGCCTTGACGGGAATTCGTCGTCTATAGCAGACATCTTTGGCAATCTCGAGCGAGTCGCAGACGATGGAACTGCCACAGGCATATGTCATGGCGCGTTCTAGCGACGAGTCGAAATCGATAGTTTCAATTGTCAGACGCGCTCCAGGTATGCCCTTGACGGCAGAATTCGGGACGGTAGTTTTGATATTGTCCAGTGGGATGAAGGTCATGGGCGGGAATTGTTGCGACTTGAGGTATGCGACACAGTCCAGGCCGGCCTTCTCGGTATCGACCACCACGGAGTCGAAATCACGACCAAGCGCGGTGATAACAGCCTCGTCGAACTTCTTCTGCTTGGGTTTGCAGAGGTCGCCGATCCGACCACGCACTGCCGGGTTCATTCGTTTGAGGGTCTGGACCATCTCCTTGATCCTCTTCTCCTTCCTGCTCTCCTCTTGGCCGGCCTCTGCCTCCTGGATCTTTCTGCCGATGTCGCGCACCTTCTCCTCGATCTCCGTCTTGGAGTTGTTAATCCGGATGACCTCAGAGTTCAACTGGTTGTACTCCTTCTTGCTGTCGTCAAGTTCGGTGGCGATCTGGCGCGCAAGTTCTTGCGTTGCCTCTTTCCGTTCACGAATAGACTGGAGCTCGCCATCAAGCTTATCAACCGAGGCCTGGAAGGTGTCAACCTTGCCCCTGAGACTGTTGACAGTCACCTCGTCACCCTTCAATTGCCGCACCAGGCTGTCAAGGCGTGCCTGGTCCGCAGACGACTTTGCCATGACTTGTGCCTTGAGCTTGTTGTACTCTCTGCGGTCTGCATCGGTCAACTGCTTGCCCTGCTTCTTGATGGTCTCCTGCCATTGCTTCTCAAATTCCTGCTGTGCTTTTTCCACAGTCGCGAGATCTTTCTTGGCCTTCTGGATGGCCTTGACCTGCTCGTCGCGCTCCTTGGTCACGTTCTCAGCCCGCTTCCGCAGCCTGTCGATGTTCTGCGCGCTCTGTGCCACCTTCTCGTTGAGGGGCACCAGGCTGTTCTCCTTTTCCTCGATGTCACGCTCCTTGACCCGGATGGTCTTCTCGATCCTGCTGACCTCCTTGCCCACAGTGGCCTGCTCCCTGCGGGCTGCCTCGAGCTTCTTCTCGAAGGACTCGACGTTCCTGCGAAATTCGACCAGGTTCTGCTGGTGCTCCTGGATCTTCGCGCTGGACTCGTCCATGACCTTCTGGAAGTTGTACAGCTTCCAGAGGATGTGCGTAACGATAGCCTCATCGCGCTCCTCCGTCTTCTTCTGAAAGTTCTCGGCCTCCTTCTTCTGTTCTTGATATTGCTTGATCTCCGAGTTGATGCCGCGGCGCCGGTGGAGCTGGAAATTTTGATTCTCCGCAGCCTGCTCCGCCTCGGCCTGCAGCTTGTCATACTCGGCCTTGTACTCGAGGGACCCCGAGATCTGCTCGACCAGCCTGGTGAGGTCCTGGGGTGACTGGGAGGCGATGGCCTCGACATCCCCCTGAAACACCAGGAAGTTCCTCGCCTTGATCAAAATGTTCTCGGCCTCGAGTGCCTCGTTGTACTGCTGCGCGCTGACGGGACGGTCGTTGATGTGGTACAGACTGCTTCCCTGCGCGGTGATGGTGCGCTTCCACTTCTGCTCGTCGCCCGCGTCGTCCTCGTAGACGGCCATGACCCACGCGGTCTTGGGGTCGTTGCGCAAGCCGCGGCCTCCGGACGTCAAATCGTCGTCGGTGCCATTCGTGTGGCCGTTGGTGTGACCGTTGGTTGTAGCAGGGTCGGCGACGGACCCATCATCGTTGATCCTGCTCGTCTTCATCACGCGCCCGCGGTAGACGAGCTCCTTGAGGTGCGAGGAGCGCAACTGTGCAGACTTGATCCCCAGGACGAAGGAGATCGCGTCCATACTGCGGGTGGAAGGTGTCGCGGGTCAGTAGGCGCCATCAAGTCGCATGGGCGAGAGGCAGGAGTGCTGTAGGGAGGGGGAGGGAACTTACGAATTTGATTTGCCTGATCCATTGGGCCCGATGATCGAGGTGAAGTATGAATCTCCAAAAAGCAAGGTGTGATGGCCCTTATAGGACTTGAAATCTGCGAGCGCAATCGCGTCAGCATCCGACCCATTTCGTTCGTTCTCTTTCCACCCAGCGCCTGAGACGCGTAATAGGACGTACTGAAAAGCTCGAGCCGGACGAGCTTCCCCATCTTGGATATCTGGAAGTCGTCACGACGCGTGGAGGTCGAGGTCGAGTGGACGAGTCGCCGAGAGGGAAGCTGGTCTCGCAGTTGGTGGTTTTGGATTGGCCTGGAAACGCGACGCCCAGGGTTCTATTTTCGAGGGGCGGCGCGAACGATCAGTAGGGTGTGAGGGTAGTTACTGCGGGGGTGTGGGTGTGTGTGGGCATAGACAGTTGCAGGGATCAGCGCACTTTGGCACAGGTACATACATAGTACGTACTGTGGTGCTATGGCAGTCTAAAGCACAACACCACCTCGATCGAGCTTCTCAACCTGATTAAATTCTTGTTGCTCGGCCAAACCTCCATTCTCCGAGTCCTCACGATACTCTTTCACAACGCCGCCTTCTTCTATTGGTTGCCCAAGCTGGCTCCTCGGATTTCGGATGAGAAACAGTCGCTCAAAATCAGGGAAACTGAGGGTCCTGCATGAGGTAGAACATCCCAAGAAAAAGAAGAGTCGCTCATGACATGAAGTACTCCTTGCTGCATGTATCGTGAAGAACTATCTGATTGAGCCGAGATGAATCACCAAACTATCGTCTGGGGACGAACTTGCCCACGTCAGACATAAGTGGTCGTAAAAACTCAATTCAAAAGGCCATTTTTATTTCTTCGCTAAGCTATCGCGCTATCATCGATATTATCGTGCTGTATGTACTATCAGCACGCTTGCCTACCTCGCACGAAACATTTACCGATACTGTCTACGCGTGCCCGTCTTCGAGCATCCCTTGCTCATCACCTCCTTTGAACCCTGCGCCCTCGTCTTGCGCGGCCCCTTGAAGCTCATCTTCCAGCGTCTCGGCTCGGGAGGCCGATCCTGGCGTCCTCCTTCCCATTTTGTTCGTTGTGGCTGCTCTGCCAAGGGCTCTTCTGCCGGCTGGTCGCTCGGGAACGAGGTGGTCGAGGATGAAAGTGGGTTCAGATGAGAACAAACGCCCTGTTTGCTGGCCTGCTCCTACGCGGGCTAGTCAGGACACAGCTTGAGAGGAAAGAGAGGAAGGGAAATCAGGGCTGGCGGCCAGGCTCACTTCGCGGGCTATGAGGACTGCCGGCTTCCTCGTCTTCCTCTCTGCCTTCTTCTCATCCTTTGTCTTTCCCGTCTTTACCTGTCGGTCGCTCTCAGTAGTGTCTGAGGTTTTCGTCAAGACGGATGTGGAGGGCTCGCCGTCCTAAAGCTGTTCGCGGTCGGAGGATGAGGAAAGGCACAATACGAAAGCCATGGTCGCTGCTATTGATGGTGCTGCTGCTGCTGATGAAATTGGCGAAGATAGGTGAGTTGTAGAATGACGAGACAACGCGAGTTAAAGATTATCACAATAACACGACGATATGGATGTCTTGTGAAGGCTTGAGAGTAACGGGCAGTAATTCAAGTGCTGGAGCGGAAGAAAGAGGAGCCAAGGCATACAAGTCCCATTAGTGGTCTATACCGTTGACTTGAGCATGCAAGGCAGTAGGGCCTGTCATAAATGCTCCTGCCGCCTTTCATTCAGATCGGAAGTTACTCTCCTAATGGCAACTACGCCTATATTCCAAGTCTCACAGGTGGCTAGCTCAACTTCCTCTGGTAGAAAGATTTGAACACAAGGGGGGTCACCACATTATGTCTCCATCTGTCATTGGTAACAGGAGTATGGGTCCTTTCGCCCATGTGGATGGTTTCTTTTGCTTTCTTCATTGTGTATAAATCCGCAATCTTTACTTGAAAGGGAAAGACAGGAATAGTCCGCAGGTGTAGAAACAGATGGGAATCGTAAACGCCACACACCTAAATCACCATGGATCGCCTCGAATTGGCCCGCCAAAACCATCCATACCACAGTGTCATTGCACACGTCAATCATGTAGACATTAGGAACACCTTCTCTCCGCCGTAAGATCACCCGTATGCTCCCGATCTATAACATTCATCACCATCATCGCCCTCACGAGTCTTCACCGACCTTCCTTTCCCTCGCCACATCCCTTGCACCCCCATCGGTGTCCACACCACTTGAATGGGCAGCAACAATTTGATTGACTCGCTCTTCATTGAGCAGCGGAATACTGTCAATATGGGCCAGCGGCTCGGTGGTGTACACACCAGCACCAGCTTCCTTGGCCCCTGCCACTCCTGGCTCTGCGAGTGGTGTCATCGACGGGCTCAGAGTCCCGTCAGGACTGACGTGCCACTTGGCAACCTCGGCCTTCAGGACCTCCAGCTCCCTCTGGAAGCGCTTGCCAAACACGTCAATGTAGTATGTCGCACCGTTGTACACGGACCAGACGAAGACCACCATCAGGAAAACGGCAGAGGCCCAGCGGCTGTAGAACCACAGCGGACACGGCAGCATGGTCAAGACGGCGTAGGAATATTGAATCAGCATAAATGCAGACTCCTGCAGGCTGTCCGGCAGCGAGAGCACAAGCTTGCCGATCCAGGCCTTGGAATAAGACTTGCGCAGCCAGGTGAAGGACGTCGGCCTGCCCGCCGCGATCTTCTCACGTCTGCGGACCGTGATGAGGAAGTAATACGCGAGCTGCCAGACGGCATAGGGGACTGTGCTCCAGGCGAGCATGGAGACGATGTTCGCATAAGCCGTAGGCGAGCCCGGCGGCGAGTGCTTGATGACGTAGATGGCGGGGAAGCGTTCACGCTGAAGCTCGACGTCGATTAGGTGAACCAGGCAGTGCAGGGTGGCACAGGGCATGATGTGGATGAAGAGCGATGTGACCTTGTCGAAGCTGTGGAAGACCAGCGAGTTCCTCCACATGATGATGGCGACGGCATTGTTGCCAAAGGCGAGGCAGAAGGCCGATATGAACAGCCGCTTCGAGCCGGGAAAGGCCCACAGGCTTGCCATCAGGACAAAGTTGACAAAGTAGCAGAGGTCGGCCAGGAAGTAGTGGTAACCCCTCTTGTGGTATGTGTAGAACCGGATGGGCATGAAGTAGAGGATCTGCACCGAGTACCAGAGGTGCATGTACTCGGGATAGGCCCCGATCAGGTAGCCCGTGAGGAAGATGTTCAGGACGCCGCAGATGAACGAGATCTTCTCCCGCATCGTGATGACCTTGGTGTCATTCCACTGCTTGCCCAGCTTGTCGACGCTCGTGCGCATCCGCTTCCGGTACCGGTCCAGCTGCTCCTCGGCCGAGGGCACACGCCGCCTCCATTCGTCGACCATGCGCTCCCGGGCCATCTGGCTCCGCTCCTTGAAGACCTCTCCGCCCTTGCGCACCTTTTTGGTCTGGGCCGACAGGCCCCTCTGCAGCTTCTCGAGCTGGTGCGGGAGGGCAAAATTGTCGAGGATGTCGAGCACGCTGAGCCTGTCGAGGGGAGGGAAGGCCTCCCAGTCCTCCTGGTAGGAGCTGCTGCCCGAGAACGAGTTGTTTCGGGACAGCTTAGGACTCCCAAAGCTAGGCGTTGTCGGGCCCAGGTTGGGAGTGTCCGTCACGCCGGGTTCAGGAGGCGACGAGGTCGGGGAGTGCGTCCCGTCGAGTTCGGGCATGTCGGCGCCATCGCTTTCTGCGAGAGAGGGCACGTCTGACTTGTCGCCAGGAATCAAGACAGGATCCGTGTCGGCCATCTCGTCAAGGTTTCACCTTCGAGGTGGCGTCGTGGATTCGATTTTGGGGAGGGGAGAGGGTTGAGGAGCTTGTGCCCCAGGCGGGCTGGAGGACTAGCTTGTCAGCGATCTTTATACAAAAGCTCTTCTGAGGGAACAGAAAGATATGAGTCGGCGACATGTTGGTACGGTTGACACTGGAGCTAGTGGGTAGAGGGTCACATGCGCTGCCCATGTGTATTTCCCGTGGTCGGGATTGGGCAGAATGGGTGACTTACAAGCGTCAGGCAAGGGACCACGATCAGATGGGCAGACCCGCACCACGGATAACCAGCCCTGTGGGTGCAGCTTTGTGTGGATGTGTTCAACGATCAGTCAGATCTAGAGAGGATCCAGGGCTATGAGCAGGTGTGTGTATCCCAGAAGAGAATGCCCACGGTTGCTCCCAGTCCTGATTCAAGCTCTCATAGACCAAAATAATGAAGCAGCAGTTGAATTCGAGCTGCCAGCCCACGCAAAGAATATGACTGGTGAGGCCCGATAACCAAAACGTGATAATAATTGTACGTGCCAAATACTTGATAGGATGCTGCAGCAGGCACAAGTATCTTGGTGAGGATCGTGATGAGGAAAGAGGGAGGGAAAGCAGAGAAGATATGGGAAAAGAAAAAGAAAGAAGAGTTTGGGGAGATGCAAGTCCAGATCAGATGCTTGGATCATGGACACTACAGCAACAGCATGCACAAGGCACGTCAGGCATGGCCTAGACTTAAACCATGACCCGTCTTCCCTGCTACTGAATGCTGTCATACTACGTAGTAGCCTATACTTTTTGTGGGTCGAGGCGTTCCCCAGACGCGACGTGGCTGGCTGCTGCTTTTTTTTTTGCTGCTTGATGTCAGGGAAATTAAAGAAACTCGGTAATGGCCAATAGGGCCGTTTTCGCTTCAACCAGAATGGGAAATAGAGATATATGTAGAGTAAGTAAACCACTCTCATTTTGTTTGCCGAACGCCTCTGTCCAGGAAGGTGGAGAAATGAAGGGCAATTTACATTACAACACATGCACACTGTACTATTTTGTATTCTCGAACCGCCAACGCGTGTACTGTGCCAGGAAACTTGGCACCTCTACAGGCTAGGATGTGCTGTCATTGATTAGCACATCGCTATGGCGGGGGGTCGGAACTTCCCCAGCTTATGTAACTCTGCCAACAGGCTTGATCCAGGCAGTATTGTGCTCTAATTTACACGTACATAGTCCTCAGCGCACCTGCAGCCTTTCCCAATCCGACTCAAAGGTGATGGGCGGTAATGCAGGCAGTAGAACAGCCCTCGTCCCACTACCCGGCTAGGTCAGGAGCATCTCAGCTATGCCGAGCATGATCACCAGAAAGCTATCACAGTTTCCATAACATGCTAATCGCAGACGGGCAAAAGTACACAGTTCCAGACTTCAATTCAACAAGCCAAAAGCTTGAGCTCCGTCATCTCATCAGAAACCCAAGGGACCCTCATGGACACCCCAAGAAAGCCAGTCAAATGTGGTGTCGAAGAAGTCGTCGCCCCACGAAACGTTACCATCTCCGAGAATGCTCAAGACGTCGTTGTTGACGTCGTCGTAGGCGGGAAGCCCTGCCACAAGTGTTGGCGATGCTGTTGAGCTACTGCTGGCCACCTCCCTCTGCAGCTGCTGCTCCGCATCACTGCTTCGGGTTTGACCTGTCTCGGGTGTCTCCAGCGCCGGCTCGCTTGATTGCTCTGCTTTTTCCCTATCAGTAGAGGCAGTCATGAGAGCGCGAGACGACAATAACTTGCCTCGCTCATACATGGTAGTCCGCACAAGGCGGATAATCTTTCCAGAGACGGCCTCCAGCTCTGCCAAGAGTGTGTTCTGCCCGGGCAGCCTGCCAAGAAATGCCGGTACGTGCTCCAGCGCCGCCAAGGACGCCTCGGCCTGCCTTGGTTCTGTCCTGCCCTTGACAATGACCTCTACCCACAGAGAGCTAAACGCCGGTATCAAGCCGCGGGCATACATCCAAAGGGGGCACGCATAAGGCTTCCTTCGGTGATCATGAGACAGTGTTCGCCCGAGACTTGGTAGGAGCTCGAGGACGTGCCGTGCGGACTGGAAGGAGTGCGCCCGCGAGCCTCTGTTGACGGCGGTGAGAAAATTCGATAGGGAATAGTATCTGAACTGCAATGCCTGAAGGTCATGATCTAAGGATGCAGCTTCAGTTGCAGAGAGAAGTGGCTTCTCCGCCAGCGCAGCAGCCTCGAGAACCTGGGAAAGATGGCATCAGATCATGATCGAGATGCTATAGATCGTGCCGAAGTATGTAATGATACCTACCTGTACTGCCCGCTGGTGCCATGATTCCAGCTTCTCTTTGGTCCTTTGAACCATGTCCAGCTCATGACCGTAGAAGCACTGCCAGACATCCGCCACAATGAGCGAAAATAGGTGCAGCTGATTCTTGTAATGGGCAGCAAACAATATAGGCCCGCCTCTGGAGGCACTTGGAGCTTGTGCAGGTAGGAGTTGGTCTAGGGTCGGGAGCGGCATGTCCTTTACCACCTCGCGGGAAAAGGACGGTGGTCTGAACAACATCAGAGCCAAGGCCTTATCCAGAACGTTGAGACGCCAAAACATCAAGATACGACGCTGCCGGGTCGGAGGGTCGACGCGCCAGTAGATGCCCAATGCCAAGAGCATACTGCAGGCCTTGTTGACCAACGTCCAGCAGAGTTCTGGTGTTGAGCTCTCTTCGGCGTAGCAGGCCATGACGACTAGCGCCTGAATGTTGGCAACGCTGGGCTCGAGGAGTAGCCTGACATCGTTAAATGCCAGCCAGAGATTACTTCTGATCTTAGCCTTTGTGGCTTCGTCTGGTGGATTGGTTGATGACACGACGTTCAGCGCGATGCTGTAGAACATGACGAGCCAGGCTCGGTCTCGTACTTGATGAGGCTGCGATGCTGCGAGAAGTTCCACCACATCCGCGGGTACTGAATTGAGCAGCATGTCTTCCCTCTCAAGAGTTATTTCCAGCTCTGTGTGGATTCAGGGTCAGTCTTGTAAACTCTATTTTCTTCCTTCTTCTTCTTTTGTACATAGTAACGAAGGGCGTACCGTCCACCCATGAACGAGTCTGCTTCTCATCAAAGACAAAGAAGTCAGGCTGTGCATCCTTGCAAAGCCTCCCGCACACAGAGGCGCCATGCCAGCTCGTCGTGTACTCTTCCAGCAGCAAGGCCAGCTCCTTGAGCGACGGGTGATCCCGGCCAACAAGTTTCTGCAGGCGTTCATGTCCACTGGCATTGGCATTGGCATCCGATGCGTACAAGATGAGACGCCGTGGCCCGGCAAATTGTGCGCCGAATTGTGCTGCTGCTCTGTCACCAGGTGTGCGAGACCTCTCGACGTCGTCGCCCTTGCGCTTTCTATTGCGGCGGAGGATGCCCGTCCGCGAATAGAAGCACACGATGCCTTCGACTTTGCAGCGCTGGCATCCGGAGCGCTCGCGTGAACAACCAACCTACGTGAGCGTATCATTAGTATTAAAAAAAGAAAAAAAAGTCAGTGAGGTAATGAATATTCGATTTTCAAGGGTTACAGACCTTGCGAGAGCGGCAAGTGTCGCACTGAGAGCAGCTTCGTTGTTAGTCAACGATTATCCAATTGCGTAAGTGCGGAATGGTCGCGCGCATGAACTTACAGCATATTTTTCGCGAGACTCGGACATTATCTGACTTCTTGACATGATTGACTAGAGTAGAAAATGCTGTGTATGATCCGAAAGAAGTTCTGGAAAGTATCAGAGAAATGTAAAGAGGCGACGGAAAATACGGGAGAAGAGGAAGGCTCGGGGTTTATAGATGGAACTTGTAAGCCCTTCCGGATCTGTATCTTCCGTAAACTCCGTTTCGGAGGTTGATTAAGTGCTTTAGGCGTAGCTTTTTCCAGATGACAGAAACAGAACGTTGCAGGAGAATACTGCTGGCTCACACCTCTTTTCTCTATGGGTAATCACTTATTGACGTTGTCCTCTAATTATATTGCAATTCTGTCATTTCTTCTCTCGAGATTATGTTTTTCGTAAGTCGGCGTAGACAAGACACTTATTCCGATGGTATTACTACCAAAACATTAGCTTAATCAACATTCCTGAGTCTGTCATAAATGATTTTGATGAACAATAAATCCCTGGGTATAATTACCACTCTATCTATGTATTACTTTTGCCACTGTCTAATTACTGGTTAGGCTTATGGTCGAGCCACATCTCAAACTGACGACAAAATTCAATTCCCTTACCAACCTCGATTGATACACAAGCTCGTAATCATCTATTGACTTCCCACATCCTGTAATTAATGCCTAGAGAGCTATCACTTTCTTCAAACCAAAGTTTACTCTGTTGTACAAGCAATGCACGTTCAGCTCCAGAGACAGACCAGGGTAGGTCTGATGAATAAATTTGGAGTGCCGACGAATGTGCTAGCTATGCCAGGCACAGAGATTGGTCTGTCGATGTTGTTGGAAGCTGCCCAAGTTCGTACGGCCACTCAGAGGGCGGAAAGACATCGAAGGGGGCTCGGCCATTTTGCTCATCACAAGGCGCTCTCCCACGCTGGGGATGCCGCAGACCTCGACGGTCTGGATTGTTGACTCTCCAGACAGCGCCACGTCTTACATCAGCACGCCGCCTGTGGATGTGAAACCAGCTGCGCTTGGGGTTCATAGTCAAGCGCTGTTGAAGGGAAGTCTGCAACGTAGTAGGGCTGGTCCCAAGCGTATCTTGCCGCGCTGGGAATGCGGCCAGGAGCTCTGGAGCGGAAGAGGTGAGATGTTCAGAAGCCAGAGATGCAGAGTAGATGCTGAGACCGCCAGTCCTATCAAGGAGGATGAGACGGTGCAGATAGATCTGAACAGTTCATATATCATGACGTTGCAGAAGAGTTGACCTGTCGGATTTCGTGTGAGAGGATGGGGGACACCAGAGACGAGACGGAGGGCTTTACTTGTCATCAGTTGCCACTGCATGGCCAATGAAGCTCTGGAGGCCAACAACATGCCACTTGACATGAAGCAAGAGGGCTTAGAAGCGGAATGAACCGAACGTTTCCTGTCGCATATTTCGTTATTGTAGGAAACTGAATGCTGTCTCGGGACCGAGCACGGGTCCGAGATGTGATCACCACGACAAGCGAATTGTTGGCTTTCCTCGAATACATTGTTATGCATGAAGTATTCTTGCGTTGAATCAGAGAGGATCATCATGTAATTTTTCAGAAGACTGCCTTGAATTATAGTAATTACAAGATTGGCCATTGTTTAATCGATAAGTGTCATTTTTGTGTTGTAATAATTAGAGCTACATCGTTCAGAGAAGAGCCTGCAGAGTAATTTAGATGCGTAATGAGAGGTAAATGATCCAAATACATTCACAATGATCAAGAGAAACAGGTACTCATTCTTCTTCCATTGCAAGTGATGTGGCTGTCCAACAACGCAGTGGTCTGCTTCTACAAACGTACATGTGTAATTATATACAAGCTTTTGACCCCTTCATTAATCTATAAGTTAATTTATTATCTATTCACACACCGCCTTCCCTTTTTCTATGCTGAACCTCACCTCAAGACGGCAGCTCATAGCGCACAGGACTCGCCACATGCGTCATCTCATAAGCCGAGCTGCCTCCCAAGGGCCGAAGACCCGCAGACCTCCCAGCATCAAATTCAGGAGGCTGCGTGTACATCTCATGCGGCTGCACATACATCTCGCTCGGCGCCATCACCATGCCCTGCTGCCCCGCCGTTGCTGCTGAAGGTGAAGCCCCCGCCCGCAGCGCCCCTTTATCGTCGTCGTCGCCGCCGTCCATCTCCTGGCGCTGCTGGTCCGGCGGCAGCTCCGGCGGCATCAGCCCTTCTGGTGGGCGCCGTGCTGCCCTGCCGGCGCGATGTCTTCTTCGCCAGCAGAGAAAAGCCCCTGCGATGCCTGCAATGGCGACGACCGCCACGCCGATTCCTATCCCGGCTGCTGCGCCGGCTGAGAGGCCTCCTTGGGCTACTGCTGCTGTGCCCCCGGCTGATAATGACGATGATGATGATGTTGATGTGGAGGCTGCGCCGGTGAGGCTGCTCGTGGCACTGACGCTGTCTGCCGTGCCCGTAGCCGTCGTCGTCGCCGCCGTGCCCATGGTCAGGTCACTCGCCTCGTAAACAAGCCGCACCGCCCAAGCATTGAACCCATCGCGGCTCGTAAACCCAATAGGCTGCGTCGTCCCGTTACTCGTCGCCGTGAGGGTCGTCGTCCCGTCCCCCGCGCTCCAGGTGCACCACTGGCTCGTAAACGCCGAGTCCGTGATGGTCGCCTTGCACAGCATCGACACGCCGCTGACGACGGGGCAGCACGTCACTGTCGTCGTGCCCTGGGCGGCGTTTTCGCAGGCTGTGAAGTAGCCGGCTGGGCAGTCGAGGCCCGGCGAGAAGTAGGAGGCTTGAGAGAGGGCGAAGCCCGTGGGGAGACAGGTTGAGGAGTCCTGGTGCGGCCCGCAAGAAGAAGAAAGAGTGGGTATTTAGTATATTTGACTTACTTGCTCGATGACTTGATTGTCTTCTTTCCCTTATCTTTCTGATGTGGAGGGGGCCAGGCAAGAGTGAAAGAGGATTCTGGTGGGAAAGAAGATAAAAATGAAGGAAGAAAAGCAAAGACGTACGACTTCATTGACAGCCCAAATCTCGCTCTTCTCATCCCATTGGATCCCAGAACACGCAGCCGGCGGCGTGAAAGTTGTGGTGAGAGGGAAGATGGTCTCGGTCACCACCAAGGTGCCAGACGTGAATGTGGTCGTTACCGTCATGCTGCTTCTGCTGCTTCCTGCCGCTACGTTTCCTCAATTTAGTCCCTCATCGCGAACAGAAGTGCGAGGAAGAAGAAGTTTACATAGTAAACGGTGCAGTACTATTCCCTTCTCCTCCTCCTCCTTCGGAGAGGGGAGAAGGGGGGGGGGGTTGGAAAGAAAAAGGAATAGGAAAATCTGAAGAAACGGGACGAAAGCCACATGGAGAGTGGACCGCCGAGGCTGAAGGTGGGTGTGATGGTGGGTCAAGGGCAGATTGCGACTTCAAACGGATCCTTCAGCGCATAAGGGCGGCAGGGGGTCCTCAGGTACGCGTAAAGGCTGTGAGGTGGGCGGGGGAGCTGAGAAAGTAGCAGCAGCAACGTTTTTGAGGGAGGAGAGCAGGAAGCGCGCGTAATATCGCACAAGTTGTGTCGCAGACTTCATGAGTTTCAGCCTGGGTCTGTGTTTTGGGTCGTACGCTGCCATTGAGAGTCCACAGTCCATCATATATTTGTCAGAGCCACTTGGGGAAGTATTTGGCAGAGATCAGAACAGACATCTGCCTCTGATTTCATGATCACATCTCATGCTGCTTCTATGGTATGTTTGAACGGGCTGTGTGGCGGTTGGTCCTCTCTTGTCTTCCAGCTCTCTTGAGAGCGGAATAGTCCTCTTCCCCTCTTCCTGTAGCCCTTATTCCCCAAGCGAAGCACCGACGCCGATATTCCCGTGGCCCCTCGGAAGGAACAAAGTGCAATGCGCAACAGACGAGCGGGGACATCCGGGGCCTGGTATCTTGTGGAAGAAGAGATAAATAAAAGACGAAGACGGAAAAAGGACACACCACCAGACCTGTCAATTGTGTCCATGTCCGGCCGTTCCCATAAGCCCCTTTCGATCCTCGCACTGATGAAAGCGCATCCCAAAAAGTCAATCAAACCACGCCGAAGTCCAAAGTATCCCACGCCAGCCAAGTGAATAAAAACCCTTGTCCTGCCTTCCCGTTCCCTTGCCCAGTGACATCAAGTGCTGCCCTCGAAATAAGCCCGCTGATGAGATATCGAAGTTCCATAACGCATTATCTGTTGTTGCTTTGTCCGTGCTCGCTGGCTGTCTGTCGTTTGATTTGTGTGTTCGCGTGTGTGTGAATGTGTGTGCCATCCCAAGCGAGGCAATGGACAAAAAAAGAAAAAGGAGGGAGGGGGGGGGGGGAGCATTAGGAAGAAAGATGTGAGTAATGATACAGCGACAAATGTATATGGGAATCGCTTCTAAAAGATGATAAGAGGGGAGGTAAAGAGGTGGAAATATGCCAGAATAGCAAACTGCTCTTGTGTTTTGATATTGGAAAGGCTCCCCCTGATTGCCTTGCTGCAAATCGCACAGGGCGTAGCGTGAGCAAAATCGAGCCAGCCGCCGGGATAAGGAATAAAATCACCATAAAGCGCCAGAATGGGGAGCATCAGAATTCATCGTCAGATGGATCGCCATTGAAGTGCGAGCCGTCGATGTCCTTCTGCTGTCGACAGCCATGGTGAAAATTGGCCAGTCTCCCCCGGTGCATGGTCTGCTGCATAGGGAAAATGCCACCGTCCAACAAGTCAAGGTGCCATCCACTTTGGAATTAATTCACCATAAACACATTGAATCCCTGGTGAGTTTACGGTGAACATGTTGATTTTACCGTGTATTCACCATGCACACCGAGAAATACACCAGGAATTCTCCAGAGGCTGGGTTGAAGCCGATGTGTGACGGGGCAAGAGACTCCCAAGGCAGTCCCTGCTAAGAGATGAGCTCAGCGGATGATGGGCCAGTCCGACAGGCGCCCTCCTCCATCTGTATCCTCTCTTGAGCCTGGTTTTCGGCCAAACACATTCCAGAACCGCAGCGTCTCATCACCCGCACCTGTTACAACCACGCGCCCGTCGGGGCTCATGGCAAGGTAGAGAACTCGGTATGTGTGGCCTGTCAGGCTGACGACCTGGGTCATGGATGGGTACTTCCACACAACAATTTGGTTCTGGCTGTAGCCGTGCGTCGAGACGATCTCGTTCGAGTTCTTAGACCAGGCGATATTGCAGACCTGGCTGCCCGTGTCGACCTCGTTAATGACGCTTCCCTTGAGCGTGTCGTGGAAAATGATCCTGCGGTCGGCCGTGCCACCACCTGATGCGAGGAGACCGCGCTGGTGTGGCGACCAGGCGATGGCCTTGACGGCTGCAGTGTGGTCCGAGAACTTCCACAGCGGCGTTTCGTTGAGATCCTCCCAGACCATCAGCTTGTTGTCGTTGCCGCCCGAGGCCAGCTGCCTGTCGTCCGAATTCCACTTGAGACCGCAGACCTCCTGCTTATGGCCAACCAGCTTCCGCACCCACTGGTCGGGTCTCCTGACGTCGCGGTGGTAGATCAAGCGGTCACGGGATCCCGAGGTGAGGATGTGCGAGTTCCATGCCAGAGAACCGACCCTACCAGTGTGTCCAGTCATAGTTCTCAACCGCCGCGTCCTCTCCGCATCCCAGATCTGCACCAGGCCCTTCCCCGTGCCGATGGCGATGTGCGTCCCCTTTTGGATCCAGGACACGCTTGTGACGGTGTCGTCCTCGAGCTGGCAGAGCTTGTTTACCCTGCTCGTCTGCGCGTTCCACATGTAGACGCTCGAGCCGAGCCCGACCCCCAGGACGTTGGCCGAGCCCCAGTCGACCAGATTAAGATAAAAGTCGTCTGCCAACTCAGGAGCGTCCAGCACCTTGTATGGCACCTTGCTCACCGCCCTCGGCTGCCTTCTAGGACTGAGCAGCATCTGCTGGCTGCCGAACCTAACGGGCGACAAGCTGTAGATCTCCGCTCTCGTGTCCAGATTCGGGCCGTGGCGGCCCTGTGGCGTCTTGGAGGGAGTCATGTGGCCTCCTACGCCGCTGAGATGGCGAGGCGACATGTAGGAAAACAGGTTCTTGTGTGGTGTAGACGGGGTCATGGTGGGGGGTAATGAAGGAGCGGGGTTAGCAGGCGGCGTATGAGCTCTCGTGCCGTCATTAGCATGCGCAGACCGCGAGGGCCCCGGCAGAGCGTGATCTGGAGATGCTGTTGGTGGTGTCGCCTGTGCAGCTGTGCCCTCGAAAAGCTCAGCGCGGAGCAGCGTGTTGTATGTCCGGTTTGCTTGCTCAGCTAATCCCATCACACGTCAGTTCCACGAACCAGAGACACCTGCTTCTCAGAAGTTGAACAGGACTCACTTCGTTGGAAATTCAGCTCGCCGTGAGAAGGTCGCTTAGCCCTTGCCGCGCTGGAGGGGGTGCCTGGCTGGTGAAGGCTGAAGTCGGCTTGGAGGTCCTGGCTCCTGCTTGGAATGAATCTGCCAACCATTTAGCTTCCCGTCCTGGCGCATAAGACAGAACAAGGAATAGAAAAAAATCAATGTCAAAACAAAAGATCGCGAGCGCTGCCCCACCTGTCGCCATTTATCCTCTGCCGCTTCCTATGCGGACTGGCTCCTGGCGTTGCCTCCCGTTGCGTACGACTAACTCTCCGTAGCTGATCGTCCAGCGCATCCACGTCCAACCCTGCTGTCCTCGACACGTCGTTATGGCGCGCCATCGATGTAGGGCGCCGCGAGCCGCCCTGTTCCACGTTGTGCTTAACCTCGAGGCGGGCGCGGTCAGCAGGCGGCGGCGGGGTTGCTATCCTACGTGGAGTGTGAACACCACTGTCTGCACCAGAGCAACCCCTCTTGTCCTTCCCTAAGCTATCTGGATCGAGCGTCATGATGGTCGGCGGTGGAGGGACGGGGGCGGGGCCACGAAGGCCTGTGAGTAAGGGATGGTGTCTTCACCAGGTTGAACGGCCTTGCTGGGGGTGGCGACCGTCCGATCTTCCAAGGGCGTCGTTCGTGAAATGACCGATCGGGATGGTCGGCCTGCGCACTCGTTCGTTCGACGGGTCGCTTGAGGTGGACTCTAGGAAGGCGCTCGAGCAATCCTTGTTCGTCCAAAGGAAAAAAGTTGAGGAAGGCTTCCTCCGTCACAGCGCCCTCTCGTCACTTATGTGGTCGTCGGCAACAAGGAGCGAGGTCGTCGTGGTTCTAGCGCATGCTATTGGTATCGACCAGGCGAGCGAGTGCACGGCGCAGCGCCCAGTTGGGGTATAATAGGGATAACAATATCGAAGCGAACCGTAGGGGCGGGGTGGTGTGCACAATAGGCAAATGCGAAAGTGCTATTGTCGATCGGTTATCGAAGTTTCGCGAGGGTTGTGGCACAGCGTCGTCCTGTCTGGTCACCGCCGTCGGCGTGAGGCCGTCGTTCTCTGTGGAGGAGTCGTGAATGAGAGTGCAGCAGGCACAAGGTCAGGATCAGGATGGTTTGGAATGCGTAAGTACTCTGGTAGCAGCAGCAGGGCAGGGCAAGACAGGGGAGCGCAGGGCTGGGGCTGGCACTGGCACTGCACTGGCACTGTTGCTGGTGCTGCTGGGTGCTGGTAACGGTGTAGGAGGGAACAAGCTACGCCAATTACGGGGGGAGGGGGTGTTAGGGGCTGGGGGTGACTTAGGGTGCTTTACGTACAAGGGGAGGGGGGCGCCTTCTGTTTCCAGGAGCAGCTTTCTCTGTGGGCCCATCTGCCAATCAGAAGCTAGAGCCGCGGTACACGATAGACTAGCGCGGCTCAGCTGTCTTGAGCAGATTCCAGGGAAAGCAGCACCCAGAAGGAAGACGCCTTCTCTTATCATGAAAGAGCCACGATGGCTTATCTCTGGGTCCTTTACTACCTAGTACCTCCTAGCAACTACGGTATGATGTAGTCCACGACAACAACCATTTCTCTGTGTTAATGTGCATTCTCGAGCGAGGAAGAGGTCCAACCTCCACATCATTGATCGTCCTTTACCTACAGTCTCTACTGTTGAGTTTTCTCATATATATTTTTTTCTTTTCCGGGGAGACGAAAAGCCGGGTCATCGTGGACGTGCATTCGAACCATGGGATCCCACCGGTGGCTGGGACGACTGGCACCAGCAGTAACAAGTGGACACATTTTGAGGGGGAGAGGGGAGGGGGGGGCGTGTGCTTCTGTGATGGGATCATCATCCTCTCCTCCTCTCCTCCCTTGTTCACGTCTTTTTGCCAACCTTGCTTCGTTTGTGTCGGTTGTCTGTCCCGTCCAACTCCACTGTAACTGGTCTTTCGAAACCTTTCAAGACTGCTCTCGGCCAAGAGATCAATCACGGCGCCACAAGGGCGCTTCCTGACTCTCGTCAGAAAATACACTACATCTCGCCCACCACCACGACTCCTATTGCGCATGGGTCATCAAGTCAGATGACCCTTCGTGAATCGCCAGGGAGGACGAGCCAAGTGGAGGGAGGCTGGTAGTTCATTGTTATTGTCTTGTCGCGTACAACTGTCGAATGACCGTGACGACCCCTCGTCCTCTTCCCCATTGCAAAGAGAGCTCCCAAGGGAAAAAAAAAAGGGTGGAGAATAGAGGGGCATTGTTTGTTTTCGAACCTGGACCCAGAACACGGTATTTCGATTGGAGCTAATGCAGGCCCTGACGGCTGGGCAATGACAGAGAGAGCAGTGAGCACCTGGATTGTGCCGGGGGGAGGGGCTGGAAGCACTGGCTTCCCTGCCCAGCCATGTGCGCAGCGGCTTTTCTCATAGGTCAAAACCCCCCTCATGACTGCGACCTGACGCCACATTCTGCCACACGTTGGCGCTCGACAACTCTTGCGCGCCGTTTCGCGTCGCACTTGCTGTGCTCAAAGCACTGCTAGTGCCGAGACGCCCTTTGGGGAATGAGTGGATCCCAGGCCCTCCCTGCATCCCTACTTCACCACAAGTTACTCATGACCTCGAGGACTACCACATCTGACAGGCGCGAAGACTCTGATGCGATCGATTACTACATACACGTCTTCTCACTGTATATCAGCTGTCAGTTCTCTGGCTATCATGAACTTTTTGTTTCGATGGCTCCACACCATCTCTAGCTTATATCTTTCACAGCTGCAGTGCAGAGTATCTGTTTTGACCCGGATACCAACACGATGTTGTCCAACCGAACCGATCTGATCTTGTGCGTCAACCCTGTCAGGCTCGTCTCCCCGTGGGCACTCGACTCCCTTGCGGCGCCTTGACAGCACAGAGCGCCTTGGAATACCGCAACATGGGCCCACACGTCACGTTTGCGCTTTGGAGATACTCAAGCTGCAACAACCAGAAACGGGACAGAAAAATGGTCGGAATACGTCACTGTGTAGTCTCATCTCTTCCAAGGAGTTCAGCCTCTTGCTGAAAATATGAAAGGTTGATCCCGGATTTTTCTTTAAGTTGAATTTCATACTTGGGCCTCCTTCCTTGCCTCTCTGTCTCGTTTCTCGTCTTTCCCTATTTCTGCTTCCCCTTCTTTTCCCTTGTGCCGAACACCCGAGGACAAGTCTCGGAAGCAGACGCTCTTGGTGCTGTTGTGGCGTGCAACGGTCAACTAAAAGCGGCCGCTCCGCCATGCTGACCATTTAGGAAGAGGAAGAGGAAGAAGAACACTAAGAAGAACAAGAAGCAAGGTTTTACTAAGTCCTTACGAATGGAGAAATATGAAGATTCCCTGGAGGCGAACATTAGTCGTGGTCAGGATTGTTAGCACGCGCTCGGATGTGCTCTCGTCACTCCAATCTCATCCCAGCATGCATCATCCCTTGCTGTGCAGCGTGTACCACCCTGAGCAAAGTTGCTCCACGGTGGCTACAGCGTAGCACCGTTTCGCAAGAGATATTTGGTCTCGTCTGACGGCTGGAGTCGACAGCTGTGGGGCCAAAGTTTATTTTATCTTCCTTGGAGATCAGAATGGCACCTCTCATCTTTTGATCGACGGGCCTCTGCTGTTTGCCCCATGGAATCGACTTGCACGACATGCGATACCCGATGCTCCTGGGTTTGAGCTGGCGCAAAGAGGGTCAGTTTAGTGTGTGTATGTGTGTGCTCACTGTCTCATTACCAACAGCGTAGCCGCTGTGACCCTCAGCGTGCAGAGATGTAGCCTAGCTGGGGTTGAGACTCAATGTCTCTGATTAGATTGACATCGGCTTGTGAGAGCAATGCAGGCGCGGGAGGGACGTTTGGCTTACTCGTCTAGCCAACAGACCAGTTATTAAATATCCTGCGGAGCAATGTTTCAAGCTCTGTGATTCCTGTCTGCACATCTCCCTCTCTTCCTCCCCTTGCCTCTCGCCATCTTTTCCCTTAGGCGGCAACATCACATTGTCCGCATCACGTGGTCGCCGTCCAAGGACATGGCAGACATCAAGGACACCGTGATTCCCAAAGCTAACAATAAAACCCGGCGCCGCGCTTCTATTGCACGCGCTCTTCACGTACCGGCTAGCATAGCTCGACATTTGAGACACAGTGAATCAGCACCGGAACGCAGTCAGAGTCCCACGTCCAGTGCCTCGCTGGGTCGACGAAGAGAGGAGGGCAAAGCCAGGCAGCCAGACGCTGCTCTTGTTGGCCCAAGCCCGCCATCCGTCACTTTGACTAGATGCGAGGTGGACAACAGTGGGGAAGAAGATGATGATGCTAGGGGCGCCGAGATTCCCGATATTCCTCTTCGCAGGTCCAACACGAGGATATTGGGCGCGGACTTGGGCGTGTCCTCGCTCATTGCGCTGGAGCGCATACTCGCTCATGGAGACCAGCAAGGGTCTCAACCCATTCAACCACCTCCTCCTCTCCAGTTCGATCCCCCAAGGCTGAGGTCTGAGAAGAGGTATGACGGCCACCAGTTCGAGGGCAACGTCCTGTATCCCGTCTCTGAACGCTCATGGGAATCTAGTCTTCCCGATGTCCCTGATGCCTCTTCGCCAGAGCCCAAACCCATGCGCGAATCGAGCTCGACTCCCAATCTCTTACGACGGGAGATTAAGCCAGACTTCGCGCCGAGAAGGGAGGAGGAGGACGAGGAGGAGCTGCCCTTGACATCAGGACCGGCCGTGGAAACGCCGGGGTTCTCTGCTAACCTACCTCTGCTCTCCTCCCTCCACCAGAGGGCAGTGAGCCTCACAACTTCAGCCACGTCCGTGACAGCGACATCTATACAGACGGACCGCTCATGGGCGCTCCCTCCTCTGCAGGCCAGGCGTCTCGACGACCCCGACACCGAGGACCGTGCTGACCACCAGGACGACGTGGATTCGGGCAGCTTCGAGCTCGTGATCCCGGCGCCAGTCATCCCGGCGTATAGCCTGGAGCACCGCTCAGAGCTGCTGTTCTCCGTGGAACACCTGCGCGTGATCTTCTCAGACCCAATATTTCTGGGCCGCTTCACGACCTTTGTCAACGTCTATAGACCACACTCTATTCCGCTGCTTCATTACACGCTAGACGCGCTCAAAGCAACCCGCGCCATGGACTGGATGAACGGGATCATCACACGGAACTTGCGACTCAGCGTCAAGCAGCCACAGCAACAACAGCTGCTGCTCCTTCTGCAGGAGCATGATGTCGCGCTGAGGTCGACACCCGAGCGAACGGTCAACGACAGCCTGCGGCAGACAACCGAGGCAGCCCTGGAAATACTGGCGAGGGACGAGCTGCCAGCCTACACCACATATGTCTGGATGGTCATCGTCGAGGCGTCGATGAAGAAGAGGATCAGGGGCACCATGTCAGCAGACCTGCAGGAGATGAGCGAGGGGCTTGCGGAGGTGTATTGCATCAGCGACCCGGCGAGGGCGGATAATCCGATTGTGTTTGCCTCGGAAGGTGAGATTTGCTGTTCGTCTTTTTAGAGCGTACTTTTGCTTGTTTTCTATCTGGGTGATCTGGATGAGCACTAATCCAGCAACAACTTCTTGTTCATTCTTAGAATTTCACCGAACAACACAATACGGTCCAGACCACGTCCTCGGCCGCAACTGTCGTTTCTTGCAAGGCCCCAAGACAAACCAGTCTGCGGTGCAGCGCATCGGCGAGAACCTCAAGCAGGGCAGAGAGCACTATGAGACGCTGCTCAACTACAGGCGTGACGGGCGCCCCTTTATGAACCTGCTCATGTGCACGCCGCTGCTCGATGCCAAGGGGGTCGTGCGCTACTTTCTGGGCGCGCAGATCGACGTGTCGGGCCTGGTCAAGCACTGCTCGGGTCTTGAGTCCCTGCGCAGACTCGTCGACCGTGACGAGGCGGAGCGCAAGAGGGTGTGTGACCCCGAGTCCGCCTCAGAGTCGCCTGCAGGCAGGAGAGACGAGTTCCGGCTGCTGGCGGAGCTGTTCTCCTACCCAGAGCTGGATACCGTGCGTCGATTTGGCGGGCGCATGCACAGCAGCAGCAGCTTCTCGCAGGAGGAGCGGGTGCTGCAACAACAGCCCCTGGAGGCGGCAGGGTCGACGTGCCACAAGCCGCGTGTGGTGCTGCATGACGCGTACGACCCGATCTCGCCGCTCTTATCGTCCCGACATGCCGGCAGCCGCAGAGAACTGAGGGACACTGCACAGTGCTGCGTGACGGCCGGCATGGATTTGACCTCTTTGATTGGTTCGCATGACTGTCCTTCAAAGGGGGGCGTCGACTCATCAGCTACAAAGCCGCATGCTGCGGTCAGTGCTGCTGCTCCTGCTACTACCATCTTTGAGAACTACCTGGTCGTAAGACCATACCCTTCACTGCGGATCCTCTTCGCGAGCCCGTCCCTCAGGGCCGCAGGAATCCTCCAGAGCCACCTGATGAGCCGAATCGGCGGGAGCCAGAGGATCCACGACGAGCTGGAGAGCGCGTTCGCGACGGGCCAGAGCGTGACGGCCAAGGTGAAGTGGATCGCAGGGAGCGGGCTGCGATACACGGCGAGCTCGGGCAGCGGTGGGGCGGCAACAACGGCGGCGGTCGGTGTTGGCAGCAGCGAGAGTGCGTGCAGTGTGGCGCCCACTGTGAGCAGCGTGGACACGGTCGGTTTGGAAGGGCGACCGCGCTGGATTCACTGCACTCCGCTGCTGGGTGCGGATGGGGGTGTCGGGGTGTGGATGGTGGTCATTGTGAATGATGAGGACGGGGAGGTTGTTGTCTCGTCTGAGAAGGGCCAGGTGCGGGAGAGGAGTAGTGCACAGCTCGTGGGTGGCGTGGGTGGCAGTGGTGCTGGATCGAAGGGCCCTTCTTCTGGAGGGTCTTCTGGTGCTGGTACTGCTGCTGCTTCTACAAGAGGAGGAGGAGGAGGAGGGCCAGGGGGGGAATGGGGTCAGGTTGTGGAGGAGAGGTCGCTTCGTGACTTTGCGGCTATAAATGGGTTGCCTGAGGATGAGGAGACGAGGAGGCGGGCGAGGGGACAGAGCCTGGAGAGGGAGTGGAACGGGACGTCGAGGCATGAGGGAGGGGAAGGAAAAGAGGAAAGGGAAAGAGGCTGAAGGGGAGGGGTGGAGGGGTAAATAGGAAGGAGGTTACATAAGGAGTTGGGTTTTTTGTTTGTTTGATAATAGGTCAGAGGGGGAAAGGGTCTTTTTATAAGCGTTGTAATTTCTTCGAGCCTTGTACACTTATATATACACGACGTTGAGTACGTCGCATACGTAATAGACGTGAAAAGAACGAAAATGTGCTTGAGTTGGTCGTCCTTGGTCATGAAGTTGGGATATGGAATAAACAAGGTGTGTGTGTGTGTGTGTCAAAACGAAGGACAAGACTTGGACATCAACACAACTTCCTGTGCGAAACACGCCTCTCTTTCTTTCAGTATATTCATTTCTGTCGCCGGTCTATACGAATGACGAATTGTGAATCCGTATCTGGACACTCGTCTCTGCCCTTCCGCGAGGTTTCTTCCTGGGCAGATCTATTAAACAAAACCCGAGTGCGTGTCTATCTTGGGGAGAAAAAAAGCCCCTGTTTCGCCCCCTGCAGCGTTGTCGTTCCCTCGCAAAAAAAGGGTATTATCGTCGTGTTGTGCTAGATGACCAAGGAACGAGCTTTGAATGAAAGAAATCGCATTAGGATCAATTTTTTTGGTTCCTTTGCCGGTTGAGTTTGCTCGATCCTCCCCTCCTCTTCCATGGCTCCTTGCTTGAGAGCCGTAGCAGACAGATAATTAACCCCACTGTCGAACGTAGTTCAAGCCTGTCTCTCTATGTTGTTGTTGTTTTGAGTGTTGTTGACAGACTTCCCCTTCGTGTCCTCCTCTACCCTCTAGGCCTGTGCCCCTTCCGCCTGTGCCAGCCTCGTCCGCCAGCCATCACAGACCTCCTCAAACCCACCGACAATCTCACCACAGACACTAGCGCACTCCCTCCTCTCGAGGCGCTCGCCCCAGTTGCCCTTTGTGATCCAGCGCTCGCCCTCCTCGCGCAGCTCCTCGTCGCGGCGCATGTCGGTGACGACCTCCTTTGCGCTGCGCAGGCGCCTGGTGGCGGTGGTGGTGAGCTGGCGGCCGACCTGCAGCAGGTCGGACAGGTCGGACAGGGAGTGGACGAGGTCGGTGGTGAGGTTCTGCAGGCCCATGATGCTGGCGAAGGCGGCCTGGGAGGGGCGCGGCATCATCTCCTGCAGGGTGGTGATCTCGGGGAGGAGGCTGTCGATGGTGTCTGCGTCCGGGGGCGGGGCGAGCGGGTTGAGTAAAGGGAAGGTGAGGTTCTGGATCTGTCGGGTCTGGTGGGTGAGGTGGGTGGTGAGGGCCGTGTGGGCCGTGATGAGCCGGCTGGTGTTGCTCTCGACGCTGACCTGGGACGAGAGGTCGCGCAGCCCGTCTGTCACGCGCCGGAACACGCCGTCTGCGTGCCCGCCGTTGCTCTCGGTTCCTCGGCGGGCGAGCGACTCGACCGCGTCCATCTTGGAGACTAGGCCGGACGGCATGCCGGGGGAGTCTAGGTCGGATTCAGAGCCGTACTCGCTGCCGTCGTACTGGCTGCCCTTCCTGCGGTGGTGGCCTCGGCCGTTGGTTGCGGGCGGCAGGCTTAGGCTGAGGTGCTTGTTTCTCCTCTCGCCTAGGCCTGCGCCCGAGCCTGAGCCTGCGACGTCGACTCCGCTATCTCGAGTGCCGTCCCCTCTCCTGTCTGCCGCGCTGCTGCCGCCGTCTCTGTTCTTGTGGTCGTCGTCGTCGTCGTCATCTTCCTCTTGCACCCCTGTGTTGTTCCTCAAGTCCTCCTCTCCAACCTGCACTTTGATCCCTGGTGTACCATGGCCCCCTCGCCTCTCGTCATTGTCCTCCTCCTCCTCTCCCTCCTCGTAGTATCCCTCACCGTCATCCGACAGCGCATCAGCCAGCTCGTCGGCCAGGTTGCCGAGCCCATTACCGCCCATGCCACCGAGGCTGCTGCTGTTTGGCAGGCCCATGCCGCTGCTGCCAAACATCAGGCTGTCGCCCTCGCGGTCGCCGCCGGCCATGGAGCTGCGGGACTGGCGGCGCGAGTGCAGCTGGGAGGGGGAGTAGGTATAGTCGGAGCCATCGCGCGAGTGTGTGAACCGAGGCGTCGTCGGAGATGCCATCTCATCTCTTTTGTCTGATTTGGAGGGTGGGTGAAGTTTCCCCTTGAAGGTGATCGATAGGACGAGGACTTGGAACTCCTTTTCTCGTCTCGTCTTCTTTCTCTTGCCCACTTGTCTGTTGTGGTCCTCGTTTCTCTGGTCGTGAGGCTCGGGCCACTGAATTTCTTGTCGTCGCGGAGAATAGTATTATCTCGAGGGGATCAAGGATAGGGAACAGAGTTTTGTCGGTGGTTCGATCGTCGGTATGAGTCTCTCAAGGAGAGGAGAAGGGGGGAAACGGAAGAGGGGTCAGATTTGAACGTGGTTCGCTCGCGGTGCTTCTTCTAGAGGATTGTATCTTTGGTGTGGAAAGACGAGAGAAAGAATAGAAATCGCACGATTGAACGGATGATCGAGAAACAACGGTGAAGAAATCAGAGAGAGGGGCTGGTTGTCAAGATGCTCTGGCAGAATTTTGGTTTGCTAATGACAGCAAGTAGCAGTAGTAACGCATGAAGATACCAAATCACCCCCCCCCCCTGGACGGTGGCCTGGAGACCCCGTAATATTGAGAGGTGGCATGCAGTGCACGGGTCAAATTAAGCAACCAAACAAGACGCCTTAGACGCGTTTTCCAGCAGGGCCGCTTGGGCACCCGTAGACAGGGGTCTTCCTTGCGTCATTGGGCTGGCTGGGTTAGGGTTACACAAGTTGGGGCGGGAGCCCTACTGTAGTAATCCTAAACAGCCTAGACGACTGCCACACGAGTGTACAGCACCTCAGTGATGCCCTCGTCCGCGAAATATACCGATTGCGCTTGCTGATCATGACGGTGCTGAGTGTCAAAGCTGCAGTACACAGTACTATGATATCAACGAGCTTGCTCGGCCCGCCTATTGCCTCTACTACGACTGCAAAAACCATATTCCTACAATAGTAGGCTGCTAATAGGCTGTGCATATTGTACTTAAAGACAACCTTCCTGCGCAACTGCTCCTTACATGCAGTCGTGATCAAAGTTGATGACACATCTCAGCATTGAATCAGACAAGCCTGTGAAGAACTTTGCTTATCCTCATCCAATATTATATTAGTATGTATGATCCAGACAGTCTGTATAACATAAATTGTCAGTAAGATGTTGTTACAAGCATGCTGTGAGTCCAGAGCTTTTCAGCAACCCATTGGGGGGGGGGGGGGGGTTGAACTGAACTGGTGTCCATTCCTACCGGACAGCGCTAGAATTCACGAGCATGGCCAGGTGGCTCACAACTGATATGGTGAATTGGCGTTCACCTACTTAGGGCAGTGATATCATACTACATGGCACACAACGGGTGACCTCTGCCCAGCAGCAGGGGACAGAGGCTTGGGAAGAAGAAGCAGAGGGAAGGGACCACTTGAATTCCCCTCAGTCCTAAGTCTCTTCAGTCCTTTCGATCCAGTCTGTATTGACTCCACATCACCGTGATTCTGCAGTCACCTCCGCTCCGCTCCTCTTCCATCCTTCTTCACTTCTCACAGGGTTCGGGCAACGGTGGCACAAGCTGGAACCAGGGCCAGCCAGAGAATGATACTTTACTACAAGACAAATGTGTTTGAAGTGACGGGCCTCTTGAGCCCAACGCCAAAGAGCCTTGCCTGGCTTTCAGTTTGTTTGGCAAAGGATAGACGCGTGACTTGGCCTGTTCATGAGGCTGAGCCTAGGTCTGGTTTGTGGATGGAGACCCTCAGCTTACGACTGGATAGTCTGAGGTGAGCATGAGAATAGACAGCCATGTTTTTGTTGCTCAGTGCAATAGCACTCCTTTGAGAATAAAAAACTTCTTCTTCACAAAAAGGGCAAGGCGAGCATAATAGGCTAGTGTAGAGCAAGTTTTTAGCTGAATAACAGGGAGAACAATAGAAGTTTCTTGACATGTTCTCCCTCTCAAACACTCTCTTCTGAAGGAGTTCAAGTGACTGCCGCCCATGAAAACACAGCAGGCCAGTGGAGGATAACACTGCCATTTCCTAGAAAATTCGTGTGTTGACATCTAGGAGGGAAGTTCTAATGTGTCTGATCAGTGTTCTTTCAATTGAAAATTATGGTATATATACCCTGTTGATGATACTTTGATTGGCCCATCACAGTGCACTGCCAAGAGCTCAGAATATGATGTTGATGACATTCTTCGCTCACAAGGCTGAGGGAGGCTCTGTTTCGTCTCAGCGTCAAGCGGGAACCCTCTGTCCGCTTTGGAACACGGTATTAGAAAGGGGAAAGGAAAATAGGAGAGAGTAAAAAGAAACCACAGCTTTAAGAGTCCACGCCCCATCTCTAGCCCAAGATGAATTGGCCCTTTTGTCTTGGCTTCAGTATGCGCCACAAGTCAGCCCTTTGCTTTTTCTGGTCGGTTCCCCTCCTTCAGCCCAGGTGTGCAAATGCAAGAACCAGGATCAGGGGTACTATCCTCTGCCTTAGTGTTTCGATTTGGTTTTTTCAGCCCCCCCTTTCTCGACCCACATACTTAAGCCAAATCGAGCAAGACTTTTCACACTGCCATACACACTGTATTTTATATCAGATATATTATCTATTATATGTATGTAAAGCAAGCCTTTCTATACTTGAAAAAAATCTATAAAAAAAAGAAAAAAACTAAAAAGAAAAAAAGCTTACTAATAAGCTTGTAATGATGCACTGCAGTATCCTAAGATCCTAAAGTACACAAGGGGTTTATGCTAACAAGAGCGGTGTCAAAGTATGAACCAACTGAATACGGAAATGTAAACAAGTAATTCGTGCAAGTGCTTTCATTCGCCTTTGGGGCCATTCAAGTGTGTGACAAATGAATACTTAGATTGACGACTGAAGAGCTATGTCTAGTGGTCTATCTAATGGTAATGAACGTGTCCTTATATATCCTGCTCTTCAGTATGGACCGTAAGAGTCGACGAGCGACTGTTGCGGTCCCTCTCTGATTGGTCCTCATTCCTAACCCTAACCCTTGATTGCCTAATCCTGGTTGGGTTGTCCGCGTGCTAGATTGTAATCGCTGGTCCTTTGTTGGCGGGGCCTGTTTCGTGACCTGCATGCTGGATGGGTCATAACAAAGCTAGCTAACTAAACAATTATCAAGCTGACACAGCAATTTTGATTTACTTCTTAATTTAATCAAAATTTGAGAAAACAAGCTGTAGGTAGCTATAGTACTTTTCTAGGCTATGAGTACAGATATCTGCTATGCGAGATAGTGCGAGAAAGAATTCCGCGCGCACTAATGTATCTTTCCTTTAGGCATAGCGCTGTGGGGGGGGTTGATTTCTCGAAAGGGGGGGCTGAAAAAACCAAATCGAAACACTAAGGCAGAAAATAGTACCCCTGATCCTGGTTCTTGCATTTTCCCCAGACCCCCTGCTCCTGTCGCCATCGGCCCGGATCCTGATTCTTACATGTTGAGAACGTGAAAAAGAAAAAGGGAATAAATTCGAGGACCTCATATCTTGAGCCTTTCGCTCTTCCATCAACTACTTTGATCATCATATGTCTGGGGGCAAAAAACCCGGTCTCAGCAACGAGTACATCATTGCACTGTAACTCACCTGGGCTTGTCTCAACGTCAATTGAGATTGATCAAAGCTTGGGCAACGAAACGGTGATTTACAGGGCGTCTCTTATACACTGCGACCAATCACCACCCACTGTGTGCCAGCCATGGCCATCAACCCATCCTCTCCCAATGGTATAACCACTACAGTCTGTCAGTCGCCTGTCGACCCATGGGCACTCAATCTGAATGCACTATTAGCAATTATCTTTGGTTTCATCAGCGTACTCAGTCTTGTTGTCCAAATTGCAAACATGAAACTGCGCAACAGAACACAAGAGTAAGTTGAATACCTGTCACTGTCCCCAATGTAGCTGCCGCAGCAATTTCTCTATGGTATCGCACGACCTCTCGCCTGCCTTCTCAAGGCCCTACTTATGCCCACCTACGCCCGCACCTACGTCTCTCATCACACTGATCCCCTTCCCCCACACCATCACTACAGTATCGATGCCACTTTGTCATCAGAATATTCAAAAATTCTCACAAGTCAAACAGTACCACTCCCAGGGAAGCAGAGGACCATGAGGTCTACGGTCAAGGTGGCATTCGATTGAGCACGCTCGAAGGAACACAGGGGATCCCTGCTCAGCGTGTGCGCGATGGTCAACCCGGCCCCTGGACCGATTACGAGTATAATGCTGAGATGAGACCCTCTTACCCCGTGCGACCGAGGATCTTGCATGCTGCACAGAGTACTGCATTGGCACCCCCGGACGGCCTGGGCGCAAGACAGAGGATGCCTCTTCCTCCTGGCCCATCTCAGCACCAGCTAAGATGGCAGCGAGGTACAGAGCATGCTGCTGCTGCTGTTGACTCGCAGGGTTACGAGCAGCAGTTTTCCCAGGCCCAGTGGCACAACAGTGGTGGACACAGAGTGTAACCTGCTTCCTACCAAAGAGCGGAGCGGCTGCATAAAACAACAACTTCGCTTCGACCCCCCCCTCCCCCCCCGGTATTGTTGTCAGTAGCAGGGATAAGCAATCAACAGGGCGATATGGGCTCGAACATCAGCCAGGAAGCAAAAAGGGTTATGCGATGGAATTATGGACTGTAACGAGGTGTTGGATTCTTAGGCAGGACATGGAAAGGGTGTGTATGGGTTTATACTGGTAGAAAGTGCATTTTACATTGGGAGTTTGACATACCGGACTGCCACTCTTTACACTCTACGCTGTGCAGCCACTGTGCGGCATTCTGTGCCTGATCGTTGGCTTGTACAATGTGGTGTACCCGCGCTGGGGTTCCCCTTCTGGGATTTTCGACTGTCTCCCGTAGCGGGTCACACAGCAGTGAGCCGACCATCCCGCACCCCACCAAGCCACCAACGCCTGCTAAACGCAATAGCAATTCTGCAGCTGGCGGTCCAAGTTCGATCGACTCACCCACTTCAAAATTGCCAAATCCGTCTGTTCATCACTGCTCGACTTTGCAGAGGTTGGTTGTCCAGCTGTGGGCGTGTTTGCATTTCAGTGCAGTTCTTTTTTTGCATCCTCATTTTCTTTTGCCCCCTTTCCTTCTCTACTTCTTCCGTTTTGTCATTCCATATCTGATTCGAGAAAAAATCCCATCGAGTGAGGTGAGCCTCATTGTAAGGACAACCAACACACACTCTCTCACACATCAGCCACGCCAGGATGGCAAACTTCAGGCGCTTTAGGCCCGACGACGTGAACAAGTTCTCAAAATGCAACCTCGACCCCTTCACCGAGACATATGAGCTCAGCTTCTATCTGCAGTACTACGCAAAATGGCCTTCACTGTTCCAGGTTGCAGAGGACCAGGACGGCAACATCATTGGCTACCGTGAGCTCCTCCTCTCCCTCTCTTTCTCTTTCTCTCTCTCTTCTTAAATACATATGACCATCATGGCTGACTCGTACCCCCCTCAAAAGTAATGGGCAAGCTCGAGTCCTCCCCAGCGTACTACAAGGGCTCCGAGCACTACCTCCCCTGGCACGCCCACATCACCGCCCTCACTGTAGCCCCCGAGGCCCGCCGCCTGGGCATCGGCAAGCTCCTGTGCGAGCAGCTCGCCGCGGTGGCAGACGCCAGCGACGCCTGGTTCGTCGACCTCTTTGTGCGCGCGTCCAACCGCAAGGCCATCACTTTCTACGAGAACCTGGGGTACAGCGTCTACCGTGTTGTCAAGGACTACTATGGCGACAACCCGGAGGATCCCACGCGGGACGGGGAGGATGCGTATGATATGCGGCTGGCGCTCAAGAGGGATGTCAAGAGGCAGCATGTGAGGGAGGATGGCATGGCGCATGAGGTCAATCCAGAGGACGTGTGGTGAAGAGACAGGCGTCCAAGGGACCGCAGGAGAAGGAGGACGAGTTGGGGAGCCGAGAGCAGATTTCTCCTCCGTCTGGCACACTTTGCCAGTAAGCATCTACGGTTTGACGAACTTTGCTGTCATACCCTCTCGCAAAACATCTCGAGAATGTAGTCACACGTTCTGAACCAGCTGAGAATCATGGTTCGACCTCCTTTCATTCTTGTTGCTTGATCTGATGGCTTGTTCTACCTGTGCTCTCATGATGTCGAGAAAGAAAGGAGGAAAGAGAGAGAGAGAGAGAGAGACGGAAGATACAAAGAAAAAGAAAGAGTTGTCTAGAGCTGATCTGAGCATTCTATGCAAAGGTGTCCAGTCCCAACCCGCCCACCCCAAGCAAGAGACGGCGCCACCAATCCCTTATTACACCCACGCTCCATCTACAGCATACACACCCCCACTCACAAAGGTGCTGTCGGGCCCCAGCAGGAAGCTGATCACATTGGCCACCTCCTCCGCGGTGCCCTGTCGAGGAATCGCGCTCGGGTCATCAAAGGGCGCATCCGCCGAGCGCCCGACCAGGTCCCAGTTCTTTTGCATCAGGGGCGTGTAAATCGCTCCCGGGGCGACGGCGTTGACCCTTACCTCTCTGGCGCCGTTCTCCTGGGCCGCAGCCTTCGTCAGCCCGATCACGCCATGTTTGCTGGCGTCGTAGGCAGCATGCTGCGCGAAGCCTGAGGACGTACACAGACATGTCAGTCAGCCTTTAGAAAAGGGGGAGGGGAGCAGGAAAGAGTGGAAGAGATGTGTGTGTGTGTGTGTGTGTGTGTGTGCATGAGCAGTTATTCCTACCCTTTGTCCCGTGGATCGACGAGACATTCACAATCGACCCGCCGTCCACCACGCTCCTCAGCTCTGCCCGGAGGCAGTACATCATCCCCGTCAGGTTCACCGACAGGATACGGTCCCACTCGCCGTCGTCCAGGTCCGTCACGGCGTCTCGCCCGTGGCCTCTCCCGATGATCCCCGCCACATTGGCCGCGCCGTCAAGCCGCCCAAAAGTCTGGAGGATGCCTGCAATCCACGCATCGACCTCGACCCGCTGCGAGACGTCCACCCTGGCGGTCTCAAACCTCCTTGGGGGGGTCTGCGAGCTGAAGAAGGCCTCTGCCGAGGTCAAGGCGGCCGGGTCGACATCTGCTATGCAGACTGTGGCGCCCTTGCTGGAGAGGTTCTTGGCGGTAGCGAGGCCGATGCCGCTCGCACCTCCTGTGATCGCAAACACCTTGCCTTTCAGGGGTAGCAGGGCCATGGTTCGTGGGCTGTCCTGGTGTTGAACAAAAACTGGTGTGGATCGCAAGCGTGAAGAAGAAGAAGCAGCAGCAGCAGCAGCAGCAGAAGAGAAAGAAAGCAAAAACAAGGTAGAAAAGTCCAGCCTGGTGAAGAAAGAAAGCTGACGTATAAAGTTTATGTGTAAATATATATATATGTAAGTATATATACATGCGGGTGTGAGTATTAGGCGTGTGCAAGCGATGATTAAGAGAATCAACTCGGCCAAGACCAGAACTCAAGCTCTCGAGGATGCCGAGATGTAATTATAGTCTTGGGCCTCTGGTACTATTGTTCCCAGACGTCCCAATCTGCTCCCTCCTCTACGCGACGATCTTCCACTCCTCCTCGTCTCCAAAACCGCGTCCATCGGCAAGCGGGTGATCTGCGGCACATATGTAGTATGCAGTGCATGGGGCGGAAGGGCTCAAGGTGCTACCGATAGCCTTCCCGCGCATAATCACACTCTGCGGCGCCCGCTGCCGACAAAAGGTGCTCCTGCATGAGGGCCAGCGCCTTTTTGGGAAATATTGATTGGAACGGATATATGCCTACCCGACTACTAGTAAGAGTGCCACTCAATGGATGATGCATGAATGATGCATAGTATCGTGGGTTTTGGTTTTGCACCATTGGAAGGGGGCTTGTGGAGAAAGATTCGATTGTGCTGTTGGAAAAAAGTCCCGTCGGCTGAAAAGGTAAGCTTTGATAACTCGACGGCATCTTCTGGCCGTGGTCGAGGAATATACTGTTGCTGTGCTCCTTGGACAGGGCCAGGACCCATTTTTGGGAGAGTCTATAATGGCCGTCGGTTAATAGCAGAGTTAAAAAGAAAGGAACGGTAAGGAGGGGTGGAGAGGCAAAGGGAGGGGGGAGGGGAGACAGAGAGCGAGAGAAAAAAGAAAAAATGATCTCTCAAGAGGCCAGACCTGGGAAGTTTGACGCGGCAGATTCCAGAGATCGTCGAGTCTGCATGTCCCGAGGCCGCAAGACTCGCCACTCCGCCTCGGCAGGCAACCGCCCGGAGCAGGATTATGACGAAAGAACCTTTGTGCGCTGTTGTACTAGCTTCGAGCCCTTCCGTAGGAGACCCAATAACCTGGAAAATCCCCAGCTTCGCGTGGTAACATTGTTCCGTACAGGCTTGCCCATTCAGGCCGGTAGATAAGAAGATTGTCGGTTCAACGCCCGTCTCCGGGTGGCCGGAGCTAGCCGCGGCGTGATCGATCCTGCGAGGTTGCTCACATCGTACGATTTCCCCCCTTCTCTTGTCGTGACCTGCAGAGTCTAGAAAAAGACGTGTCTGAACAGGTCTGTGGTGGGTGAGTGGATATGTGGAGGGGAGTCAAGAGACGGGTATCCCCTCATATACACTCGCAATCACATGCTCCCGCTGGCTCGACCTCTGCTGCGAAGAGCTCGACTGCTCGAGAGTAACTTCGAGGTGACTACCGGCCCAGATTGCGAACATCTAGTCCAGTGCCTCTGCTGCACCAGGACAAAAAAGAAGAGGGAAAAGAAGAAAGAATAAAAGTCAACCAAAAAAAAAAAAATTTAGAAAGGGAAAAAAAGACGGCCACCACAGCCTCGCTGACGGTGAGATAGATCTCTCCTGCCTGGTGCCTCAAGCAGAACAGCGAGAGCCTGTGATCTGGAGTGGATCATTTGCTGCCATCCAGAGCCAGGTTTGCTCTCGTCACCTGCATTTCCACTTCTTCCCCTCTCAGTACCTGCTACAGACAGACCAGTTATGCACCCATGTCAATTTCCCCAGATTTCATCCTTCTTTATGCCCCTCCTCTCTCTAGCGGCTCCCTTTCTCAGTGGGGACAACGGTTTCGCCCAGGCGTGCCAGGTCAGATGCAGTGGGTCCAGCTCTGGCCAGCTCCGGCTGGGTGGAGAAAGCAACCCCTTCAAGGGGGAGGAGTGGTGCGGTGGTAACGCTGTAGAGGGGCAGCTGCATTGACCTTGGCTCTTTGGTTCGGTGCCTGCATCTGTTTTGTCTGTTTCTGTTATGGTGTGTATGTGTGCTCTTAAGGTAGAAGTTCCTCATGATTAGACTTTCATCTGCTGGATGGGAGGTTGAGTGAACAAACCATCAGATTGAGGAAATGGAAGAGCTTGGTATTCACTGACTCGGTCAATGACAGCTCACTCATCCTCTTGGAGGGTGTGTGTAGGGTGGGCAGGCAGCACCAAGAGGAGCTAGCCCAACGTCATCGCCGGTCCTCCATTGCCCCAGCTGCCCCAATTGCCCCAACTTTACCCCATATTGTTACAGCTGTAGCTCTGACGTGACCAAGTCTCAGGGGCTTACTTTGGTGCCAACTAGGGCTACTTGCACAGTACAAGTGCAGCTCTTCCCAACATAGCATTGTTACATAGTAGTATCATGGTACCATTGTGGTACACCTCGGTCAGCTGGCCCCAAGCCAAATCCTGCCTGCTCTCTCCTCCAAGGACCTCTTTCAATTCCCCTCCCCTCCTCTCCTCCATTCCCTGTCCCCATCAGTGTGTGTACTCAATACTGGTGTATCCTCTTTGCTGCTCTGCCTCACTGTGCATTGATCCTTGTGGCAATTGTGGTGCTCCCACCTCCTCTTCCTTCTCGGCGCCGGCCCGTCGAAGACCAATCTGCCCGCATCCTCTGGGCCGCCTTTTGTGTCTGCCATTGAGATTTCCCATATACTTGCCATCTGCCTGCAGCAACTTCTGCTGTTTCCAGGCGCCACTCGGTGATTGCTATCCAACATGCGGTTGAGTTTCTTAGTCGGGGCCGCTGCGGCCGCTCTCGCGAGCGCTTCGACTCTCACCCCTCCTGTTTTGCCTTTGATCGTGCGAAATCCATACCTGAGCACCTGGCTCCGTTCTCGTGATGCGCCGTGGGAGGAATGGCCCATCTTCTGGACAGGAAACCACGTGAGTCTCTCAAGCATCAGAACAGAAAGACTCGTAGTAGAGAAACAGAGCGGCCCTCAAGATGGTCTCGGATAGGGAAATGTTCGTGGTGCTGACAAACACACCCCGTCTAGATCGGTTTCTCGGTCATGGCCTCGGTGCCAGAGGCTGGTCATGTCTACCCGCTGCTTGGCCGCCCACACGATTCCTTGGGAGGCTCTCACGACTTCAAAGTCGCCTTCCCCGAATACCTCGGTGCCACCTTCGACGCCTCCATTACGAACCTCACCTACTCGATCTTACCACCCAACGCGACCCTGCCTTTAACACTGACGCTATCATTCCTGTCTCCCATCACCCCGACCTCGACCCTGAGACAGTCATTGCCGGCCTCGTACTTGACAGTCTACGTGGAGGGTTCCTTCGACGTGAACCTCTACATCGATCTAAATGGGGAGTGGGTCACTGGAAACAGAGACAACGATATAGAATGGAGTCTGGAGGACGCAGAGCCCAAGGCTGATTCCTCAGCGGGTGCTGGAATCAAGTCGTGGAGGATACAGCGCCGGACCCAGCAGCTGCTCACAGAGTTTGCTGATCAAGCCGAGTGGGGGACCCTCTACTTCTCTGCCCCTCAGCATGTCCAGCATGAGAGCGGCATCTCCGCTGTCTTGCGAAAGCAGTTCTCCTCGGAGGGCAGGCTGAGGAACAACATCGACGGCAACTTCCGCAAGATCATGGACGAAGAGCCTGTGTTTGCCTTCTCCAAGGCCTTCAAGCTGGGTTCCTCCGGCAAGTCTGTCGACGAAGACGGCTACTCCCGGCAGAGCAAGGCTGTCGTCAAGACCGACAGTGTCATGTTCACGTTCGCCCTGGTGCAAGACCCCGTGGTCCAGTTTGCGTCGGCGAGGGGCCTTACCTTCATGCGCCCGTTCTGGGCAACCTACTTCCCCACGGATCAGGAGATGATCAAATATCACTACTCGGATTTCGCACAGGTGAACGCCCTGGCGAGCAATTATTCGAAGCAGCTCGATGTCGACGCGTACGCCTCGGGGTCGTCCGACTATCGAGATATCGCAGCTCTGTCCGCACGCCAGGTGCTCGGCGCCACACAGTTCTCAGGAACCCCTGACAACCCGATCCTGTTCCTCAAAGAGATCTCTTCCAACGGCAACTTTCAGACGGTGGACGTCATCTTCCCGTCCTTCCCATTCTTCCTCTACACCAACCCTCGCTGGCTGGCCTATCTCCTGGAGCCCCTCCTGGAGCACATGGGAAGCGGCCAGTATCCCAACAAGTACACCATGCACGACCTCGGCTACCACTTTCCTAACGCTACTGGCCACAGTGATGGTAATGACGAGTATATGCCCCTGGAGGAGTGCGGCAACATGCTGATCATGGGTCTCGCCCTGGTCAACGCCTATAAGTACGACACGCAGCCCGCCTTTCTTACCACCCCGCTTGTGAACACGGGCGACCCCATCAAGGTCCAGGCCACATCGATAGTGGACGAGAACGGTATCGACCGGTCGTGGGGGTATGGCCAGGAGGACGTGGGCACAACCGATCTCAAGCAGGCCCAAAAGTGGATCAAGAAGTCATACAAGCTATGGAAGCAGTGGACCGTCTACCTCATCGAGGAGTCCCTCGAGCCCAAGAATCAGCTGTCAACAGACGACTTTGCCGGGTGGCTGCGGCTGCAGACCAATCTGGCGCTCAAGGGTATCATCGGGATCCGGGCCATGAGCGAGATCTCAGACATCCTTGGCGAGACCAAGGACGCCAAGTATTACCGCGACATCGCCGACGACTACATCGACAAATGGCAGGGTCTGGGCCTTTCTAGAGACAAGCTGTTCCCCAAGCTCTCGTACGAATGGTACGGCGCCTGGACCACCATCTACAACCTTTACGCCGACTCACTGCTCTGCTTCCACCTACCCGACGGGTCTGCAACCGACGCCAGCCTGCCTGCCGGGTGGCAACAGTCACAGCAGTCGCCCATCAAAGAGCAGGCTAGCCCAAAGAAGGACTCGACTTTTGTTCCTGATTACGTCTACAAGCTGGCGAGCGATTGGTACCACAACGTAATGCAAAAATATGGTCTGCCCCTGGACAGCCGGCACCTGTACACTAAGAGCGACTGGGAGTTCTTTGCGGCTGCTGTCGCGAGCAAGCAGACGCGGACGGAGATTTTGACGTTGGTGGCCAAGTGGCTGAACGAGACGACGACAGGTAAGGCTTCCCCTCGTGCGTATAAAAGGCGGAAGTCAATTATGATGATGGACTAACGCACAACAGACAACCCGTTTACGGATCTGTATGATACTGAGGGGACAGGCGGCTACCCTGATGGTCTGGGCTTCAGGGCTAGACCGGTTGTGGGCGGCCACTTTGCGTTCCTCGCGCTGGAGAGGGCATGTGGCGGTCAGGCTACCGAGGCGCTGAGTTTCCTCGACGCTGCGGAGGCTGTAGAGTTAGATGTCAAGGCGCTAGTAGAAGATGAGAAGGCCTACGGAATGAGCCAGATGGAGGAGATGGAGCTGTAATGACAGATAATCTCACGTTATCTGGTACGAGAAAGGGGGGGGGGACGGAAAGAAGAACAAAAAAAGAGAAGAGGGTGGGGGCTAGAATGGGAAATTTGAGCGGCTGCCTGCCTGGCTTCTTTGGAATTCTTTTGCAGTAGACACCATAGCAGCTGCAAGCCTTTCCTCTCTTTCGAATAGAAAGGCTCTCCGATTTTGGAGCACAAGTACATACTCAAGGAGAATTTGCCATGACGCACGTATCCCAGCTTCCCCTTCTCCGAGAAACTCTGGTCCTGATTGCAGATCTGAGGCTGAACACTCTTATCACTCTGCCCCTACGTGATGGCCATTCAACAAATTGATTGGGGGGTTTTAATTACACGGGATATGACACAGTAACAACATGCAAAGCTGAGGTAGGATTTTGTGTATAGTAACGTCATATTCCGACAATCAGAGGCACTTCTCGCCCTAGATCTGGGGACTGTGGATCACTTTAGTTGTTGGTGGCTGCAGAAAGGGCTCCACCTGCTTGCAGTGGAGGGATGGGCAGGGGATTCTGAGATCCCAAATTCTGAGGCTTCGGAGTGTTGGGGCGGACTTTGGGGGCAAAAGGGAGACACGGGTGACAGGGGCAAGAAGGCTACAGGGATTTGGGGGGAGGGGGGGACCTTCAAGGGCCTGGTGACCCGCTAAGGCGTCAGCCAGCCACTCTCATTGGTTGAAAGGGAGCTGACACTAACTGCACAGACCAACATTGGTGCCTCCCTTGGCCATTTTCGTTCCTGCTGAAATTTCCACTCTTGCCTTTTTGCTTGCTGACTTCCTTCTCTTCCCTCCAACATCCAAAGACCAAGAGAGGTCCATCCATCCCGCACACCTCCTCTCCCTCTTGACAACGCGACTCGTGGTTTTCCCGTTGTTGCACTTCTTCTCTCACATTCTCTCGGTGTGGAAGAACACAAGATCTGGTGATTCAGTCCCTCATCACTATCATCGTCAAAACAGCAAGCCAGCTCTTTCAGCTGACGCTTCTCTAACGATACCCCATCTCTATTTTTCTCCTTCTTTTCCCCCCACAAACAACATCCACTCTCCGCCTTTGTTCTTTCGATACCATTTCTCATCATCGACAAAATCACCACGCCCTCTCTCAACTGTGTCAAATCAATCACTCGCACAAGATGGCTACTACTGCTATGGACTACGAGAACCCTGGCGGTGACCGCTTTGATGGTACGTTTGCATCCTTCCTACGTTGTGTGTGTGTCTCCATGGACTGTACCTCGACGCACTTGACGCGACTGGTCAAGGACGCGCAACGGCCGATGCAAGCAACAGTCGTGTGATGCTGACTTTGACATGTGTTCAGACGAGGCTCCTCGTTACGACCGCGACAATCGCAGCGCGTCTCCTCGCAGCGACAACGGCAATGACGCTGGTCGCCGTCGCTCCGCTTCGCCCACCGGCAACGACCGGTAAGCTTCTGAACGGCGCCCTTCCTCCTGGCAATATACTCCTTGTTCCAATCACTAGCTAACGTTTCTTTTCCTCTCTGCAGCGCTCCCGGCAAGACTGAGGATCGCGATCGCGGCGGTGACGACGACGGCGCTGTCAACCCTGGCTCCAACCTCTTCGTGACCGGCATTCACCCCCGCTTGACCGAGGATGAGGTCACCCGTGTGTTCAGCAAGTACGGTACCGTTGAGAAGTGCCAAATCATGCGCGACCCCCACACCAAGGAGTCTCGAGGCTTCGGCTTCGTGAAGATGGTCACCTCTGACGAGGCCGATGCTGCCAAGGAGGGTCTGCAGGGTAAGGAGTTCGAGGGACGCACCCTTTCTATTGAGAAGGCTCGGCGTGCTCGACCCCGTACCCCGACCCCCGGCAAGTACTTTGGTCCTCCTAGTACGTCTACCCCCCCTTAGCCTGAATGTTTAACCTGCTGCTGATACTCATTTGGTCAGAAGAGCCTCGTGGCCGATTTGGCGGCGACCGCTACGGCGATGATCGCCGCCGCGGTGGATTCGGCGGTGGCTACGGCGGTCCTCGTGGTGGCGACCGCTACCGTGACCGCTACCGCGACCGCTATGACGACCGCTCCCGAGGATACGGTGGTGGTGACCGCGGCTATGATGACTACGACCGCGGCTACGGCGGCGGCGGTGGTGGCGGCGGCGATCGCGGCTACGATCGAGGCGGCTTCCGTGATGACCGCCGTGGTGGTGGTGGTGGTGGTGGTCGTGACTACGACGACCGTGGCGGCATCGACCGGTACGCTGGTGGCCGCGATGACCGCTATGGCGGCTCTCGTGGTGGTGGTGGTGGTGGCGGCGGCGGCGGCGGTGCTGGCTTCGACCGCTACGACCGCGGCGGCGACCGTGCCCCGCGTGACGGCCCTCCTGCTGCTGGTGGCTATGGCGATGGTGCGTCTCGCTCTGATGGTCGTGGAGACACCTACGGTAGTATGCGTGACTCTTACCCCCGTTATGGTCGTGACTGAACTCTTTAGGTGGCCGTCGAGCGGGCGATCTCTAAGCTCCTCCGAAGCTACCAACAAAAAGGCGTACGTGGTAGGTCCCTCGCGCCTCGACTGCGGTGTTTAGTAAGTTTCATCGGGATTCGGTCTTCTTTTCGGTCGATTATGGGAATGGGAATCTGGTCGGAATTCGAAAAAGTTTGCGGACATGGAGTCATTCGGCACACAACCCCCTTTAGTTAGGCACTGCGCGACTGGCCTTGCTACTGTCACATCTCTGCAATGGAGATTCACTTTAATTGCCTGCCTCTTCGCGCGGTGAGACGACATAGGCCTCGTCTTGGTCTATTAATTTCTTTCTTCTTTCTCTTGCGAATACGACACGAATTTATGGGGCTTTTGCGGCGACCGCTCATTCTCGGCTCGGATCGACGAGAGAGAGCCCTCAGAGATACCTTTTTGCACCTCAGCCTCACCAGAACCACCAGAACTGCACCCAGAATTTCCTTGCTCTGCACCTGTACGGTCTTCATCTATTTCGTCCTTGCTCTTTCCCCCGCCCCAGCCTTTGCTTGGAACCTTTCGGCATTTGAGACGGGGAACGACATCGCAATCTCTGTATCGAAAATTCTGGGAGAGGTGGACGTCCAACAGATAGCGCCCAAACTTGACTCGGAGCTCAGCAGAACTCTCCTGACAACCACTGTGCCCCCCTCTCGAATGAATGACAACCTAAACAGCAAAATCGCAATCAAATGCAGCCTCTTAAAAAAGAACAAGAAAGCAAAGGAACAAAGGGGGAAAAGAACAGACCAGAAAGAAAAGAAAGAAAGAAAACAAAGACGAACCCTCTAGTCGACTTGCTCAACCTGATTTGCCGTGTCACGCCCTCAATAACTGCGAAACATCATGCCAACTTGACGACAAATGCAATTTGGCCATGATTGCCAACATTCCTACGTGTGCAGATTACAAAAAGAACAAAAGATACTTGTCAAACGTGGCATCGGCGGCCTTTTGCCCCTGTTTGTTTCTGAACTGGTCAGTCAGTCGGTTCGCGATTTGTCAACAGTGAACAGCACTTTCGCTAGACAATCAAAAGATCTGAGACAACCGCGCACACAAGGACCCGACGGAGCAAGGGAGACAAAGAAAACGAACAAAAAGCCCGCGGCACATACTGGCCAGCACCCGCTGCGACTGGTGACAGGTGATTCCCAATATACTGCACATGCGTTTCTGGTCACTGATACGAGGTCTTTATGTCTCTAGGGGTGGTCGCAGAATTGAAGGGAGTATGTGGCGACATGCCCAGGAATCTGTTCTGCAGCAGGATATGCCATCTGACTGCGGCAGGGCGCGGGCGTGCGGGATGTGTACCCTGCCAACTGCCCCCAATGTGATGAACCGTTGGCAGTGAGTGGCTCCGAGCTGACTGGTATGCTGCGCACTTCGACACTATTGAGCTCCGAGCCCCGCCATTGGTGAGATTTTCGGGTGACACAGCATTACGGTGTAATACTTGGGAGTGACTACATGGCCATCACTACGCAAGACAAGCCGTGGCATGGTGACGAATTTGAGCGGCAGCGGCAGCATCTTGGCCTGGGGTAGGGGTACTCGGTCCCCTGTTACCAGAGAGGTCTACACGATTGTCCATCTCGACACGGGTCAATCTGCTCAAACCATGAGACAAACAGGTGACTGGAGATGTTGGACTTCTATCTGCTGTTGAATGCTATGTGTAAATGTCAGGTAGGGATTTGAGTGTAAGTCTCATCAGTGTTACTCGGACGCAGCACAACCAGTCCTCTCTCTTTTCTCTTGTTTTCTTTCTTATTTTGACCCCTCTCTTTGTTCTAGACAATGACTTGTTCCTCTTCTCCTTTCTGCTTCCTTCTTTGTCCTCTACTTGCTGTCTTCTTGTCTTTGACGGTCTCTCGCCATTTTGTATCGGCCACCTCGATCATTATGAATGGGAGGAGACAAAGCCTTATTGTTGTTGTGGTGGTGGTGGTGGTGGTGGTTATTATTCTCCCCAGGCAGGGAGAGCCACCAAGCTGCCTTCTTTTATCGCATTAGATCGGTATATATGCGAGTTTGTGGACCTTGGCCCTGGCCTCGGCCTCGAAAATAGACTGTTACTGGCTTTACACAACGTAGGGCATTGACATTCCTATTGCTGTAATTTTCTGTTTGTGGACTTAAGATCTTTCGTATACAACAATGTCTTCACTACCACACACCAAAGCCGGCCTCCGTGCTGTCAAATGGCTATCCCGGCGACAACAACGAGCAGTTGGACAGCCCGCCTGGCTAGATGAGTACATCACCGAAAAACATCCTTCTTCTCCTTCTTCTGTCTTGCCTTCCACGACCCGGAGCGACACGCCGTCCGCTCGTTATTCTGTTGGGCCTTCTCCTATCTCACAGACGACAATACTGGGCGAGGTTGGTAGTCCTGATGCTGAATATGATGCAGATACTTCTCAGCCGTCCTCGGCAGCGGATTCTCCGAAAGCTTTCAACTCTGACGGGCATCTCAGGAGCAGCAGGCCTGTTGATCGTCGTCCAGCGACTACGCATTACTTCACCCCTCGGCGATCCACAACGCTTCTTGCATTGACGCCGCCTTCCTCGCAGCGAAGAAGGCCGACCAGATTAGCCTTACCACCACCCTCGCTCCCGGCGCGGAGACACCCGTCGACCCAGGCGACCCAGACGTCCACCGCCATCCTTCTCAACGGCCTCCGTGCACAGGTTGCCCAGCGCGACTCGACCATCGCGGCCCTCAAGGCACAGCTCCGTGCGGCGGGCGCCACGCCGCCGCAGCCTCGGGACGCGAGGGGACGGTTTGCGTCGCCGCCGGGTGGTTCGTCTGCCGCTGGGAGGAAGAGCACCACCACCAGCAGCGACAGCACCAGAAGCGGCCGTGTGCAGCGTTCCAGGGGGCGGCGGAGGAGGCGCACGCAGACGGAGCTGCTGATGGAGGCGGGGATCATGTTTGGGTATCTTGACCAAGTTCCTAATGTGAGTCATGTGACGGGGGAGCCGGTGGTGAGGGAGGCTGTCCTGGGAGGGTGGAGTGGTGGGTCGGAGGACGAGATTGAGGTCCGGGCGAGGGGTTTGGTGGGGGATATTTGGGGGAGGAAAAAGGTGAGAGTGTAGGTACAGGAGGTTTGATTTTTCCTTTAATTTCTTCCTCTCTTCCCCTTCTTCTCTTTTCCTGTCTTTCTCACTGCCTCTAATTGTGCTATGTAGAGAGCGTGTTATTTTTTGGATGTAATAAGGAACATACTACCTCAACGACTCACCGAGGGTACATCATATTCAACAACATACTGCCATGAACGACGTGATTTATCGTGTGTCGGTCCAGAAGCGAGTGGAGTACCTTGTGTAAGCGCCATCCATAAACAAGAGCAACCCCAAATTTATAAAAGCGTCTGTTTCCTGATGATTCTTCCGGATCTAGACGGCTGCTTTGTGGCTGACGCTGCGGAAGGACTAGTTCTCACGAGCAAGCTCGACGGCAGAAACAATGCGTGGAGAGGTACGTCTTTGTCCATCTCGGGCGGACTACCACTGGAAAAGGGTTCTGGGGAGGAACAAATGTCGTGTATTTACCGCATCGGAGAGGTATCCTTTCCTCTCCTTTTTCTTTCTCTTTCCATTGCTATGAATTGCGCTGTGCATTTCTCAGAATATGTGACAGCTTTGCTACGAAAATCACACCAAGCACAGTGAATCTTTCAACCACCGGGTCGCTATCTTTATATTTTTCTGTCTTCTTTCTTCTTTCTCTCTCCCAAAGACAGTTCACTCAGAACACGTATTGATCCACCAGACCCATCCATTCAAGCAACCTCCTTACCACAATGTCTCGAGAACCTGTCTTCGCAGGCTATCTGGGCGAGGATGGGCTATGGTATCTCTCGCGCAGGGCAGCACAGAGGAGCGGGACCAAAGTCGTGAGCGCCTATGTGGATATCCAAAACAACAACAGCGCCTCCGACGCACCCTTATTTGAGCCAACCCCGCCGCCCACTGCACCCGGGCACCAGCGCGGTCAGCTCTACAGGCGAAAGAAGGGCGGCTACCAGCCTGTAGTGGTCAGTGTCAACGACAGCAGCAGCAGCAGTAGCAACAGCCCATTGAGCATCAAGTTGATGTTTCAGAACCCGCACTCAGCGGCGCCGGACCTGTACGACTGGGTTGGGCCACGGGATGGGCTCACCTTTGAAACGACGGAAACGACGACGACAGCTGCAGATGTGGCGGCAGGGACAAAAGAAGGGCAGACGGCGGCAGTGGTGATTCGGTTTCATGCGATTGATGAGGAGGGGAGGGGAGCTTTTTACTTTGTGGATCGGGAGCATCATGTTTATGAGGAGAAGCCGACTTGGGCGGGGACGGTGGTGGAGTTTCGGGCAGCTTGGAGGGGGCGGTCTGCTCTGGGGACAACAGCAGGTAGAAGAGGAGAAGAGGAGGAGGAGGAGGAGGAGGAGGAGGAGGAGGAGGAGGAGGAGGAGGTTGATGAGAAGGAGGAGTCGTCGCAGATGGAACATGGCAGTACTCCTAGCGAGGCTGTTGTTGGTGCCTCGTCCTCGACCACTTTACAAGATGCCCACACGGGCGTCAGCAGAAACCTCGACGGCACAGGGTTCATCCCCAAGCGCACCGGCCGCTACATCCGGTTCCAGGACCCGTCCGACCCTTCCAGCACGCTGTACGACCAGGTGCACCGCAACGTCGGCGTGAGCTTCGCAGTGGCCAGGGCGGATGATAACAACAGAAGCAGCGGCGGCGACAGCAACCGACCACGAGATGTCCTGCAGTTCGTCGTGCTGAATGATGACATTCATGATAATGATCATGATAGTGACGGGGATATTGGCTGCGGTTCTGAGATCAGCCCGACGACGTACTATATCGACGGGGAGGATAAGATCTACAGGACGAGGCCGGGGCGGGCCAAGATTAGGGTGCCTAAGAGGGCTGTGTTGCCGCTTGCTGCGCCTCCAAGGAGGGAAAGATCGCATCTGCCGAGAAGGGTCATGGTGGGGGATGGTTTTGAGGGGGAAGACGAAGAAGATGACGATGGTGAAGTGGCTTTTGATGGTGATGATGGTGGGACTGATGATGAGGAGGAGGAGGAGGAGGAAGAGAAAGAGGAAGAGGAGACGCTTGGGGTGATTATTGACGAGGAGGGGAATGAGGTTTTGGTAGATCAGGAGGGGCTGGTTGATGATCGGCGGCGGGATGATGTTGCTGTTGGGGGAGGAGAAAGAAGAACAGAAAGAGGAGATCGTCAGAGCACGAGCAGCACACGAGGTCCTCCGCACCATGTACAACCACAACAGCAGCAGCAGCAACAGCAACAACAGAGTCCCATCAGGCGATCAACGCGACAAGCCAACAGACCACGCCGTCTACCCTTCAACCCCTCCTATCCAACAGCCCTGGCCGACATCAGAGCCAAGGCCAGGACCAGAGCGACCAGGCAGCCGACAGACGGCATGGGCCCGATCCGTGGGGATGCGAGATTGTATGTCCCTTCAGCAGCAAGGTTGCGGGCGAGGGACCTTATGCGGATCATTGAGTGGTCGACGGAACGGCGGCGGGAGTGGGATCGGCTAGAGGAGGGAAAGGTAGGAGGAGGTGGTGGAGGAGGGACGAGAGGGACGAGAGGGAATGATAATGAAGGAGAGGAGGAAGAAGAGTGTTGATCAGCATGTTCGGCATGAAACGTGCAACAGCATGGTTGTGGGGGATCGGTCTTTCGTTGTACGAATGCTCTTCGCAACAGAGCGTTTGCTTCCATTTCTGTATGCCTTTGTGAATATATTCTGAATAACTTGATAAGAATGACGGCCCTCGTCCACTATATTGATGGATACTAGTCTCTATCACTCGGGGTATCTCTTGACTTCCAATGCAAAATGCCCTTGGTTTTGGTTTTTTTTCTTCCCCTTATTCATCTTACCTTGAACCCTACCCAGTCTCACCAGGAACCTTCTCCTTGTGTGCAAAGGATGGTATCAGCCACTGCCTGTTTTCTCCATCTCCTGTCCCAATTCCAATCCTCGGCTCAGCGACCAACCGCTCTATAGGAATCGCAGGCTTATAGAGTAATCTGTGCATGCCTCTTCGGGCCGCGGTTTACGGCTTGCATCATCACCACCACCACTGAGCAGCTTGATAGAATCCACCCCCCCCCCCCTCTCACTCAGCGGATCCCACCACGCCTGCTCCTGGTTCAGCTTCCAAGGCAACATCTCCTCCTGCCTATGCACCCAGCAAGGGTCTTACCCCATTTACACTTCCACCCCTTTCCCTCCAAACCGCCCTCCACTACCCGCCGCATCGCCCTCGCCTGCACCGACGAAAGGAATTGCCACTCTATTCTGACTGTCCTGTCATTCAGATTCACAGGGTAATAAACCACCGGCTCGCTCTGGGCGCCGAGGGGTCCTGCTTGCCTCAGAGCTTTTGTGTCTGCTAGCATTGCCTCCCTGGGCGTTCTCTCGGTGAGCCACCAAGAGGCCCCATTTCCTACTGCTTCTGCTGCTGGTGGTGGTGGTACTGGGCCACGGATGAGCAGGACACGGCTGTCGGTACGGCGCACGGCATTCCAGTGGTAAGCAACTGACTTGTCGACGGCGATGTGTGGATTGTAGCCGCAGACGAGAAAAGTTCCCTCCCTTGCGGCGCGGGCTAGTTTTCTGGTGGACTTTTTGCTGCCAAAGACGATATAGGCAGTGACGGGGCCGGGGGGGGGGGTTGAGACTCGTCATTCTTCTTCTCACCGTTTGCTGGTGCTTTCCTTGCTGCTTGTGGGGGAGGAGAGAAAGATGGAGGAGACAGCAGCTTGGCCGAGGTGATGAGGCCCACAGGGGCAGTCTGTATGATATCGGCTATGATATCGGCGAGCGTGGTTCCTGAAGGAAGGTTTCAGATGCAAACGCCGCGGTAGAGGTTGTGGCCATAAGGAGAGGGCTCGCGCGGGTCGTGAGTGGGCACACGTGGGATGCGGTTGTAGGCGAGGGGTTGCCTGCTGGTCATGTCGATCTCGGCGCGGCGCTGCGCCCATGGTTACCAATGCGTTCCCTGTTTTGTCTTTCTCGTCCTGCTTGAGGTGGTGGTGCTGCTGCTGCTTGAGCCTGAGCTTCCTACGGTGGCGAGATCAGGAGGAGGGGCCTGGCTATTGCGGATGGGTGGGGGTGATGATGAGGTCAGTTTTGGTGCCGGAAGAAGGAAGTGGCCCTGCGTGTGTCGACGTGTGACGTATTCTAGTTGACGAGGAGGAGCAGGAAAAGGAAGGCGCCAACCATAAGGGCAATCTCGTCCATACAGCATCGTTGCTGTTGCCGTAGCTGTAGCCGTAGCCGTTGACAGTGGCACGCACAACGGCGCTCAGGGCGAAGGACGTGCACCTCGGCCTTTGGTAACCATGAAAAGAGGAATACTGAGCTGGGTTGGCTATCAAAGAAAATATATGTTGAAGCCTAGATCAAATGTTTTCATCCTTGGAATAGACGACGATGAGCGGGCGCTTATGTAATCACATCACTTTCATTATGAGCTGATGTATCGTCTCTCTTTTCATTTCTTGTCTTGTTTTGTTGCGCACTATTTACTATATCTACAGATACAATTTAGATCACTCAAATCATCTCCGTCTTCCTTTTTAGAAGGAGTAAAGGGAGAAAGGAGAGAAGACTGCACCTTTAAGACAAGTCCTTACACCAAACAAGTGAGAGACGATAATTCCTTCAGATAATCAAGGCATGATTGTTTTCGATTATTTCCGAAGCTGTAGAGCGTTGCGTGTATATTTTTCGAGCTATAGTAACGATTGTAACTCTCCTTCATATACTAGTAGTGTTATAGGGACATTCGAATGAGAGTTGTATACAGCTTAACCCATCAAGAAGCATCTTGCCTCATATTCTTGTTTCCCTCAGACCTGACTCTGGGAACAAGATACAGTATGCAAATATTAAAAGGGTTAGGGTTAGGGGCTCTACACCTTAGTAATCACAACCAACCCAATCTGACCTCATCTCATCCAGCACCTGCCTCACTCACTCCAATCTTGACCACCCATGAAACCCGCTACCTTTGGCCATATTTGTGAGGCCTCGAGAGGGCCGGAATCATTACCAGAGTGAACCTGCACGATTCAAGAGTCTCAGTCACAATGGGGATCCCACAGAAGATCTCGAACCCTCGCAGAATTTTGGCTGTGGCGCTGGACGCAAACACAGAGCTGTTAAGCCGCGTCGTCCAGGGTAAGTCGACGAAGATTCTCATCCGTGCTTGGCAGAAATACCGGCCTAGAGATCATCTCCTCCTCTCCCTTCTCTTTCCTCATAGGTAAGACAAAATTTTCATTAACACAAAGGAAATTTCCACCAGACCTGACGGGCAAACTCCCTGAACCCGTATCATCCTCACTGGCGGGTACTACACATGACCTCGACCTTGAGACAGCCTACTACACCACCACAGTCCCCATATGGCTCGACTTGATCACCACCCCGTCCGACTGGGCCGCCACCTTCCTCTCCGACGAGGCAAAAGAGGTGCTTGAGGTCCTGGGCGGCATGGTCGTCGTCTTTGCGATTCCACCACCACCACCTCACGCCAAGGACGCCACTTCCTCGTCGACATCGTCTAACAACAACGACTCCTCCTCTTCCTCTGAAACAGCAGAAGACCAGGCCAAGATTGTCATTAGGGAGGTTGGGAGGGTCGTCAGGGAAGGCCTCGGCGGGTGGGAGTGGGACGGGGTCAGCCTGGCCGTTGGGGTGGGCGAGGTGGCGCATTTGGATGATTTGGACGTCTGGGATGAGGTCTGTGGGGATGCCGGGCTGGAGTTTGTACATCTTCCCTCGTCGTCATCCTCCTCATCTTCGGCCTCGTCAGGAGGGGAGGAGAGAAATGAGTTTGGTGGTAAGCTAGGCTTTCTTGAACTGGGCTAGAGAGGTTACTAACAGCATTGTTCGCGTAGAAAAGGTTGGCATACCTCGTGTCCTGGAGGCCCTGCAGTCCAACGACTGGGCATCGGTCCTTACAGAGGAGGGGGATGATGTGCTTGGTGCAGGACAAGATGACCCCCATGCCGGTGGTGATGATGAGGAGAAGGATGGTGAGGAGCTCGACCTAGAGGACATGAACTTTGGGTTCGACAGGGAGGACTTCGAGGGCCTGAAGAAGGCGATATGGGAAGCCCAGATGGAGAGAGAAATAGGGCAGGAGGGCGGCGGCCAGGGCACGACAGCGCAAGACAAGATTCCGTTTCCTCACGGTGACCACGACAAGGACGATGACGCCAAGGACACCACCGCCCAAGACTTGAACGGCGACGACGTCGAGAAGGTCGAGCAGATGATGCGCAAGCTACAGGCGGTCAGGGACATGAGCGCAGGCCTACCAGAGGAGCAGAGGAAGAGGATGGCCGCGAGGGCTGTGGGCGAGGTCATGAGGGATCTGTAACCGTCAGAGAGATCAGCCATGTCACGCTGCCTTTACGACACAGCTCAACTACTCGTGGGTGCCAAAGAAGGGGGGAAAGTCGAGCTCCAGAGCGAATGTCGAGCAATCTACCATCACTCGATACATGGCCTATCGAGAGTATTGGTTCTGTGGCAGCAAATTGCTACGCTTCTCCTTCGACTGTCCAACGGCTCTTCTTCCCTACTGAGTGGTCTTCCCAAGTTTGGTCGACCCAAAGATGCTTCATCTCTCCTCCACAAGTATGGTCCTTCGGTCAAAGCCCCATATCCTCTCCTCCTGGAGTACGAGAGCTATCAGCCTTGGGCTGGATAAGCCGAAGTGGACAACGACCAACGGACAACCAGTCAATGCCCTGTGCACGACCCTATGGTCGGACCCCCCCCCCCCCCGTCGCGAAAGCTCGGTGTGCTCCGTGTCTGTCTTGGTGGGATCTGCTGATACTTTCGGTCAGTCCCATGAGACAGTGTCTCATAATACGGAGACTGACGTGGGCATGCTTTCCTATTGGTATGTTATGTGTCTGCGACAGCCACGACCAGTACTTTGTCAGACCCCACGCCAGAGAAAGGATTCTTCATGTGACTCCGGGAGACTATGCTAGCTCGACATGGAAGAAGTGATGGTTCCAAAGGCTATTACATTGTCTTGTGTATGTGTATGACCCCAAGTTCCCCCCCCTTTTGCGAGACTGCTTGTGATGTGTCAAGAAAAAGGTCTCCTATATTTGGTCACGTCTTACTCTACCGTGTATGTGTTCCCGTCGTGGGGGGCGTGAAGAAGAAGAAAAAAAAAAAGAAAAAAAAAGAGACGGTCACGAGGCCAGATACAACTGCCCTGGTCCGATACAACACACGCAATGCAAGCAGCCGCGGCATGAAGCTGACCTCGTACCACGGTGATCTGACCTGATCCGGCGGCTACCCCCTTGATCCTTGAATTCAATAGCACAGTGAGAGTCTGTGCGGCCTTTCATGTGTGTGTACTTACCCAATCGTTGCCAATTCACCCTCAGTACCGCTGTGATGCGGTGTGATCAAAGGGCGTATGAAGGAGGAGGAGGAGGAGGAGGAGGAGGAGGAGAAGCCACGTCGGTTTCCCACGGCCCTTTCCCTCCCATCAGGTAAGATCACAAGGTGAAAAATAGAATGAAGACGCCGCCAAGACCTGACAGGTCTCAGACAAAAAAGAGCAGACGAGCGGGAGAATACCCCGACCCGTGTTTCGGTTGTGCCCTTGATGGCTTGAATGTCGTCTGGCCATTCACACTCATACACATACACACGCGCACACACAATACAACTCACCGGTCGCGTCAGCTTTAGTCTCCATCTCGGCTCAATATTATTACACGACGGAACGGGCGTGGTCGGACGACTATGAGGAGAGGGAGGAGGAGGACGGGAAAAGGAAACAGACGGCGCGTGATCATCTTTCAGCTTGACGTGGGTTCCCTTTTTCCTGCAGGTCCTCGGTGCTCATATTGCAGACCGAGAGCGCGCCACACACTACCGCCATCGTCGTCGAGAGTTGGATACAAAAGAGGCAATGAAGTAGAACAAAATAAGTTTCTTCATAACAACTACATAACTAGTCCGCCCCCGTGTGAGACAAGCCGCTGTACCCCCCACCCCCCCCCGACGCGCCACGCCAATGGCTTTTTCTTCTTTCTTTTTCCAGTTCCCCAAAACGACCCGCGATATATGGTGCGCGCACAAAGCATACACACACACACACACACACACACACATACATACACTTGCTTTTGTTGTACACATACATCAGATCCTGGCCCTTGGCTCCGAGAGGACATACCGAAAAGGTGTTAGGAGAGAAAAGAAGAGAGCTGAATGTTTCACCCGACATGGGCATCCGGCCTAGGTCTCATGATGCGGGCGTCGTGCTGAGCTGCCGTCTACAATGCAACAACAAACTCTTTCTCTCTTCTTTTTGTGTTCATCCTTGTTTTTGTGAGACAAGCTTATGTAGTCATGTTGTGTATGTTTGTAAGTATGTCGTGGGAATGTGTAACGCGAGCTGAATTTGGGGGCCAGCGGCACAGGGTTGTTGGCCGGGGGGAGGAGGACAGTGGCTGCTGAGGTTTCTTGTTCCCCCGATCTGACGTGCATGGCGCCGTCTGTCTCCCTCTATTCCTGGAAAAAAGGAAGAGAGGGATGATTAGGAGCAGATGTATACTCTCTCTTTGCCTCTCTCATACTCCCCACTCATGTTTTAAGGACCTCTCTTCTATTTCTCTTTTTTTTTTCTTTCCTTTTTTTTCCTCCTCTTTTCCACCTTTCCTTTCTTCTCTGTCTTTTCTCTGTGTGTGTGTGAATACAAAAGGTAAAAAAAAGGGGTGGTGGGACGGGACAGGAACCAAGGGAGGGGAGAAATGCGGGAGGGAGGGAGGGATTGAATCTCACATCGAGGCCAGTTGGTTGGCTAGTGAAATTGATTGGTTGGTCGGTTGGTTGCAACAAATAGGGCTACCTGCAGCATCGGGTCGCACGAGATTCAGCAAGTTACAGCAACTATCGCTTGGGCTTGGGCTAAGTATGCCGGGGCTGACGGGCGGTCTGGGGGGTGTTTTGTTGGTCCGACAAAGACCTAATCCCGCTGGCCCCCCCCCCCCTGGTGGCAGTCTTATTAGTATCAGTTGTTGGGGAAAAAACGTCGTCGATAAGTCATTCCAGGTTGGTTTGATAAGGGGGAAGGGGGGGGCGGGAACAAGGAAAGGAGATTGATTGAGGGTAAATGAGAACCAATGATTAAGAATCCTTCTCCTAGTAGAAGAGACTGCATTATTATCGTTATTATTATCAGCTTATTCATTTAATTATCCGGGGTGGTTTTTTTTTTTAATCAGTTATCCTTTTTTTTCCCTTCCAGTTGGTTGGTTGGTTGGTTGGGACAACATACACATGCATCTATCTAGGCACGCACAGAGCACTTGAGGAGTACCGGCAGCGAAGATCAATCATACCCTCACACCCCCCCTAGCAAGGAGCGTCGCCATAAGCAGAGATAAACGTTGCTATCGCCAGCGTTCCGAGTGGTCTAGGCCTGGATGATCAGCAACAAACAAACGGTCAAGTGGACCAACCACAATTTATCCCACACACACGCGCGCACGTACACACACACACACACACATTACACATCCACACCCTGTGAGATCTAGAATAAGAGAGAGAGAGAGAGAGAGAGGCAGGGCCAGCGAGGTGCTTGTTTGTCATGGTGGATAAATATGACAGCTCCCAAAATGCTTGCTACGTGGTTGTTGTATCTCGCTTAGAAGGAGGGGGGGGGGGGGAAGTCGGCCATGTGATGTCGTAAAGACTTGGGTGTAGGTTTTTTTTTGTTTTTTTTTTGTTTATTTACCTAGACGTTGCACCGTTGCACCGTCTCTCCCGCTTGGATACACACACGTGTATCTTGAGAGAGTTGTGTGACTTCATGACTTCTGCTAATTCTGCTAATTTGGTTGGGTGGCGGCAGTTTACGATACGAGGGGGAATCAACATCACATCGTCCCTGTGGTCATCAAATCATGTGCCCTTGGATGGGGAAGGGCATGACAAAGGTTGAACAGTCAATTACATGATTATAGCCTAAGTGTGTTGGCCAAGAGTAACAATAGGGACCAAAACAATGGGTCAATGGGTCAATACACAAAGACTCCTAGGCAACTAGTTACTGAGAGTGGATGTGATGGCAGGTACCCTTGAATGTCACTCGAACCCCTGGAGTCTTGGTCTGTTTGTATATCTCAAGTATCATCTACACATACTCTCTCTCTCTCTCTCTTTGTGTGTATGTCTGCATCCCACTCTCCATCCTCATGATCAAGTCCTGTGCACACGCTACTCACTCTGGATAAAATCTCATCTACTAAGGACAAGGGCCTTGTGGGTGTTCTTATTGCATACCAAGTACCCCTAGGCAAGCGGCTCAAACCCCTCTCCTCCCCCGTATTTCTTTTCCCTCTGCCATCCTGTCTCTGAGACAAATTCATGCCAATAGGCCGGTGGTGTGGGAGGAGGAGAGGGGGGGTGAGCAGTCATCACCTCATGACTGAAAAAGGACAATAAAAATAACAATTAAAAACCCTACTCAAAAAGACCACCAAAGCAAAGAAAAGAAAACCACCCAAGACAAGCGGGCCGTGTCTCTCCAGCATCTATAGTTTCCCCCTTTCCCGAGGTCCAGCTCGAAAAGAAGAGTAATCAATTCAACAAACCAGCTATTACTTCCAAGGGAAACAAGAGAAAAATAACACATCATTTTCTTTATCCCTTCTCTTTCTTCTTTCTCTTCCTTTCTTCTTCTCTCCTTCTCACCGCTCTTTTGGACCCGGTGTACCCCCTCGAGCTATAGTACGAAGTTTCTCATTTTCTCTCTTGTCCCCTTCCAGACCCCCCATTCACCCAGCCGTTTTGTGATAGTTCAGATTTCGTGTTTCCTTTCTGTGCCCCTACACCCGACCACGCGGTCATGGGCCAGTGATGATCCTCCATGGAGCTCGTACGGTGACGGCGCTATCCGATGCAGGTCTTGGTCGCCGTGCGATGCTAAACCAGGCTTGGAAGTGACGGCAGCGAGACGGACGGGGGAAGAAGAGGGGGGGGGGGGGAAGAGATGTTATCTCGTTCCTGGGGTTTTCAATTCTCTTCTTCTCCAATGGGGACCACACCCCATCTTCGGTTCAGTATGCGTTGGTTTTCCTCGATGGAATCTTCATTGTCAGCCTCACGTCGACGCCGCCCGCCCCCTTCCTCCACATTGTCTCAAAAAGAAAAATCTCCGTCCCTTGTTTGCCCTCCCGCCCCCCGTTCGCCGTTCCATCCCGCCCCCGTTCGGGATTGGACCGTCCCGCCACCACACGCCATCTTCCTCCGCCGCGCTCCCGCCCGCGCGGACCATTTCGAAGCGCTCAATCCTGCCTTGTCTCACTTACTAGGTTGGGGGGGGGAGGTGTGTCC